CGGACTGTAAGAAGCCCAGCTCTGCGACTTTACATACTTAAAATGATGCTTCTATGTTATGTGCTTCTGCCTCACTTGATAACGTGCAGCTTCTTAATGATAACAAACCACTTGCCTTGGACACCTCGTGGAGGGGACACAATCTACTGAAGTCTAAGATGTAAATATATATTAAATTTCCCACTCTTCCTTGATTTCTGTGTCAAATAAAAAAATACAAAAATCATCTAAATTTTTTCCTTCTTTTTATTTTCAAGTTTTAATGCAAGAAATAATATCGGAAATGATTTATCTCTTAAGTATCTTTTCTTAGATTTTTTTGAGCGATACCGATTCCAGCTTAGTGGGTCAACCTAAATCACCCCGGATCCGGTACAAAGTCAAACACCCGATCAGTCCATAAAAATAGTCCAGTGTCAGAAACAGTTTTATCCCTTGATCCCTTTTTTAGGAACCAAGTCTTTACATCACAGATCAAGACTAAGGAAGAGATTGTTTGGGTGACACTGATCTCTTAAAGGGCCAGCTTTAAGTCTCCCATCTCTTGTACAAAGTCAAACACCCGATCAGCGCATAAAGACAGTCTAGTTTCCGAAAAAGTTTAACCTTCTTTTTTAGGGACCAAGTCTTTGCATCACAGATCAAGACTAAGGGAGAGATTATTTGGGTGACACCAACCCCTTAAAGGGCCAGCTTCAATTCTCCCGTCTCTTATACAAAGTCAAGCACCCGATCAGCGCATAAAGACAGTCCAGTGTCCGAAACAGTTTTACCTTCTTTTTTGGGGACCGAGTCTTTGCATCACAGATCAAGACTAAGGAAGAGATTGTTTGGGTGACACCAACCCCTTAAAGGGCTAGCTTCGTGTCTCCCATCTCTTATACAAAGTCAAACACCCGATCAGCGCATAAAGACAGTCCAGTGTCCGAAATGGTTTTACCTTCTTTTTTGGGGACCAAGTCTTTGCATCACAGATCAAGACTAAGGAAGAGATTGTTTGGGCGACAGCAACCCCTTAAAGGGCAAGCTTCAAGTCTCCCATCTCTTGTACAAAGTCAAACACCCGATCAGCGCATAAAGACAGTCCAGTTTCCGAAACAGTTTTACCTTCTTTTTTGGGGACCAAGTCTTTGCATCACAGATCAAGACTAAGGAAGAGATTGTTTGGGTGACACCAACCCCTTAAAGGGCCAGCTTTAAGTCTCCCATCTCTTGTATAAAGTCAAACACCCGATCAGCGCATAAAGACAGTCCAGTGTCCGAAATAATATCATTTTTCTCAAGGGACCAAGTCTTTGCAACACACTTAATGCAGAAAATAGTCGAAACTGAATATGTCAGAAATCATAAGCTTACCTTATCAGGGATCTAAAACAAAGTTCTATGAATCAGGTCACGAAATAGAAATTTTTGCATCATACTTAACTGTGTTTAGCCTCAAGGGTAGAGACATTTAGACGGCCCATTTGATAGAAATTTTTCATCAAATTAAATGAACGCTTTTTCTATAACATCTCGGGACAATCATCTTGGCAGGCCAGATAGATAGTTATAAGCTGCAAAATAGTGAACCGACGAATTTATTTAACATCAGTGTTTCACAAAAACAGATGAAACGTATTCGTGCATATGGTGGTACATTTATCAATCGAGAAGTGCTGTATACAACCGAAAGCCACCTTAATCAGAGACAGATCCAAGAAATCAGACAGCGAGAAAACTGAATATGTCTTATACTAGCAGTCTTTCTTAAGTTAACTCTATACGGTCGCTACATTGACGACTGCATCAGCGCTACCTCAGCGCTACCTCATCTACCAAAGAGGAGCTCACTCACTTTATAACCGCCGTCAGTTCCTTTCACCCGGCTCTGAAATATACCCGGGAAATTTCCGAAACTTCTTTGCTTTTCTCGACGTCAAAATTTCAAAAAAAATTTCAAGTATAACTTTTAAACTCAGTTGATAGCTGTGAACCACTCTAAGATGGAAGAGATCACGAATGAAAAAAAAAAACCTTATTTATATTTGATATGAAATTCTTTTAATTTAAACCCAATTATGTATTTAATTCATAAAATTAGAGGAGTTATTCTTGTTACAAATCTAAAAAACCAACCTTATCAGATAGTATTATTTGTTCCTCTTTCCTTTTCACTTCTTGTTCTCCAACCTCTTTCATCTTGTGCTTGATACTAACTTATACGAGAAAATAGAGGAAGACAATGTCACTTCATTCATATTTCTCTTTCTCTCAACAAGTTACTCGTGTTTATTGTTTATTGATAACCATCAATGTTCCTATAGGCAGGGGCGTTGCCAGCTCTCCGACTGTTTTTAGGCCTGTACCTTAAAAAAGTTCGAGTTATTCATAATTTGAACGAATCATGTGATAAAAGTTAAGCGGGCGAAAAAAAGTTGTTGGCCTAGGCCTAAGGAGCTTGAAACTGGCTACGCCCCTGCTTCAAGTACCATTTCAGGTTAAAGTGACAAGTTCAATTAAAGTTCTTCATGACAGACAGACAGAAAAACATTTTACATTAATAAGTTTGTAACTATTCCACGATAAAAAGAGGGATCAACCAGATAACTTATGCTACTGGCTCTCAACTGTAAAATTACAAGGGCATACGTATGCTATGGCAATTGGTAGCACAGAAGGATAATCAAAGCACTATCAATAATAACAAGGTCTTTCTTTAAAACTTGTGTTGTACTACTAACAAATTAAAATACAGAGCAGAAATAATAGTTAACCAGAGTAACAGTGCTATAAACCACTGCAAGCCATGCACCTCTATCTGGTGGAGATCGAAGAGATCAGAGATTGGAGAAAAGATAGATTTGATTAATTTTTAACTTTGGTTAGTTTGCATCATTGGCCAGATTTACAAGTTGAGATGAGTTGAGTTTTTTATAGAACTAAATAACTAGCCTTATTAGATGTTCCTTTTTTGTTCCCTTGCAATTTTAATTTGACATCCAAATTTCTGTTATCGTATGCTTGACGCTGTCCTGGTGAGAGATAAAAAGAGAAATTTGGTTTCTCTGAAAATAAATACAACAAGAAGTACTGCCATCGGCAGTTTCTTCATTAAGGATTGGATCTAATATTCTGACATTTAGAAAAAGGATCCTAATGAAGAGATTTTAATCTCCTATTTTACTTTAAACTTTTGGACAATTACCCTCCATTCCCATGTCGGGTTTTTTTTTTTTTTTTTTTTTTTGGGGGGGGGTAAGGGGAAATTAAAAACTGCGATTGAAACCAGTTTTTTAATTTTGAAACACTATAGACATATATGGCTATGCGCATTATCAAGATTAAGTACAGAAATCAAAAGAGAAATAAGGAAATCAGTGATAGGTACTCGAACATTAAAATACAAGTTTCCCACGTTGCCCTGAAAGTCACGCTGTTCAAGAAGAACATGGCGGCTGCTATTGAGGATTTGTCTTATTCCAAGCTACGTGTATCTTGCTCTCCCTTCTTACATAAAACTCTTAAATAAATTTTACAAGGGCAACAACGGAAAACACGAACATTGTATTTCTATATAAAATACATCAAAACTTAGGTTATTTACCTGAAGAAAAGTATTGACAAAATGATCGACATCAAACTTGAACAATCCTCGGCGTCCGTCTCCACTGGATTCAGCAGACGAAACGACACACCGACCCTGACAGAACTGACAATATCCTAAGGTAATTTGGTCAAAACAACGTGTTTCTTGACTACATAGAAACTGTAAAAGACGCTGAAATTTCTTATAGTTCGTCAGCTTTGTTCACGTGCAGGACCGAGCTTAGATATGAATATTAATTTTTGAAAATTATTTGTTATTCAAATGAGTGTTCCGACTTTAAAGGGCGGAACGACGTTCATCGGTTAGTTTCGTTCGATTATAAAACAAAAGGTGTAAATATTGTTGAAATTTTAGAAATATTAATTCGGACTTATTAAATGACTTAAACTTCAAAAGTTTATCTTGAAGATACATTTCAGTCATTTAGTGATTACTTACTTTGCTTCACAGTAGTGACATGACTGTTATAAAGACTTCTCTTAATAGGAAGCACCTCAGACGGTTTCAAACAGACATGGAAACACCACAAATAATATTTCTGGCTCGGCCAGAGTTAGGTGTGATCCAGAGTCCTTTCGGAAACCATTGGTTTAACATCCTGTTCCGCCCTCACTTTAACTAATTCATTCATTCGAGTGAAAACACTAGCTTCTCGATAACTTGAATTACTTTACAATATAGCGCCAGGATATATTCAAATACGTGAAGTCGCTGATTTGCGTCAATCTAAAGGAAAAGTATAATCATGATCAAGACATCAGGGATTAGAGTTAAACGAGATTTTAGAGGGGCGGAAATAAAGAAAAGCCTCAGAGATGGGATCACTGACGGAAAAATATACTACATGCCTAGCTTGTTAGGGTGTGACAAAAATGATATCTCTGAGACGTGTACTTAGCTCGAGTTCACGACGTTATCCTGCGAAATAGCTGGGTCGAGAAATGACAGAACGCTTCACTACCATGAGGAAATATTTTATCCTCACATCTCAAAATATTAAAATGTCATTTTCCGGAAAGCCACGCAACATTCCTTGTCCAGTTTAAATTTGCCATGGAGTATAGCCTATATGGTTTGCTAGTTGTTTATTTCGTGCCTACTATCGGGTCTTCTTGGACCTTGCGAGATATACAAGAGAGGGATCACTTGATCACTGTTCAAGTTTATTATGATAATTAGATGAAATATTTTACAAGGATGATCAGTCACATAGATTTCATCCTTTAATTACATACAAGAGAAGTAATTCTAATTCTACTGATCTGATAACTGCTCACACCAAAATTTAGACGCCCGCTGTGATTTGCACAGCGATATTCTAGTCACTTCACCTGAAGATACATTAAATGAAACTGATGATTTTATGCCATATTATACTGACATTTTCCGTAGAGCTTCTTTCAATTATTGATTTCTTGATCATAAAGTCAATTACGCGAAGGAACACCGTTTTTGTCGACCTTTCACACAATGCAAGTCGTTTTCCATTTTTATATTGACCCACTTAATGCACCAATGAGGCATCACTTTCCAAAATAAATCAAAACCGTCCCTCACAACATCATTTTCAAAAAAAGCACTGTATTAATTTTTATAGTAGTTTTTGCTTAATATAATTCAACCTAATCAGATCCACCCCTCCCGTCCCTGGGGTAGTACTCGGCCAAGATGGACTGCGGAATTCGCTTCAACATCTCTTTGGGGAAGATACGCAGCAGCGACCATCCAATGTCCAAAGAATCAAATACAGACCTATTTTCGTATGTTCCTGGAAGAGAGAAAAATAACATTACTTCCTGCATTCTTGGATACCACAGTCTGCACAATGGTTCAGTGGAAGCTCTATGCAAGGGACCATATCAGGACAATGAAAAAAGGTCCCTTGAAAAGGTTTCCATTCAGTGAAGGTGACACACAAAAATTATAAGTTTAGGTCCTTTGATAAATCCCCACCAGAAGTGTCCTGAATGAGTAATTCCTCTGTACTATTTGATTTCAAAAGTTTCAGCATCCACTAATTGGGTACCATTTAATCAGCTTACTATTAAGCGTGAATCCTGAATATCTCAGCTAATACATATCACGAAAACTGCAGGTCGTTCAGTCACACGTGCGAACTTGCTAGTACACTGCACTTTGCTGGGATAATAGAATCTTTCTTAGGAGTATTTTAAGATTGGAACGGAAAAGGTTGAACCTTTGTCTTCATCCCACTGTACTTCTAAAATCTCCTTTAAGGAGGGGACTTTTCAGTTAGATGTTGGAGAGAACTCCTCTGATTCATTTTTTTCAGTGTAGACGATCACCCTCTCGTACCTTGTGTAATGAAATTCTTTTCAAACTTGGACAGGAATTCTAGATACAGCAGGTCCTCAGATGTAAGAGCCTCTTCACCCACAACAGCCTTCATGGCTTGCACGTCTTTGCCGATGGCATAGTTAGCATACTGAAAATGAAGAGCGAAGACACATTGGGGCATTTTTCAATTGAGTGTCAGTGTCATAAGCAATTCCTGATTGCATTGATTTTGCTTTACTTTGCTTTGTAACTGTTCAAGAAAACTCTCATCGCCCCCTCAAGTAATTATTTGCAAACCTAAAACCAAACTGTAGAGCCCATATGTGGTTAAACAAAGGAGGTTTAAGGAACTAGAGCAATGGGAAAAGGACAAAATTAATCTCTGATTTTACACACTTTCCCACAATTAATCCTCAAATCTACCTAATGAATAAATAGCGAAAAATCTCTTATGCCAGGCTAAAGCAACTACTTTCTCTTTAGCGCACAAATGGCTGGAAATAGACGAAGACAAATTCCATTTTTTGCAGTTTTCCCCTTTACCGAAGACGTGATGCTTAACTACTCTAAGTTTAATAATTGATTCATCATGCCCCACGCAAGGTTTCATCAAAACAAGTAATTCTTCAGGTACAACTGTAGACATTCGTCAACACTTCCCAAAATATTTTTGCCCGACTCATCAAGAAAAAAGATAACAATTGAGGCACTTATGAAGATTTTATCTAAAGCAAAGCAGAAGTCATACCAGTTGGTTAGAAACATCTGCATGGTCTTTTCTTGTCATGCCTTCACCAATGGCAGACTTCATCAACCTTGACAACGACGGCAGCACGTTTATCGGAGGATACACCTGGAAAGAGAAATAGCCCCAATGCAAGGTCAAAAGAAAACTTACATACTCATGTTTTCGTTTCAGTTTTTTTTAATCCAATTGAAAGAGAACCTTGTTTACGTATCTACTCCACAGTTTCTGGATCTTGAAAATGAAGGGCGGGATTTTATTTTTCATAGAATTCTTTCCCATCACTCAAATAATTTCTCCTAGCAATTTCTATTCGTTATCTAGCAACCACGTTGTAAGAATATGTAATGGTAATAGGACTGCGTGGAGTCCAATTCGGTCTGAAATCATACGAGTGATAACAAAATCGGACAACCGCGCAGCGAGAGAACAATTCACTTAACACGAGTCACCAGTTTATCATAAAAATTACCATTTCCGAGAAAAGAAAAATAGCCAAGTTATGAAAGAGAGGAAAAATTTTGAAAGCCCCAATTAAAAAGTACACTGTTTCTATGGTGATTGAAATCAAGGTTGTGATTGGTTGATTTAAACTACAACTTTGAAAGTGATTGGTTGATAACTTCGAAGGTGATTGGTTTTTTGAACGATAACAAACTGTACGCTAACAACTTAGCAAGTGAATAATTGGAAATAAGAGTTTTTTTAAAGCAATAATAATCAAGAAAATTGTGGTTTTTTCTGATTAACAAAGTTATTAGCTTGATTGTGTCTTCTTGATATGATAACAAACTAATTTACCTCATTTAAAGAAACTTCTGAAGCCGAATTAGATCTTAGATTAACGACATACATGTCTGGGTTAAAGTACTATTAAATGTTAATTTTTTTTAGTTTACGTCGTTTCATATCATCATTGTATCAAAACAAGGTCAAAGTATTAGCGTCGCTTGTTTCCTGTGGTGACACAACCAGGTCTGTCTTTCATGTAACTGTACCAGAATCATACCTGTCTGTTGTGGAGCTGACGATCTACATAGATCTGCCCTTCTGTAATATAACCTGTCAAATCTGGGATGGGATGGGTGATATCTACAAACAACAAGAAAAAGAAATGTTTGAGGCCCTTCACCACGCAATGAACAATGCAGGTCTTACTTGCTAGAGCAATATTACTGCATTAAATAAGGTACACTATGATTGAGCTTCGTAGGAAGAAAACCAAGTTTAACACAACGACCAATCAGAATGGTGGAAATTAAAAAGTGCGGTCGATTGTAGGCTCAATCTGTGCCACTTTCTTAGGTCTGGTCATTAATCCTTGGAGGGGGGGAAGGGGGGAGTGTATGAACTTCTCTCTCTTAAAGATTCTGGCTAGAGAGAGTGGCTGATGGTAACTTGCAATGTAAATGCATGCAACCAGCCTTAAGAAATACAAAATGCACGTAACCAAGTCATGAATGGCTTTAGTTAAATTGCAACTGACTCGTTGTGGGGGTGGTGATAGTTTTGTAGACCAATCGGAGAACAAAGTAATATTGATCTAACATTGACTGTGAGTATCTAGGAAATGACTTCCAAAGCGCAATTTTCACTTGATCCAAGATTTCTTTGGCTTTCTTTTAATTCGTTAAGTGATTAGTCCTGAAAACTCGCGCCACATTCTGAACCACTCAGATTCAAAACTAAAACCAATGGCGACTTGCCCCAGTCACATTTTCCTGCTCTTCAGGCAGTTTGCTTGTTTTTTCCGTCGAGTTCTCATTGGCTCACTCCTCGTGATATTTTCCCTACTATGATTGGCTGTTGTGATTGCTTTAGTTATGGTTTCACGACACTCAACCGAGAAGCACCCTAAGATGTTAAACCAAATTCTTCCTTACCATCATTAGGCATAGTCAAAATGGGAATCTGTGTGATGGAGCCATTTCTTCCTTCCACACGTCCTGCGCGCTAGTAAACAATAAAAGTAATGTTAGTTAGATTTAGTCATTTCAATAACCGGATCTCACGCTCTCTGAGATAGACTGGACACTGTACCTCATAAATTGTGGCCAAATCAGTGTACATGTATCCTGGAAAACCACGACGACCAGGAACCTCTTCACGGGCAGCAGAAACCTGCACAGTGAAAAATAAAAGAATATTTATCAATTCCCCTCCCTGTCCTCAATGTATTCCTTAAAATTGTAGCTTGGAGAATTTGGTGTCAAATTAAAAAATAACCCCCTGTTGATATTTCACAATCTTCTCATCGACTGCCTGGTTGATAATGCATCGATATTGTAAGGAGAAATTACTTATTGGTCACTTCCGAGAGTGAAAGGGTTAAAAAATAAAAATCCGTCAAAGTGAGGCGACCAACATGTTTTGTGATTTTCCACTACGAAGCAGATCTATAATCATTTTGGAAAAGTTTTCCCCCTACGTTATTTTGATGCATTGCTTTCACCTATCTAATAGCAACAAAAATGATGCAATTCTCAATCTTAACATGACGAAATAAAATGTAACTGACCTCTCGCAAAGCCTCGGCATAAGAACTCATGTCTGTAAGAATAACCAGGACATGGTTCTCACACTGATAGGCCAGGAACTCCGCTGTTGTCAGTGCTAGGCGAGGTGTGATGATACGCTCAATACTAGGAAAGTAAAGTCAAAATTCAAGAAAACCATGGCTTTCACCATTTATTACGATATTTTGCGTCACTTCTAACATCATGCACTATTTTAAACTTGAAAACACACACACACACACAAAAAAAACCACAAATTCAGGAAGATATAATGAGACAAAAAGAAATGAAAAGGAAGATGCGAATGAAAGCTAAATGATTAAAATGTCCATTATTAAACCAATTTGCAAGACAAACAAACACTGACATACATGTAGCTCGGACGTGGGAAGGGGGGGAGGGGGGAGAGACTGGCATTTTAGCATCTCCAACTGAATGTCTTTGTGGACCACAAGCTTTCAACAGTGTTTCAACCGTAGTCAGGGTTATACAAATTTATATGCAATAAGGAAAATTTTTTTTTGGTGCTAAACAGGGTCAAACAATCTGAGCAGATTTTATCTTGAGAAAATTCAGAGTTTTTTTCAGACCCTTGCAGCACACCAACAAACCAACTTCTCTCAAGCACCCCTAAGATATAGCTCCTTGTTTTATGAGCCAAGTGAATATCAAGCAGACAAGAGACATGGAAAATAAAAATATCAATAAAAGGGTTATTAGTTCATCACTACCAAATTCTCTGAACTTACATCATAAAAACTGTAGGACAGAAAGTTAGGAGAATTATCAGTGAGGTATTGCAAGTGAAAGGGTTATAAGAAATAACTTTAACAAGACCCATTTAAATAATAAAAATATTATTCTCTATAAAATAATCATGGACAAAATAATCATGGATGATATCTATATTAAGTAAACAAGAAATTCTCTTACGTTGGATCATTGGCAAGATTAAGGAACAAACACACATTCTCCATGGAACCATTTTCTTCAAAGTCCTGCTTGAAGAAACGTGCAGTTTCCATGTTGACCTGATAAGGACACAATTTTACAGAAAATTATAAAAACTGCAAATTCCAGACATATTTTGTATTGTAATCAGTAAAACATGACATTTTAAGTAATTTACTGCCACCAGGGTTTTGGAATAGCAAGCCCAGCAGGAAGAAACAGAAACTGTCATGGAAACAGACATACAATGTAGATGGGTGACAGACACTGTGTGAAAGCCTTATTGTACATGTATGTGTCACTAGTCACAAACTGGATTAAACAGTTCACCACATTGCAATAAAATCTTTTCCATGAGGCACTTGAATAATTTTTGCTGAAAATATGGAATATTCAAGTTTATGTATATGGATGCCTGATATAAAGCCATAGCCAACAACAGTACTTGAAAAGGTGGAAATCACATTTGAAATGACTGACAAAATGTAAAACAATGGGTTGTTATTTCAAAAGTCTCCTTCCATCTCTTCCACTTTTAATCCCCCAACTCTCAGAGTGACTAACATTAATTTCTCTGTACAGTTCCACGGCTAAATTAAACATTAAGGTTATCAGTATGAGAATAAAGAAATTCTCCTAATCAGTACGGCACGAAATTTAAGGAGAACAGTATGGATAATACATGAGTACAAATGCTGGTGTGAAAGGGGTTAATACAAATATTGAGAAGGAAAAAGAGAAAACAGAAAATCTCTAATTCTCTCTCTAAAATAAAGTACTATGCATAAAGTTGGTACTTACAAACTCATGGTTTTAATTGTTTAACTAGTTATATCAATGACATATATCTTTTATCAATGTATATATAACATAGACAGAATACTTACACCCATAGCAGCAAAAACAATGGCAAAGTTGTCACTGTGGTCATCCATTACTCCTTTCTTAAATTTTACCAAACCTGCTTGCCGACAAATCTGAGCTGCAATCTGACATGAAGAAAAATGTAATATACAGATGTGAGGGCAATTTAAACTATTGCAAACAGATAAATAAACACATTATTTGGCTGACTATTCTTGTACACTTACATCATTGTGAGGCAAACCTGCAGCAGAAAATATGGGGATCTTTTGACCACGAGCAATGCTGAAATAGTGAAAACAATTACACAAAGAATCAAATTGAGAAGAATTCTGTGAAAAATAAAGAATGACATTTTATGCTTTCAATTATCTGTGTTGCTTCTGCAGGCATTTCAGTTAAACTGCCCCCAAATATAATCACATCCAAAGACAGTTGTGAAGCCAACTACCACACCAAAAAACACATGTATATGCTTCTGAAGTCTAACCTGTTCATTGTATCAATAGCAGAGATCCCAGTTTGAATCATTTCTTCAGGGTAAATTCTGGACCATGGGTTAATTGGTTGACCTGTGTTTGAAGTAAGAAGTCAAAAAATCTTTACAAGTAATGATTTAATAAATTTTTCTATTATCCAGCAAAATTGACACAAATAAGTAAATCAAAATTTTAACATTAAAGGTTGTACCTAATTTCTCCAAGAAAAAAAAAAAAAAGAGAAAAAAATGAAAAAACAGTGGTAATACCCAAAGATATCTAAAAACCCACACGGAGCTAGTGTGAAACTTATAAATCTATAAACACTTATGGTTTCATTCCAACAGCTCAGTTGTGTATTTTTGACTGGTCAGGCTAATGTTCAAGAAAGGCAAGCACATCTCTAAACCACACACAGCCTTCTTTTTGCAGTTGAATTTTTTCAAAATAAATGATACTTTGCTCATTTCCTTAAAAACAATAACACTCCTGAAATACATTTTAAGTACATGGTTTTCTGAGTTTCACGGTAGAAATGCTGAAGACGGACAAGAAACACAGAAACACCACCTTGAATGTCCAAAAAATCTTCTGCCATGACGGCAGGTCCTCTATCAATTGCCTTTCCTGACCCATTGAAGACACGCCCTAAACAAAAAGTATGTAATGGATGCAAACATTAAGACCACAGCCCTGCATTTGTGATTAGACATAATTTTCTTACACTGCTCAAGCTCTAAAGCAAGAATATTTTACTTTTGGTGAGCAAATAAATAAACAAACAGTTGAGTGTTTTACTGGTTTTGGATTGTCAAGGTCGTTTTAAATTTTATAAGAAACATATTCAAAATGCATAAACTAAAAACCTACTAACTGAGTTTTTGGTTGGGTTGAACGGGAAAATATTTGGCTTAGGGTTATAGCCCATCTACAGACTAACAAGGTCTTTCTACAGGGAAAACTTTTTTCCTTCAAGTCAGAACAAGAAACTCATAATTCATCAAGAAGAGTGACTCACTTTCTCATTAGTTTAATTTTAAGTTGAAGTCCACAATTTCAATTCACATTCTCAAAAATTGAAAAAGAGGCCTGTGATTAAGTGCAGGGCCTGACTGCTTCTTCTGAAGTAGCTCACATCAACCTGTCTGGTCCTTCACACACCAGCTCTCACTATGCATTTCTATGGGATTACATTTGCCAGTCACTTGAACAATACATAAACAGATCTATACTACCTACCCAACATATCTGATGACACAGGAGTCCGTAAGATATCTCCAGTAAATTCACATGTCGTGTGCTTAGCATCAATACCAGAAGTTCCTTCAAATACCTACATGTTTCAAACAAGAGAGTTTAAAAGCATGCTGGTACCAGTATTGCCAAAAATTAAACATAAATGCTATTGAAAAATACCAAACAATGTCTGTACTGCAAATTCCAGCTCAGCTACAAGTTCATGTACATGTATATCATTCAGGCTAAAATGAATCTAAGGTCAAAATGGTTTCAAACTAATTTGATTCAACATCCCTAGTCTTTAATGTACAATACATCATCATTATCCTTTGACAAAAAAAGAAAAATAAATGCACTTAGTCTTAATTCACTCTAACCTACAGTCATTTTCACCTCCAACATAAACTTTGTTCAGTTAAGAACAAAAACTGGTACATGCACATGTACAGTTGTATTAAAAAAAATTGTTTTTTGTCTGTGGTGAGATTCCAGTTTAACCTTCTGTTGAAGTACGAACCAATTTACATCAGATTGTGTGAATAGCCTACAGCATTGAATTTGAACACAAAGTTTAAAACTGTCAGATGCACCATTACTTTTAAGTACCTGCACCACTGCTTTGGATCCACTGACTTCCAAGACCTGACCACTTCTTTGTGAGCCATCTTGTAAAGTTAAAGTAACAATCTCGGCAAACTTTGGAAACTAAGGGAAAGTAAAAGCAAGGCTGTGAAATTCTTTTAGGCTAAATCTATTGTTATAGTTTCATTATACAATATTTTCTGCCTTTTTTTATTTATTTGTGATGATCAAAGTAGCCCCATGGTTTGCTCAGTGGATACCAAACGAACAGGTGTGAGTTTATGCCTAAGCAGTTCATTGTGTTGCAAACCTATAGGATCTCAAATCCCACGGAGAACGATTTTTAAGAATGGGCACTAGGAGGTAGGGACCATATGGCTTTTAGGCCTAAAATGATCATGTAGACTAATACATGTTTTAAAATAACTAATCTCAATACAAATTAAGTTTAAACTCAGAGAACAGAAAATCAAATGAGAACTCCCAGAAATGAATTAATTATTTCATTTCTTCATTTAGGACAAAACTACAAATTCTAAAAGTAAATTTTGAACCTATTTGAGTTAAGGTAGAAGCACAGCTTAAAGATACAACTTCTACCAGCCTAACAAAAATGCGTCTTCTTTCACTCTTTCTTTTTTTCCCATTAAGTTTTAATAATAAAGCAGTGTGAATGCAGAGTGGGACCAGCTCACCTCAGCCCATTTGGCCCTACACACATCAGCTTTCATCTAAAGTTTTCTAAGAATTCTATTTAAAGGGCTGTAGGGTTGTATGGTAAATCACATGACAATACATTATAAACATTGAGGATAAAAATCCAGATTTATGGCCCACACACCTCTCAGGCATAACCATGAACAAAAACTGGTCTTGTTAGAATCATTCTCCCACTAAACATGTTAATATGTTGAGTTAGTCCCATTGGGACTCCCCAGAAATTTATTAGTAATAAATAATTCAAGTTTTAAGGAAGAGAATTAGAAATTCTGAAAATAAATGATTAACTAACTTGAAGTCAAGTAGAAGCACAGCTCTGAGATAAATCTCAGACAGCTCAATCAAATTACAAAATGGAGATGTATTGGCAGTTTTATACTTTAAGGAAGTTCTGATTGAATTTTCTGCCCTTGGTAGAGAACAAAACTGATGTAATCACATGAAAAATCGTTCTGCACAAAAGATCACAACTGGTCAAAAGATTATGTCTGGATATGTGTTACAAATAATTCACAATTGTTGTGTATAAAGGAACTGAAATGAATCGACAAAAACCTTGCACATGACCAAATCGAACCAGGACGAGTTTCGGCTGAGCTTGTGTCCAGGCATAAATATTTAAAAAACGCAAATTAAATTCAGAACCCGGGATCGATCGCATCAAGGTAAAAAGCTTCAGCTTTTGTTGAGCCGTATTTACCTTCACATCATCCAAGATCACTAAAGGACCATTTACTCCTGAAACTGTTTTGTACGCTGGAAAGCAAAAGCAACAAAAATTACGATCAAATGTGACTTGCAGAGATAAGCGTGAGACGTGTAAACTTCATCGATTTAAAACAGAAAGAGGGGACGAAAAGCAATCGAATGGCACATGACGGTGCTCTTAGATAATTCAAAGTAACTTACTCAATCTTGGCTGTGAAATATAGTTCCTTGTTACAGCGGCAGCGTGTTCTTTGGCGACTCCATTTTCACCCGTTGTCGGCGCCATCTTGTAATATAATTGGCAGCATTACGTCACGTCACATGACAAATAATTTTAGGGTATGAGGGTCGAGTATGAAGTGATTGAGATAAAGGAAATTCGAAGAGTACAAAAACTACCCGGGTTACGCGAACCGTAAATTATTTTCCTCGTGTAAACAGCCCCAATGGTAGAGCAAATACCAGTAATGAACAAATGTTCTCTTAAATTTCTTCTGGAACAAATGTTGATTTTTTTAACTACACTTTTTTTTTTTATCAATTTTCATTTTGTATTTTTAATTTTTTTCTTTTTCTTTTAGGAACACAATAGCAATACGTGTTAAAAGCAAGAGACATTACCCTCTCTTGTAAAAAGATATTCAACAAAAGCACAGTCATTCATCGAAATTTATTTTCATTACTAGTTCGTGGTCCATAGTCTTGCCAACCGAACGTCGGCTGAAAATCTCGCACTTACATCTTGTTCGATGCTTTAATAATTAAAAAAAATATTCATAAACCTTGTGCTTGTTTGATTTACTTTTTTATTCAAAATTCTTGTTAACCCGGTATTGAACCAGCCGTTTTCCCAACCCATACTGATGTTATAAGGAAAGATCAGGGCTGAGGCTGAAAAGTTGGAAGAGGGGGGCAGGGGGAGATATCAAAGGCCAGAGCTTACAGGAGAAACGTGTGGGTAAAAACAGAGAGACAAGGGAGTACACGTTTGACAAATAGGCCAGGGTAGGGGGGTGGTGGGGGGATTGTATCAAATCTCTCAGCACCGTATAACCTTCCTCCCCGTCACACCTCACAGCTCGACGAAATGTCCAACTGACAGAATAGTTTTTGGCAGTAAGCAAGAGAAAATAACAGTGACAGAATGATCAACAAAGAGCAGTCTTGAACAACACTGAGTTGTGATCGTTTTTGGTGTAATTTATTAATCCATAATTAATCCCTAATTATACCGCGAGGTGAAAAGAACCGAATGCGTATAGCTGAATTTTTTTTAAAATTTGATTTGGTTGAGACAGAAATAATTGGTGGAAGGAGTTTTAAATTCTCTTAAAAATTATTTTTTTTATATAAGGGGAACCAGTCAATTGGCACTAGTAGATTGCAAGATTTTGTCTCAAGGAACAAAATGAAGCATGCCTCTAGCACACGCTATCGCAAACTGACACTTTTCTTCCTGTTTTAGTGTCTCCTTCTCAAGATAACGGTTGTCCAAATTAACGATGGGCTAAGTTGATTCAATTTACTAAAAAAATATCAAGAGGTGTTAAATCTTGGCGGGCTCTACCGCAAATGGCAATTAATTGAAATCTATTCAGTGAATAAATGTAAAAATCGAATCAGTAGGTGTGTTCTTTGTTTTTCTTGTCGATTTTTTTTCGATGCTTCTGAGACGCCAGCAAACGGGCACAGCTCTCTCGATCCAAATCCAGTTCAGTTATGTAGCTCTACGAAAATAGCTGAAGATGTTTGACTAACAAACAGACCATTATTCCATGGTCTAGGAAGGGTGACAGAGAGGGAACAGAAATGGAAAAGATAATAACATTCGGACTGAAAAGTCGTCTTTCACGTGTTTTTCAGTTTGATACAAGAGGCAATTTAAAATGAGATTTGCAAACATGGTCAAGGCTATCTAAGATCTTTTCTTAGTAAAGGTTAGGCGCTGTGTTTTACATTATTCTGGGAAGATCCGGCTCATTCATCAATATAAAGAATGTATTTCAAAAATGAACGATAAATTTTAATCGTGTCGTTGTATATTAGGAGACAATTTATTTGTTTGCATCACAAAACTTTTTTATTTCTGACGTAGGCCTGTATGGTCTAATCTAACTAAGCATTTCAAATTGCCTCTCTATAACATGAGAATCATATAAAACTGCTTTAGATTACTATCTTCGCAACTAAAACACAGTTTCAGAGAGAAAACATGCTGGACATATGTTTGCATTCAAATGCTGTAGCGACTTGATTCGACACGGATTGCTTTGAAATTCAGTTCATAGTTTTGTATAGAAGCAGGGCACCTCCCATAAAAAAAAACTTGGAGGATTTCTTTGAAATAAAAGTGATTAAAATCACAAAAAGTAAAACAGTGAACGGAGAACAGTAGGAATTCAAAAGAGAAAATCGAACAAAGCTCATGATCAAGTCTTTATTCAAACAGGGGCACGTGTCTCTTTAGTTAATTTTAAACAATACAAGTTTAATCAAGATCGTCTAAGCATCAAACTGTTTTATGGACTTAATATGATAGAAGGAAGCCTTTCATCCTTCAGATGTGAGCAGAATGATTTTTTATTTTCAATTAAAATCACTCGAAATGGGCGTAGATTTAAACATGCGTGAAACTAGAAATTTTGTGGGCAGAAATAGCTTACTTAGCCTCTCACCTCTGAGAAATACGAACAAGTAATAAAAAATGTAATAAGGCATCGAATTATCGACTCAAATAAATATTGACTTTTCATTCTTCTAAACTAAAAATAGGCGGGTTTCAACAGACATCAGTTTTCCCGTTATATGCGTGATTTACTTGCCTCAAGGAAGACTTTTCCTGAGCGCGTTTCATTTTCTTCCGCTTAAAACAAACTGATAAGCAAGAAAAATAGTACTTCTTCTATCTTACCACAAACTACGCAGACGGGTAATCGAATTGCTTTCATGTCGATTTTATGAGTAAAGAACTCTTGATCACACGTGCCGCAGTACTTCTAGAATCACCTGCTGCGGGTACATAGTGTAATCCACACACGGTCGTCGATTGCCAATAAATTCATTTTCGCCGTTTACTATATTGTTTTCATACGACGCTCGCAGTTGTTATTAAATCATCAATTACTCTGACACTTTACAGATAACCTCATTTCTTTCAGGACTGCTCAATTTACTCCTGCTAAGATTATTGGTTCGTGCCGCACATCAAACAATTGTAACTGATTGTGTATTTGCGGCAGTTTGTCAGCTATTCTAAGCTCGTAAGAAGAATATTTATTTCCTGATGAAAGTCGTTTCGTAAGTAATGAGTCCACTGCTTTCCTTTTACGGTCATTTTAGCTGCATTTAGACACCGATCTTTCTCAAAAGAAAGAAAAATTTTCGAAACGATATCTTCGTTCTTATCGTTATTCTTGATTAATTACCTTTCTTCAGAGTTCTCAGCGTGGTCGGTTTTGCTTGCTTTCGATGGATACTTTTGTGATCACTCTGTTTGCGTTTAAAATTTCCATACGATACCGCCAATCTTTATGAAATAAATTTAATCAGCCATTAAAAGTTGTTCTTTTTATGAGCTATATTAAGAATTATTCACATTCCAAAATGTCTGGTAAAATTTGGCGTACATGATGGAATAGTTTTCAATCTCATATATTTATTTACAGAAGAACAAACATCAGTGTAGGAGGTTACGAAGGCCAACATACTTACTGAGAGAAATTGTCAACACCTTACCATACTTAGCGGCGTTCTTTCATCAAATATCTTCAGGAAAAATAATGTAGTAATCTCTATAAGGATAAGCTTTTAATGAGGACCTACTCGGGTTCTTGTACAGGTCTCACAATCACTAACTACACAAGTAAAAAATTCAAAGTATTCCATTTTTTTTTTAACTATTAAGTAGGAGAGAAACTTCGTTGCGTAAAACGAAGTCTTCTCCTACTTTATAATTGGTATAAATTAATCTCGAAAAGCATTAACCAGTTTATTGATTCCGTTTTATTAGATTAAAACAAAAAAAAACTTTCACCTTGCCTGAGAATAGGGACTACCACATTTCCACGCCAAACTGGCGGCAACCATTAGTGCTTTTGTTCGAAACTCAATTTCCAGACTCCCTTTACAGCGCATCCGATAATTAGCGCCGTTTTTGCGAGGATATTGCTCTTCTACGGTCGTTATTACAACCAAACGGCTCTTTAATAAGCGCGCTTACTTGTTTACTTGCAAACGAGCGCATTAAATTATTTACGCCAAGTGTGCGAGTGATGTGGGCTGCAAAGACGATCTGAATTCTTCAGCGCGAACTTCTGGCGCACTCAAATGGCAAATCTGCCGAGGTAATCTCTCTTCCCTTGATACGTGACTTAGATTGAAAGTGAAAATACAAATAAAGTGACAATGAATCAGAACCTGGAGCATGTTACTAAGTTTTTTTTTAAGCTTTTCACCTGCACTCCTTTTCCGTTAAGGGCGATTAATTTCCCATGAAATTTCTGGCACTTGTTTCGCACCCATATACGACTAGCTAATGAAAGAGAATGATTTGATTTCTAAGAAGTGTATTTTTCAAATTATGACCATCTAAATTGTATGTTAACTATTCATTATTTTAACTTTTTGGCAGACTGTCTTTTTTTCGATAGAAAGAAAGTACAAATACACAAATAAGATTGCCTTTTCAACGTAAGTGCACGATTTCGTTTTTCGTACTTTTCAGAATAGGTTCCCCGATGACTTTGGACAACCTGCTGACTTTAAGTGCAATTACTATACAATTTACAATGAACAACAACGTCCTTGGGACAGAAAAGAACCAAAGAACAAAATATTGCTGGTGTAGATTAGACAGTGTTACATCCGATCTTCTGATTAAGTTATTATTACACACAGCTCAATGTAAACAAAGACCAAAAATGATTATTTCTCACTTAATACAGTAATATCCGTTTTCATTTATTCCGTGTATTGACCTAAGCTTAAATAAAAGACGCACTTATAAACGCATTTAGCTCAGAGTTACCGAGCCCGGCTTCATCCAGGACCGTCCCAAAAGGAGATAAAACCGAGAAAAAACAACAGTTGAGCCTTCATGATGTCGACAAACTTCTTTTACTACCGATGTCCTTGTCCTTCGGCAGATTGTAACGGGGCCATCTGTAGATATCAAGACATCGTAGCCGCGCCAGTTCAGAGCCAATATACGTCTCCATCCTGCTCACTTTTCGCGCCCGAGAGGAAGCTTTTGACTTATCCAACCACCACTAAGGATGTAGCAAGCCCAACGGGGAAATACGAGTCCATATCGACCCCGATAACGATCGCACGGGACAACTTTCGGTGGACGCCATACCCAAGTCAAAGCAGGGTCACTCAAGAAAGTTCCTCACCGCCCAAAACAACCTCTGAGAGACGTAAGTTGGTTTCTTTTGCTACTTCACATCGAGTTGGTGTCGGGGGTAAAAAATGTCCTAAGTATGTCATAAAGTGCATTAGCACTTAAAATCTTACAAAAAGAGAAAACGAGGAAAGATTTTCTGTCAAATATTGAGTTAAAAGTTGGCAAAAATAATCAATTTTCCGTCCTTTCAACTTCCAACCATATCGATAAGAAGGTAAAAATTCAGTCGATAAATTTGATCCTAAGTGTTCAGTTACGTAAGGTCAACTTACTGCATCCATCGCCTGGAGAACGATCTATGTTTTTTTATGAGTTTCGCAACTGTTCCGAAGTTTCTTATCTAAGATAAGTTTCTTATCTACATTGTACGAGCTCTATTGCGATCACGATATTCCACCGACGGTAAAATTTTCGAGTATACAGTCAAGAAATTATCAGCCGGCATTGTTTCTTCTTGTCTCGTTGACTGGAAAGACACGTCATGAAGGAAAAAGTGGAACTGCTAAACAAACACTGGTACCCATGACGTTTCAAAATAACTAGACCTGATGTAGTTTTATCTGTTCACTTGTAGCACAAAGTAGCACATCTGCGCATCAAGGAGGCCAGAAGACGACAAGCCGAAGGACACGCCGCGTTCGAACCGCTTTCACACCATTTCAGCTTCTTTGCCTTGAGACGTCATTCGAGAAGAACCACTACGTGGTGGGCTCCGAAAGGAAACAGCTGGCATCATACCTTAAGCTCAGTGAAACACAAGTAAAGGTGTGGTTCCAGAACAGAAGGACCAAATGGAAAAGACAAGCTTTGGAGAACCGGGCGGACCTCAACAAAGATCCTTTGACACCATAAAGGAGTTGAAAAAACCTGGCCAGTTCAACCCTTTGACTTCCAAGTCAAGTAATTCTCTCTTTAAGCTGCCATAGTTTACTCTTACTTTAATTGAGAGAATTCCAAGATAATCACACTTTAGATGATAAGTTTTTCTTGTCTCGTCTTTGCTGGATAATGTAAAGGTATTGTAAGGAGAAGTAAAATTGTAATCAATTTGAGGGTTTCTGTGGCTTGTCATGGGAGTCAATCATCGCAGTCAGCTTGCAGTTAAAAAAAGCTCCCAGAAGTGATTAGCATGTAACTTCTCCCTATAATATCCATACATTAACCTGCACACAGGTAATAAGAATATTTAAACTAATCAGGTGGAAGTTGTTATCTTGGTCCAACACTAAATTCTCTTATCTAATTTATAAGGAGATGTGTTGCAACGAGATGGGAGAATGAACAATCAGATTTTGGGACTTAAAAGGGTTAAGCACAAATCAGTGCGAGTTTTTATATTCGATTGTCCAGGGTCGACTAGCACATTGAAAAGTTTATTTTACGACCAACTTGAGTTTTCCGCATAACTGTAACTATGCCTGGCTAAGATTCGCCTCACAATGTACCTGTTTCACTGTGAAAAATACCTTTTAAGATAGAAAATTGTAAAACACCACTCGCGTATCATTTAGCTACGTGTAAAAATCACTGTAAAACTGCGTCATTTTGTAGATAAGTTCTTCGTATTTTCCCTTCCTTTTTTCGGATAAAGGGGAACACAACCGCTGTACATAATCTGCTCGGCTGCTCGATCATCACAAATGTGGTCGAATTCAAACCTTTACTAATTCATTTAAATTAAAACACTTTATTTGGTATAAGATTGTGTATGATTCTTCACTCTACGAGGAAGATTTTCTCAAATATTTTATTTAGTTTTACACCTTTGCAAAAGGGTCTACTAGCAATACTGTGTTTCCTTCCATTTTTCCTTACAGTAAGATAAAACGCTGATATAGCCTAGAGAAATAAAATTAATTAATCTTGGATTAGTGGTAACCGTTTTTTGCACAACCTTGTAATGAATATAAAACGTTTCTGGCGATTGTTTTCGTTCCCACCTCATTAAAATGTGGGAAATTAACAACCATTACTGACCAATACCGTAAGTGCTGGCTCCATACTCATGACCACACTATGGCCATATCCAACGGGGTCCTTTTCTCTCTGAAAGGCCCCAAATAACTCCCATGGACCTTTCTCGTGGGTATCCTAGGCAAAAGGACACATAGCGCACCTCATCGATCACACGGTCCCTATTACGGTGTTGATGTCCATGCAAATGTACCTTCGAGCCAATCTTTCTGATTTGCTCTTCTATGGTTTTACAACCTGCAAAGCGCGTAAAATTAAACTGGATTTGCGATCCTTGGGCTTTGGGATTGTCTAACTGCGGGAGGTGTAGTTTTTTCCTCTCGTCTTGGACTCGTTCGATGTCCTCTTCTGAAGCAGGGATGAGTTCACCACGAGGCAAAAAATGACTGAAGGATATAATTGGCGCGTCGTAATCCCTTGTTAAAATGTTTTCGTTGAGTTTAGCAAAGTACTGAGCAACAGATCCTTGAAGCACAGGCCATTTACAGAGATGATTATCCATCCAGACCTTGTTGGACAGTTCTGCATCTTCAGTGTCCCTTCCAACAAATAACGAGTTATGGAGGTCGTCCTCCGGTTTGGCATACCAGGAAAATATTGGCACAACCCAGGCCGCGGTATCGTTACAGCATTGCACCTTTACAGGTTTGGTATGAACGCCAATCGAATCACACATAGCCAAGATTGCGTGGAATTTATCGATGGAATTGTTGTGACAGTAGGTATTTTCTACCTGACGAATCCAGAGCTCGTGGTTTCCTGAAATAAAAAAGATGTATACACAGTCAGTAGGGTAAAAAAAAAATACGAGAAAAACTTGAGAGTAAATTGAGAACACGAAAATCCCTTACTAAAAAACCAAGTCTGGAGAATGGAATAGCAATGATAATGATAAAGCCAACGTGAATTCCTTCGAATGAGGCATGCAAAATAAATGTCTGGTAAAAGGGGGTATCCACCGTCCCCTCCCTGCATAAAAAATAAAGGTTAGGTGTGGAAGTGACGCGCACAGATCCACAAGACAAGCCTGTGCAGCTGGATGTTGATGGGAATTTTGAACAATTCGACTTCTCATTTGGATCTGCTGCTCCAAATGCACATTACTGCCTGAGCTCATCTAGTGTCTTCATACCATGTATTTAACTCCTAGGTGGAGACAGGCTCACTAACACAATAGTCATGGTCAATGATAACCTCTGCCATGATCTCAGTCAGTGGAAGGTGTGAAAAGGGTGGCACCTTTTCTCCTTTCCAAACTGCCACCAGTTTTTGCTTGCCCTATCTTACAACCCTCTTCACTGACTGAGAGCATAGGGTAGGCCAGGACTTGCAACTGGACATATTAGACCAGATGGATGGATGTTAAGTATTTGCCAAGGTTTCCAACTTATTATTATTTTGTACTTAATTGTCCAAAATCCTCATCTATCCCTACTACACCTAGGTTGCAGTTACTGTATCTCATAAGTAACAGGCTCCACTCTACTATTATATTGATAAAATACTTGTACAGTCAAACCTCTGAGTATGTACAATTCCCAAAAATGGACACTTGGGTATAAACAAAAGTTTCTTATGTTCTCACAAAACTTTGACAGATACAGACCCTATCTCATACAGACAACAGAAACATTCTCTTGTGGAAATTAAATCTCAATCCCAGAGAGAGAAAAAACTTCTAAACTTAACCTCTTTTCTTCTTGCACGCTGGTAATCAGGTGATGATGGCATGTGTATGAAATACAAACTTATGTTTATAAATACAGAAACATGAATGCTTCATTAACAAGAAACTTAGCCCAAAATAAAGAAAATACCAAAAATACTGATTAAAGAACCAACACTTCTTTGATATTTTACTCTGGTAAGATATTTCTCTCTGAGTAAAGTACTAAGATTTCTTTGATATTTTACTCTGGTAACTGATATCTGCAGTTGTGAACCCTTCCAATCTTTAGGTGCAGCATTACCTTTGGTGTTTGTTTCATTTTCTGTTAGACAGTGCCCACATTTTTCTTTTTTTCACAGTATTCAAACCTGTGCCATCCAGAGACTAGTTGGGCTTCATTATCACCTGAATTACATGTACAAAGCTACATGCTTGGAGCAAGGCAAATTTTAGTGGGTTCTTTGCTCCAAGTTAAATGTAAAATCAAGGAAACATTACATTTTCCACAGTTTTATCTGATCCCAGTGTTTTTTTCCTATGTCTCCCCTATGCAAAAGAAAGGCAAAGTACTCTGAGATGGATGTTGATTTGTATTCTCCAATGAGTCTGAGAGCTTGACTGTGATGAAATTAAATGACCCCTAACAAGAAGATATACCATTTCTAAGAAAATACATATTTCTTTACCAGTGCAGCCAAACCCACAAAGGATGCACTGTCACTAAAGATGGAGCCAACTTAGAAAATTGTACTTTGGCTCTGTGGATTACAGAGCTCATCTGCTTCCATTCACTGAGCCACATGATTGTTTGTATAGTTATTGAGATTCAAGAGTTTCCTTTCTTTGTATCAGAGAGGAAGAAACATGAAAATCAAAATTGATGGGTGATTTGAAACCAAGAAAATATTTGGATAGAAGAAAAAAAAATGACCTTATTACATGAAAGAATCACATATATTCAAGCCCTTTTACATGCAAGTTCAAGTTGAGGATTACGCCATCTTTGACAACCTGTCCTATGATTGGGGCAAGGAAGACACAGGAGCTTAACAATTAGCAGACAGACACAACTTTATCCAAATTAAGATTTTCAAAGAAGAAAAATATATAGCATATTGATAAATGAAGTAAAATAATTCATAATGAAAATGTAAAGTACACACTTAAATACTTGTCACCTTATATGCTACAATAATTTAAACTAAGATAAATTAAAACTAATTTTTGAATAATGTGAAATGTATAATTTTACAGTAATTTTTTAAATCATATGCTGTAACTTTTTTCACTTCATTACTCTATATGCTGCTTTAAGTTTTTCAATTTTAATGTTTCAATAACTAGCAGTGTCAGATGCAAAGGAACATCTTCCACATTTCATGGTTTACACATCTAGTCCTGGTTGTTTGGAGGGTTGGATAGGACTATCCATCAGATAAATATCTGTCCAATGGATAGCACAGTTAGTTTTGTTAACACATATATGCTGGATAGCAGTTTGTTTGGTTTAAATAGGCCCTGGAATCTAGATTGAAAGATCCATGTTTGAGACCTGGTCATCATTTATGTTGTCATGTTCTTGGGAAAGAGCCTCTTAAAATGCTCCAATTACCTCTTTGATCTACACCCATGAGTATAAATGGGTTCCAGTAAACTGCCAAGAGAACTTGGAAAAATGCTGGAAATAACTTGTGCTGGACCAGCATCTCACCCAGGGGGGTCAGGGAACTAACAAAACTCCTTCTTAGTTTGTGCTAATTAAATCAGGATTAGTGGGCTTGAGAGAATTCTCAAAAGTTATGCAAATCCTCGAATGCATCTTAAGTTTGCATAATTATTCTGAATTCTTACAGGCCACCTCGTGTTTAGATGAGGCTAAATAAACGCGGAAGTCTATCATGTTCACCACCTGAGTCATTTAAACTTGTGACGGACCATTGCAACGCTGTTTAATAATGATTTACTCAAGTACACAAACCTGGAACATAGCAGACCTTCGAAAACTTTTGAGTCAGTGACGTCAAGACTGTTTTAAGCAGAGACAAGTTATCCGTCACATCCCCAGCAAGAATGAGTACGTCATTTTTGAAGTCAGCGTCTGACCAACTATTCACCAAACGAAGGTTTTCGGGTATATCAACGTGAATATCTGAAATGGCAAAAATTCGTGACATTCTTAGTGCAGAGGAAGAAAAATATCGGCTTTCGGCGAGAAGCATTCAAACCAAGTGGATAGTTGGCTGTAATATCCAAACAGCCCGGTCCGCCATGTTTGCTTTTTAGTCCCCAGGTTCTTCCCAAGGTTTGATATGGCGGCTGAGGTAGACGGAGGTGAGATCCGGCCACCATTTACGTCACAAAGTGGGCTACGCAGCACAATTTCGTTGTTTGCTTGCCCTCTTTCACTGAAACACCCGATTCCAGAAAAAATAGGAGGGAGATACACCGTCAAGATTAGTTGATTTATTTCACCATAAACTCGTCACTGCTAACGTAACAATTTTTTTTTTTTTCATTTTACTCATTTGTTTAGCTATTTATTTATTGCTTTGTTGATTTATTTTCACCATCGTGCACTCCTTTAAAAACAAAACAAAGTAGAAAATAAAACAAACTTGAGGAGCTGGGCAGAGTTTGAGTGATGGAACTTTGAGAAAAACCTGCAAAATTAACATAATAATATGTTTCAAAAATACGTACAAGTAACGAGAGGAAATGTTCTATTGATGTACAATGTACGATGTGGTCTGTTATGTCTAGGGTAAAGAATCAGAATTTTAATACGATCTATGTTTTAAAAAGGACACTGAGTTGTCAAATTAGGTCACGCATTTTGCATGATGAGTCAGTCCGTGCTGATTAGATGCTATCGTTGAAATCATGAGAAGAGAATCCCCTAAAAAATGGAAACAGGAAACTAATTTATTGAAATCAACAAAACTGCATATCGAGAATTCAGGCGGGCACTCAGTCATTCTTATAATCAAGGCGCTTAATTCCAACTTGTAGTGTACACTGTACATATAATTTTCTCTGTTGCTAAGCGAACTATTGCAATTTTCATTCTTTCTTTTTTTGTTACTCCTTTATAATGTAAAGTAAGTAACTGAACGCCAAACAGTAGAGGTATTTTAGAATTTAATACGGAAACATACTTGAGTACGATATTGCATTTCAAAGTGATACAAGACACGTTAATTAGATTAGAGAAACCTTTTGTTTCATCGTTCTTTATTAAGATGAAGATCATGTGGAAGTCTATTCTTAAGATGCTTCCATTATCACAATCAAACCGAGCTTTAAATCTAACCTGACAGAGCGCTTTGTTTTCTATCTCTTTTCAACTCACATTTTTCCTGCGCCACCTCGGTTGCCAGAGGCTTCTTTTGAAAGTCTAATTGCTTTTAATTCTTCATTATGTGGCTTTATTCCGGCGAGTTAAAGCTTCGAACGCAAAGCCAGAGTTTGTTGTGGCCGGATGAGCTCTTGAATTAATACTTTAAGCCTCCTAGGGCACTTAATTAATTTTTCAGTCCGTAAACTACTTCGCAGAGATGGCAAAAAGTTTTCAATTTTATAATACAAGCAAATTTTTTTCTTTTCACTCGAAATCTGTGAATGTACATGTACAATGTATGATTCCCCTAACTACTTCGACTTATTAGTGAGAAATCCTCGATTTATTAATTTTTTATACAATTGAATATTTACAATTTCAAACTAAGACCATTTTCGGGCCTTCTGGAAAGAAAGAAAAAATTAAACAGATAAGTCTTTCCATATTCGAGTCATATTCTCAAATTTTCAATCAAAACTAAACGAAGAGTCGATAAATCATTATTCTTTACGGAAGAGAAGGCAATGCTCGATTTTGCTGCCTTGTGTGTACAAGATCTACATTTGCCATCTGGCTGCAAAAGTTATCGATTTTCGGGATACAGAATTTACCAAATTATGTCTTTAATGAACTAACCAGAGGTGTGTTTCTAAGTCTGCTAGTTCAGTTTTGAAATGTATACAGTTTCGCGATAAAATTGTGTGAATATGTTCATTGTCAAAACACCTTTGAGTACAGTTACACATCTTTTCTTTTCTTTTCTTTTTTTCAATTTTAAATACCATGGATTGAGGCCCATCGGATGTTCGCGACTTTCATCTCTCGTAAGCATATCAAAGTTTTTCCTTTGTTTCATATTTGATGTCTTAGCTGGAGTTGGGCCGGTCCATTTTTTGTTTTCTCCATTTAATTCTTCTGTTCTGAAACCAGACTTTCACTTGCGTTTCAGTGAGATTTAGCGAAGCGGCGAGATAATGTCTCTCGGCTCCGACCATGTATTGCTGCCTGTCAAACTCTTTTTCCAATCGCTCGAGTTGTTCTGGCGTGAAAATCGTACGAATTCTCTTCGGTTTTCCTTGCTTGAAATTCCACGCCTTGTTTTCTTCATGGTGTACAACTGAAAGAATTGCTTCTCCTTCTGCAATAAATGGCATGACCCGCAAATTAGCATGAAAAAGATACTGTACAAGAGGGCGTCTATCGTTCTTGTTATTTCGCCTTTGTAGCTTATACCGATCTTATCGCATGAATAGAAATACTTGGTCTTTCAGTCTTTAAACTGTACTGAGGACTTTATCAAAGAAAGCGTTGTCTCAGTTTAGAACATTGAAAATTTTAATTACCTAGTTTCACATGATGAGAGCTTTATGTTATTGAATGAGACAATTTGTAAAAAAGCAATTAAATGAGGTTTCGCATGGGAAAAATCTTGCTACAGTGATTACCCTCGCTTTAAACAAAAGAACAAAAAGTATTCTTTTTAACCGTCTCTTTTTTCAGAGTCAAGAAAAAACTAAAGTGATACAAATTTTGTTTCAGAAATCAAAGTCTCTTCAGGAAAAATTATGCGTCTTTAATTTTTTTTTACCAAATGCATTGAACGGTTTCAGCGCGAAGTCCCTGGCAGTTTTCTAAAAAACTGAATCAGGAAGAGCCTGATTTAAGGCAAGCATGTCCTCTCACTTACGTAAAGAGAGAAGTATTGTTAGGTATTTTAACACCAACACTTAAAAGTCATAAACACATAATAAACAGGAAAACGCAACCTAAACTAACCAAATTTCCGTGCGCAAGCAGTTTATAAAAGAATTAGATTTTATTTAGCAGGAAGTAAGACTAGGTACGAAAATCTGAGTTTCGTTGAGTGATAAAGTGAAAGGAATTTATTAATGGTTAGATAGATATGGACTGATTTATTGAGGATCTTCGAAATAAAGTGTATTTCTAAAGCAAAATATTTAATTCATCACAATGTGGAAATTACTGTTTAAATCTCAAGAAATCGATAAATTGCAAAGTTAAGAGTAAGAACTAACTGGTGAAACCCCTAAAGGCACAACTTACCTTTTTGCAAACTACCGCAAGTTGTTCGCGCAAAAGCACTAGCTGTCAGAGGTCGATGGTAGGGATGAAATCTTTCAATTGAGACATGTGAAGAGTAACTGGGAACAAACTGCGAGCTTATGTTCCCTTCAGACGAACATTTAGCTACCGTTGTTTCTTCGGATCTGGCTGGTTTAGTCGGCGACTCATCTGAGCGAGATAGAATGGATGAAATCGTAAATGAAGATATTCCGGGCTGGTTTGGACTCGGAGGTGGTCGGTTCATCGCTAAACTCGATGCCACAGCACTGCTTCTCAACGCCAGGCAATACGGGGATGAGCATGTAAAATACGGGCACACGTATGGACTGGTAAACGCCTGCATGACCAGTCAATCGCGAAAATCAAAATCTCCGTGCACGACTCCTTTTTTAGGTTTTATGCACGCTCATAAATCCACGCGCCAAAGTCTTTGCTGCTACAGCTGATTTCGCTGAGTGAATCCTTCAAGTTAATGGCAGTCTTTTATACTCACAGCCGACAAAATTGGCAACTGTCTGCTGCTAATTTCATAATAGCAGTTGCTAAACGATGGACGGCCCTCAGAAATATGCTGTTTTCTCATTAAGCCATTGGTAAAATTGATTAGAGGGCCCCATACAATACATAATCGAAAGAACCGACTTATTAGTATCTTCACAATAAACAAACAAATTGTTCACGTATCCTTTTAACTCAAACATTAACCTATAATTCTGCGCGTTCGCCTTAATGATTTAAATTGGTCTTTATGGACCATGATAAGAAATAAATAAAGCCTGCAAATTTAATATATGTTTCTGAGAAGGAGAAATTAAGAGAAAACTTCCTCAACAGCTTTGGGGTTTTCCCTCTTTGCGGGCCACTTTAACAACAAAATCGACTCTCTTTTTAAACAAAAGAATCAGTTTTAATCATAATATCCGTTCAAAGCTTTTGCCAGCGAAATGTACTGTCGGCATACGACATGTGGTAGCGAAGACAAAATTGGCATTGTTCTAAAGCCTTTTGTGTCGCCTGAGTTAATTAATACTTTTGTAGCGAAGTAGAACACACGAGATTCACTTCCTATTCCAGAGAAAAAGAAACACGCCAAGGTTTCTGTTTGATATTCATTTCTATTCAAGTAAAACACCTGTTTCGCAAGTTTTCATTCATTAGGCTGGTCATCTTCGATACAACAAGGCAATTTGCTTGCAGGAAAGCTTTTTAATTCATCAATTATCCTATCCCGTTTAATGAGCAAAAGATATTTCGGAGTTTATTCCTTTAAAATTAACTCGACAAGAGAAAATTATCGATAGTTGCTGTGGGTTCCAAAGGCAATTAATTCGCTGAAAACAATTAAAAGGTTGAGATTGAATAAGAGGGAGTGAAATCGATCCCTTCATGTGCTTCAGTTCCAGGCCTTAGTTCTTTTTTGTCTGATTTATTTTATATACGATTTCTAAGAAAAGATTGTTGGGGAACATAACGTTTTGTACAAGCTGAAACACCTTTCCACAAAGAGTTGCTTTTTGGGGACTTAGATGCAATATTCAACGCGGCTATTGTGTATATTTAGAATCAATTAAGTTGGTTTAATGAGTTCCTCTTAACCTAATATCAGTAATTTTCAATCCATTTCGTCATTTTAGTGGATCAAATAAGAAGGTTTCTTTTGACCACGCAATAAAGAAAGGTTAATCTCTTGGAATCAATCGAGACAGTCTTTACTGGGTCGCTAACACGATCCAATGACGGTAATCGCGTTTATCAATGATGGATTATCAGGGGTTTTACTCATGCACAAACAAATCGAAAAGCAATAACGTGTTCGTTCGCGTGTATTACTGAAGGGTCGCAAAAAATTTACTGATTGAAAAAGAATTCCAGCCGTGTAATTCCAAAGTCATAAATTTTTTTCGTTTAATAACCTTCTTTTTTATTTTGCGAGAGACACATTCTCAATGTAGCTGTTATTGAAGTAGACTTGCTAACTTGCCCCTCCTACCACGAGCAGGCAGGCGTTCCTAGTGTTCAAAACCGCACTAATCGCATCTGATAACCTAACAATTCACGGGATAAACTGATCCGACTCGAGTCTTGTCAAGCTGCACGTATCATGTTTTTTTCCTCAATTTCATAACTAAGTAATCTTAGCAAACTCAATTGATTGGCTAATATGCGGGATAATTTGATTAATGCAACGAGAACTCTTTAAATGTGATCTATGACCAAACAAGTTCGTTTATACGGCTAGCGTGTTTTGATGATAACATACGAGGGGATGAAATGCCGGCCACTGATTCTAGAAACGTGATAAAAGAATTTCTGCTAAAAGATAGGAAAACCACTGAGTGAGGTTAGGATTTGAAAAAAAATTGACATTTGAAAGCTAACGAGTTATTTGCTCAAGAGGAAAGAACAAAGATACAGATCATAATGCAAAACTTTCCGCCATGAGATTAGGAAATGCGTTTAGTTTTTCACCAGTTTTTGTGAGACTTTTTCTTTATGGATTCGAAATGTTAAAAATTCCTTACACAAGCCTTAAAACAAAGAGACCTAGGGTTTCAAGAATTATTCAACACTACGATTTGTGGCTCGGCAGTTTTGCGTCTTTTCGATCAATTTAGTTATGTTTCAAAATAAAGGTATTATGATCACATTAAGATGACAAGCTAATTAGAACACTAATGCTATGAATACTAGAATAATTAAGCAGAGTTTTGAAATCTTGTTTTCAAAGGGTATTTCTGTTTAGTTTGCGAGATTCAATTTTCTTTCATATTGCTTTTTAATCCAATAATCTGGACATGTCAAAAACTTGTTTGAATGGTTAAGCAATCGATGATTTTCAACAAAAATTCACATTTCAACATACAGGAACTTTCAATTCTTAAATGACAAATATAGAGACTTTTACTGCAAAGAATGACTGTTTGAAAAGTTCTCTCGGTTATGGTAATTTTTCAATTCACGTCAGAGCGAAAGATGATTAAGTTATATCCTCACTGAAATTCTATTATTTGTTGTTCAAATAGTCTTTTGTGTAACATATAATGTGAAGGGGTTGAAGATTTGATTTAAAAATAAAGACCGTGAGACAGATGTCCGAGACAAGAAAATTTCAGAATTGTGGATCTGAAGAGCGGATTTATTCTACTCGCGCCGGCTAAATTGTTTTCCGGTTTCCACTTTCTGCCATCTTGTCGCGCGGCAAGTTGTAACAGTTGAAAATCAACAAAACGATGAGACAATGCAATTTTACAAGGTCTTAGTTGTTTTGTCAATTTTTTTTGGAAAAAAAATTGAGTCATAAATAAAACCAGTGCGGTCTTAATTTAGACTCTGGCGCAGCAGGTGACGTGCAGTGCGGTCCGCCCATTTCAATGCTCACTGTTAAACTAATTTAACTTGAGAACAAGAACAGTTAATTGTATGAGGAAATTCACCATACATCGTAACACGAAAATTCACTAATTGGGTCGCGATTTGATACGTGGTCGGGCGGGATTCAGCGCAAAATTTGGGCGATTTGTACCGCAACTTTTAAGTCGCAAGCACTGAAACAACAATGTGAAATGTAATACACCTCTTTAGAGACACCTTAGAGCGTTCAGAGTTTTTTGCGAAGCAACCATTATCTACAACACGTGATGTTCATACGGCTTCAGATCCATCATTTTTAGCTGTCAAAATGATCTTGGAGCATTTCAGCTTTCAGACTCTTATTTGACAGTTAATTTGCGAGAGAAAAACATGACTGATGCTATTGTCAGTGAAACATCAAAGTACCGATGTTTTGCTTCTTTTTACTATTCGCTTTGATACTGAGCTTCGCATTCAAACGATTAACCACTAGTACTGCTGTTCTAAAACTGTTCACCTTTTTTTCAAATCGTGTAGAATTATTTTACCACGCACACTTTGAGAAAGCTGCGAATCGAGACAAAGACGTATAATGATAAGATTATTATAACAATCTTTCAGTTTGTAATGGTTAGGGACAGGAGTTTTCTCTAGATATTTCCTGTTTCCGTAGCTTCCTTGTTTCTTCACTCTACTGAATTTTTTTCTTGAGTTTCTTTGTTTCCGTTTTTTGATGAATGAACTAATCGTTGTTGTTATTACTGAAATTAACAGGTTTAATGTCTTCTCTATTCTGTCTTTAATTCGTGGATCTAGATATCATCATTTTTTCTTCAGAGACTGAATCTAACAATGAAAAATATACCTAGGACCACAACACCATACCTTTATCGCCAATATCTGTCACAGTACAGCTGCAAAACAACGAATTGCGATAGCAATATTTTTACAAAATCGTGCAAACTTATACTAATTTCAACTGAAAACTTTTGGGTAGCACCTATGAGCGTAATCCGAAACAAAAGCTATTTGTTTCTTGTAAAATAGATGAGAAATGCGCCGAAGTTTCCTGTCATGGTCTCCATTTTCCATGAACTGAACCAAAATGTGCTGCAAACGAAGCCAACAGGTCGTCAAAAACAGTAAATCAGCTACCACAGATCTCTTAGGTTCTTTTTACTGACAAATGTCAGTTAAATTTTTGCTTCAGAAAATCATCTCTTCTGAACATTGCACTACTATGGCCTGTGTCCTCACTGCCATTGCGATGCTAAAAATTGTCTCTGACAGCAACTTAAGTATAAGTTAACATTAAGATACCCTAGGAACTGAACACCATACAAGCATGTTGGTCTCTCGAGCCAAGTTTGTTAGCTGCCTCAAACTATCATGTTCTGTCGAAAGATGCGCAAGACAAAGGCGAATACATCAAAACTGGTCACAGTTTTGGGTTTTTACCGTCGGCAGATGTTGAAGGGTATGAAAATGCCTAGATAATAAATAGCACTGTAAGCTCTACATTCAGTTCATCAGCATCCCAATTTTTCCCGTCCATGTAGCTTCCGTCATGAATTCACTAGGAAAGTCTAGTAAGTACCAGGTAGGTACACTGATGACAGGATCTTATGAACATTCCAAAAGTGAAAAAAGAGCCGGTTCCGCTTTTTTGTGCTATTTTGGTTCAGTAGCTCATAAACAAGAATTTTTCTAAACAATTTCTTCATTTACTAACGAGATTAATGTTATGAAGCTTACAGATACGTCAGCCAGCTTTATTTAAGATTTTCATCATTTCTAATATCTTGGTTACAGTTCAGTTTAGCGAAGATTTAGGGTGGCATTTCGCTCAGATAGCCGACGAAGAAATATCTAGTAATTGAGAGAGCAATAAAACTATACAATATATATATTTTCTTTTAGAGGAGACGGGGAAATCAAAGAGATTGTCTAGTATGATAGCCAAAGCATGTTTTTATAAGAATTTTACTTTAAATAAAAACACCATTCAACGTATATATACAATCTACAGCACTGCCTATATACCATAAATACTCTAAGTTAGGACATTTGTACATTGTACAGCTTATAATCAAGTAGTGCATCATATGCGCAATGTCTATGCCTTGTTCTACGGTAAAAACTGTACCCTCGGAGCTGTATTTTCATAGGTAAGTTAGAATATGTAAGGCAGTCAGGTGATTCCGTATGCCTTTAGACTACGTGTGATGTAGAATTATCATGATGAGTATCTATGGCGATCGACTGACGAACAACGATCCTTTTGCTGTCGACCTGCGCTTTCGTTTGCTTCGACGAAGTCTGATCTTCGTCGGAGTGGCCTCGACAATCCTATATCGATCGGTCTTCTTGCGTTTTGATCTGCTGATATGGCTGGAGTCGCTGTCGTTGTCGTTTCGGCGTCGTTTCTTTGTAGATTTCACGACAGAGTATAGATTGTCTTCATGGCCAGAAATCCGTGACAGCATGGCCGCCACGCACGCGCATCGATGTCGAACTCGGTCTTAGGTTACAAACGAGTCGCAAAATCACTACAAGGAAAACAGTGCGCTTTCAGCTAACCTTCTTTTAATAATTGCTCCTGTGTTACAACCGCCAGAGGAGACAAGTTCTTCCAGATCGCAAAATAAAGTGGATTATATGTACAACCTTTCGCTGCGTGCTCTGTGTGCATTTGCATGTGTTAAAGCGGTTCCCGAAGCAATTTTTGTTGGACGTAGAAATCCTCGCACTCCGCCATACATTTTCTTAATAACTGTCCGAAGGCAGCATAAATTGTCGAAAATCAACCCACTTCACGGGTTCACAGGGATGTTCTTCCAGATCGAACTGATTTGTTCACATGCTAAACTTCATTTATAGTGCAAAAATAGGAGCCATTGAAGCCACTAAATCGGTTCCAAACTTGGTGGAAAAACGGCCCAAATACTGCTAAATAGTTCTCAATGTGACGCCATTTTTAAAACCCAAGAAAAATTTCGGGAAAACGCCATGTTTTTAGTCGACCGTCAACCGTAGTTTCTACCCCTTCGTCCTCCATCTTGAATCCCCAAATGCTTTACTTGACCTATGTAACCGTGCCTTTAATAAATTGTGCAATGGCGTTACACAATCTCCGAAAATTTGCAAGTAAAATGAGCGACGAATTTAGTCAATGTTGCTCGCGTTTTAAGGATGCAATCAAATTCACTCAACCGGAATTAAGATATGAGGCGAGGGAAAAAGAGAAAAGAGTGCTTTTTACTTTGGAAATTCCTTATCCTCTTTTTAGAGAATGGCATAAAACTGTTCAAGAACGAAACGTTCTGCCGCGTGACACTTCCGGTCAAGATTTGTCAAGCGGATGTGAAGAGATAGAGGCAAATTCTCCTTCTACAAGCGCAGCAGAAAACTCACCCACGGCAAAAAGGTTCAGCTACATAGATTTGGTGGAAAAGTGCACATTCGGGCAATGCTTTGCCTTTAGCGATGATGAAAATATACGAGATGGAATCGATGAAGCTTTGTTAAATATTGCTTATAAAATTTCATTAGATTACAAAAAAACTAAGGGCAGGGCAAGAAAAGAGTTGGATAATCGAGTCCGAAAGTTTCATGTTATGGAGGGTCAAACAAAACCTGTACATGAACTCTATCAAGAAATTGAAAACATACAAAATGAGCTACAAGATTGGAAAAAGGCCTATGAAGATTTAGAGTTGGAGAAGGAAAGAATCTATGAGGAAATGGTGCTGGCAGTGAACCAAAAGGAAAATGAAACCCAAGTTTTGCAGAAAACAAACAAAGAGCTTGAAGATTATATTGCATCATTGGAAAATTCTGTGGGAGTTAGTTCATACCAGGGAAAACCTCTTTCAACTGTGAAAAATAAGTTCAGGACCTTGAAAACTTTTATTTCACGAGCCGAAGCTGCTCTCTGGTTCTGCTCTTCCTTTGGTGTTGAACTAGTTGGGTTAACTGTCAAAGAATCAGACAGTGATGTGGTTCACAACATAACAAGTAAACCCAACTGTCAAGATTTACCCACTCAAGCAGGAGAAAGAAAGTATAGTACCTTGTCCACACATGAAAAAGAGAATGTTGAAAAAATCCTTTTCTTACTGGACAAATTTTGTGTGGGGGATTCATTTTACCACGAAATTTCCATGATCACGGATAGTCTACCAAGGTCCTACTTGGTCAAACAATGCCGTGATCAACTGAACAAAATGTGCAAAATTGAACCACTGAATGCTAAGTTTGAAGGGGCCAAAGTAACTTCCGCTGAAACAGTGTTTAAAATACATATCTCTGATTTCCTGAAGCAAAACAGTGACTTTGATCCCATCACTGATAAAATCAAAATCAATGGTGATGGTGCCAGAATGACAAGAAATTCAAATTTTATTTTACTTTCATTTTCCATTCTGCAAACAGAGGAGTCCGTAATGTCTGCAAAAGGAAACAGAACTCTTGGCATAGTCAATGGAACCGAGAGTTACCACACAATAAAAGACTCATTCCAGAGTTTATTCAATGAGGTAAATGACTTGACTGCCAAAGGTAAAATGAATGTGGATGGCCAAGAGATTCAAACTGAATTATATCTTGGTGGTGATTATAAATTTATTTTACTGATGCTTGGACTGAAGGGGGCAACATCTAATTATGCTTGTGCCTGGTAAAAACACAAAAATGATCGCTGGAGAATCAACAATGACTATACAAGTTATAACACTCCCCCCTTAGCAAGAACACTGAAAGAAATGTTTGAAATGTCTAAAAAATCCAGAGATAATTACTGTTGTGATAAACAACCTATACTAAATATACCACTGGATCGTATAGTGATAGACGAGCTGCACTTAATGCTGAGAATCACAGATATTTTGATTGGAAATCTAGTGCAGGAGTGCCTTGACTGGGATAAAGATGATGACTTAGACCATAAAAAGGGGGCAGCAACAGGATTACACCTAAAAAGCCTTATTAGGGTAATCAAATCTTGTGGTGTTTCTTTTGATGTGTGGGAACAAAGAAATGCAGATGGGAAAGGTAGCGGAAAACATGACTGGACAAGTCTCCTTGGAAAAGACAAAAAGATCCTTTTAGCTGACCTTCCCAGTAAGCTACGTAACATTCTCCACCCAGAAACAGCATCAACTGTGGTTGCAGTCTGGACAGAGTTTGCAGAAATTTACAAACTTGTCAATGACTGGAACCCTGAGAAAGACCCCACAGAATTTTTCATGAAAGCCAAAGAGTGGATTTCTCTTTTTGCCAGTCTAAATGGCAAAAGAGAAGGGTATGAGAAAGCCAGAGTTACCCCATACATGCACATTATGGTTGCACACATTCCCAAGTTCTTTGAACTCCACCACTCAGACAAAATATTTACAGGGCAAGGAGTTGAGATGTTCCGCGACAAGAGCAACGTCAGTGGGAGCTTAAAGAACACGAGCGGGAAGTACGCAATTCCATGAAGCGCAAGGAGAGCTACTGGGATGTTGAAATCAAAGAAAACCGAAAAAAGGCACGAGTAAATTTAAGTCAAGATCCTCTCCAGCAATCTATTGAAGCTCAAAATGAACATCCCCTCCCTGAGCCCACTACCACTGACACTAGCTGTTCTCATATGACAGTGAAGCAATTGAAAGAAGAATTAAAGAAGAGAAATGCGAGAGGATTCAGCAACAAAACCAAGGCTGAACTAATTAAACAACTGGAGGAAATTTTCCAATGAGAAAATATGGAATATTTAGTATTCTGGGAGCATAAAATGGCTTTAGTTACTCTAAGTGGGGACTCCCTTACACATTCAAAATTATATAAACAAACTCACATGAAAAGCTACATGACAAGCAAAGAGTGCAGTGAAAACACATCAACTCAACAAAATTATAATTAACTTTGTAAATAAAAGCAATTTCAAGCAAATTCATACTGTGGATTAAGCCTAGGGTTATTAGATAGGGGCCATGTATATTCTGTACATTCAACTCACTTGTTGGTCATATTCTTAGCAGCTTTTGCATTCAAGTGGAACCCCTTACAGTCCCTAAAGCCATTACAGTTAATTTCAATTTCACTTTCTGTTTATAATATCTATGATTGAATAGTAACAGGTTGACGACTGAAATCAATTGATAGTTTCTCAATTAACATTCTCTGATCTTCTTGAATTTTCCCATTTATAATAGAATATGTTTTTGGTGATTTTGCTAAAAACAATCTAATTTTAAATGGATATTTAACCCTTACCCCATCCCCATTACAATCAATAACCCTATCCCAGTTTTCTGGTAAATCACATTTTTTAAAATCATCCTTATCTAACAAAGTATACCCCTTCTCCCTTCCCTCCCTTCCTTTACCATAAAAAAAAACGAAAACAATCATGATCAAAGTCCAAAATAGCATTAGACCTTGATTTACTTCTTAATTTAAAGAGGACTGATAATCTCAGGTTATCAACGTTTCGAGTTAGCCTCTCTTTATCAACAATTGGCTTGTCATAAGTTCTGTAAGAAAAATAATGAAAATGGAAACATTGTAAGAGGGGTTGTCTATGAACAAGTAATACTCAAAGCAATGCAAAGGCAGAAGAAAAAGAAAAGCAGCAATCACTGCGTGTATTATTGGTGAAAAAAAATTAGTTAAGTATAAACCTTTCTATGAATGAGCTTATACGAGTGCATCTCTCTTGTTAATTCCGTATTTCAGCATGTTCAATTGTAATGGTAATTTAAGTACAGTTTGAAAAAATGATACAACAATAAATACCTAATAAGATCGGTGGTCAAGTTATCTTCATCTTCCCAACTATTATGAAACGCGCTGTATCCCTTCCATTTCACCAAATATTGAACCTGAAGATTTTAATTATAAAACTTTAGCATGTAAGAAAATTAATGACATACATCGTAGACCAGGGCAAATTGTGAACTCACCGTTCCATGTGATGTCCTCCTGGAGATTAACCTTTCCACGGCAAAATAATCAGAAGAAACATTAGCTTTCCTTTTTCTACTTTTTTTTTCATCCCAAAGAAGGTCCGCAGAAGAAACATTGTGTAATTGAAGAAATAAACCGCGGCTATTCTTGCTCGAATCCCTTACGCCGCTCGCCATAATTTGCTGTATGTAATCTGATGCAAGAACGCATGCGTAGTAGGAATTTTTTTGGATACACGAGCCCACGTTTCAAACCGCTGACTGTCACAGATTTCTGGCCATGTGAAATCGGACAACTTTGAGGGGTGTCACCGTCTGTGCGGGCTTCCGAGGAGGACTCGGCGTTCCTCGGAACGATAGTTGAGTCTCCGACTTTCTCTTCGGGGTCCTACGTGATGGTGGCGAAGATGACAGCTTTGTTGGTGTCCCCTGGCTCTTATCAGTAGTGGATTTCACTGCGACAGGAGACCTACTCCTTGTTCTTGATCTGAAAAGTAAGGGTTGTGAATAAGTAAGAGGGTTATCAATAATTTGTGTGACTGAATGTTTCTATCAAATTTTTACATTCTAATAATCGCATTATTCATAACGAGAATTTGCATCCCTATGTACCAATAGATATGACGGATGATTTGCTTGGCCATAAACGTATTGGCCTAAACTATTCAACCTGTTCTGATTGACTGACAACTAAATAATTGTTTCAAAGATGAATTTTCCGAATTGCGATAAAATTATTTCCACGTTTCGTGCTTACCTTGTTACACAAGTTGTCTTTGATGGGTCTCCCATCCTTTTACTCCTAACTTCATCTTCAAACTCTTTCAAACTCTTTCCTCGTCCTATGAGCCTGTCCAGTTCTGCGTAGGTATTTCTCCGTGTGGCGGTCACCTTGTGTTGTGTACTCGTGACATGTTTCTCTATTCCCACGTAATTTGCATCACACAGTTCACAGTATCCCTTCTTGTCTTCACTTCCCGTTGGTTCCCGGGTGATCTTACGTCTGTTACTCCTCCGTGGACTCTTGGATGAGCTTCTTGATCTCGTGCGCATGCTCACAGGTTCATCAAATGGCGAGAAGCCGGGTGGGGCGTCTAAGTTAAGCCGCGGCCAGACCCTGAGTTCTTTGACAAGTGGCTTGTATTCTCTGAAGAGTAACAAACACTAACTATTGGTAAATTGTAATTTGATGTATCGATTTTTTTTAGATTATCGTTTACACGTAGCAGGGGGTTTTACCTGGGTTCTGACAACCAAAGAACGAAGGTATTACGAAGGTATTTCCTCATGAGCTCCAGACAGTTTACGAACTGCAAACCAAATTTTTTTAACTCAACATTAACTTAAACTCGTATTACCTTTCCTTTGAAAGCTAATTGTTCTTTGAAATATTCTAGCTTTATCAATACTGAGCACTCGGTCTAACGACTTTTAGCTCGTCGTTTAAAGACAGATAAACCTACTTGCTGGCTGTACAATATGGTCAGAATTCTTCATAATAAACTCCTCCCTTTCATTTTACAGCAAGCATGTAAATTTATGTCATTAGATCACTAACATCGGGTCTCGAATTTAGAGCAAAGTACAGGTACTCACCGACTGTGATCTTCCACTTTCAGGAAAGCTCCCCGCAGGCTGCACATGCGACAAGTTGACTCAGCGTTTGCTTGTCGCTTCTTCTGCTCATCAATCCATTTTAAAACCAGCTCAACCTGTTTGACTTGAACTCCCCACGTCTGTGCATTGGTCAAGACATCAGTACTCTTGACTGCGCGCTTCTCTTGCTTAACTGACTTTTGGAGCATAGCTTGAGCACGAGTTTGCTACGAGAAAGAAGGAAATCGGTTTATTAGTTGCGATTTAAGTGACTACAGAGTAATATTCATTATTGTTTCCTGGATTTGCTAAGGCTGAGGGTTTTCAATCGATTGACTTAAAAAACACGTAACTTTTTCCACCAATTAAGAAAAATAAAAAAAATAAAAAAAATAAAAAAATTTGAACCAATGTAAACGACACTATTTCCTGCTCGAAGTCGCTAAGTTTTTTTGTATCATTTTTTTGTATCAGTCCTAAAGGGCATCTTCCGAAATGTCCCTTTGTTCTGATTAGCTTGAGCATGGCTTCGGTTTTGGTTTCATGAGACTCAATCAGAAAGATCCCGCTTATTTACTGATTACAAAAGATGTAAACAATACATAAAACTTACCCCCCGAAGTCTCGATAAGGCAAAGTCGGTGGATTCTTTCTTTTGAGACGTTTGGCGAAGCGATGTTATCGGCTGGTCTGTCACAACGCAGGAGAGATCCTTACTCAGAAATTTCTCGACCACCTAAAGAAAATAAATGGAGTTGGACCCGTTACTCTGTTAATCTCCGATTCTGGTTTGTGCTTAAACGCGAAAATGTCGCTTCAAACCATCAAAAATGCAAACAAACTTTACTAGTCACGTACAAGCATTCAGCCCTCCCCGCTATGCAACCTGTTCTAATCGCTAACATGTGGTAAACATGGATACTCACCCCTCCCAGCTCCTTGATTTTCTTTTCCACTTCCCTCGCTTTAACTGCTGACCGTACGTGAATGAAAAATGTTTTTCCTTGAAGCGAGGTGACAGGGTATTGCAAGCGACGGCGACTACGTACTTCAGGAGCTAAAGTAATGAAAAGAAAGCAGAGAAGTGTTCCTAGTGAGAAAAAGTGTGAGGAAACCTAAATTATAAGCAAACTTAACCCTTCTAATGTGATTTTTTTTTCTTTTTCAAAGCGTCGAAGAGGGAAAAGCGTCAAAGAGATCAATCTTCATTGACCTAAAACAGGATGAATGGTTGAAAACATCAATAAATTCAGCGCAGGATGGAATCCAATTAGACGAGAAACAATCAAGCATACCCTCATCCTCTCTGATGATGTCTAGACAGCAATTTAGTTTCATTGACCAATGCTACCTTAAAATCAATTAGCGAACGATAAAGCTTGAAAATTGCGCAGCTTTTTTTTAACGAAGGAATCAAACAACTAGATTGCTTCGGAAACTTCCGGCAGACAGTGAAACATTATAAGTCTTAAAACGATCAATGAGTAATAACTTACCTTTGTCTTTGAGTCTTGCTCCTCTCGTTCCCTTTGATCCAGAACTCATCTTCCAGCTACTTCTTTCTTGAACTATGAACTGTTGTCACTCTCTGCTCACCACTACTGATATGTTTACTATGAATAAGCCTGTCCTTTTAAGTCGCGCGGTCATTAATTGACGCTAATCGATAATGACGTCATAATCGGCGGTAATAAATCGCGCGAGTTTGTCGGCCGCCGAAAAAGGCGGTGTGGGACCGTCACGTGTTTGATTTATACCGCCATGTACATCAAACCGTTAAAAACTTATCGACTGCAACAAAATAAATGCATCATTGTTAGGGGTCGTTTAGGATTCGTTGATTTCTTCTGTAAGAAGATTTCACATTTTAGATATGCGGAAAGAGCGCCATATGCGGATTGCCTTTTGTGCGGGTTCGACATTGATGACAGAGAAAAAAACGCGAGAGCAGGTGGCATTTTGTTTCAAGTAGAACCCACCTGAGAGAAGAATACAAAAAGTCCCTCCTTCCCAGCAAAAGAAAGATTTGAACGAAGAAATAAATCGTAGCCTCAGACCGCGCGTAGAACTTTTTTTTTTTATCAACAATTTTTCTCTTTTTCGCGATGGACTAAGCTGGGAAAAAGGCCAAAAGGCCAAAAGGAAAAACTGTACGAGCCTACACTAAGAGTCGCCTAAAACACAGAGCACATTTAAAATAAATCCTTGAAACATTCAACCGTTAGTCAGCCAATGGAGGGCTCTTAGCCGCGGTGAGCGAAAAAGCACACGAAAAGTGGTAAGCAAGCAGACGTGGCGGTTGCAGTAGTCAAGGAAACAGCTGCTTTCTTTTTCCTCCCGCTGATTTCGCGAACGCACTAACTGAAAGCCTAGAACAGGCTAACCATTACAAAACTGCAACTATCAGAGAACAACGAACAACAGGTACAATGAGCACCAGAGAAATATTTCCCGCACTATTTACAGAAAGAACCGACAAAAGCGTATACCCCCTGACTAAAAAGAGGATTTTTGTGATAACAAGTAAATTGGTGCGAGAAACTCTTAAATGTTTGTCTGTGACCATAGATATTTCTATTTCGATAGTTACCTCTCTTACCTTTGATATCATAACCAATAAACAGCTTTTTATTAATCACTCTTTAAATAGTTTCAATAAGGCTTTTATTTGTTATTCTCATCCGCAGTAAATGGCGGCTTTACCTGAATGACACACGTTGCTTTCTTCGTATGCATTAGTTTCCGAGGCTTTCTTTTGCTTCGTATAAAACATTTGCGAGCAGTTTCTCAGGAAATGTCTTACAAACTAGAACGTTCATTCAAATCATCAATATTAAGTCTCTTCAGTCCTTCGATCGTTACCAGCCTCCTTTCTTTTTCTTGGTTCGCTGTTTCTTCTTGGCAGCCTGGGGCTGCTGTTGCCGAGGCGGCACTACGTTCGCGGTACTACCAGACGCAGAGGGGGTACCAGGAGGAGAAGCGGGCTTAGGACTACCGGGTGTTTTAGGACTGGATGAACTACAGAAGAAAGAAAGAAAGATAAAACCAATTGAATGAACCACAGAAGAAGGAAAGAAAAAACAAAATATAGCAGTTGATTAATGAAAGAACCAAAGCTGTTCAACAACCTTTAGACTAGTTCACTTAATGCTGAAACCTTGTCTAGTGACTGTTGGGCAAGGTTTCCGTGAACCTATTTGAGATAGCAGGTAATTTAGTTTTAACGACTGAGTTGAAAACGAAAATTGGCCACCGTAAAGAGTTAAAGGCTGACGTCTCGAGCGTTAGCGCTCTATACTCTCCCACCGACGCAGCACCACAGTTTCTTTAGAGACTTACTCCCTTCATCTATTTGAGATAGTTTGACTCAAACGGATGAATCTTCTTGTTTTACCACTGTATCTTTAGACTGTCCGTGGATCCCGCTTAAATTTTAGGGAGGTAACCAGCGTCGTTTTACAGTATTACAAGAAGATTGTCTGCATGATCATTTGGGTAATTCAGTATGGCGCAAAATAATTAAGTTGCTGCTTTGACTTTTGAAAATAACTTCCTCTTTATCAAAATTTACCGTTGAAAAAAATGATCCTCAAAGCATCGATCAATCTTAGTTCACATAGTAACTAGTGAAAAATATTTTATCAGAGAGCTGATCACAATCTGTGCAAAACTTTTCCGTTTTACAGATATTCCAACCCACTGTCTGTAACTTTTTCAAATAGAAAAAAAAACATTATTTGAGGCTGAAACAAACCATTATTAAAAAAAAACCTTTGAAGTCTGAACAATAAACACCCCAATTTATATGGTAATGTTATTGACTTTCCACGAGGCTTTTGAGCGAAATGAAGGCTTTAACTCTTGGCCACCCATTGCAAATGAGGATCTATTTTGTGATTGCATGGCATGATATCAGTCTTTTGTTTCCGTATTTCCTTTCATCTCTTAAAAATAATTAAAGCATTGAGCGTGGAACTTACGCGTCTGAGGGAGCTGCAGCACCTTGTGTTCCTTTGCCTGTCATACACAGCAAAAATCAAATATTACTTACAGCTGTGTGCACAGCACTGGCAACAACGTTAGGGGGTAGAAGGAGTAAAGGTTGTGACAGAGAAGGGCAGTATTCACTGACCCCAGTAACAAAAGGATCACTAGGCAACTGAGCGAAGCCTATCTTCGGTCACCCGTCGACACAACATTAACAAACCAGTGCGTGGAATGAATATATACCCAGATTGGGGAAGGGGAAAACGGAAAAACAATTTGAGCGGAGAAAACTATAAGACAGTGTCCTTCAAATTTCCCTCGAGCCCCACAACACAGTGGTATAACCACAGCATGGACTTGGTTCTGACATCGCCAGAAAAAGCCGAAAGACGCATGCGCAGGCTTGAACACTTTCATTTCACCTTTGAACACTTCGCAAAATTTAGTCGCAAACCGTTGCAGTTCGATCGCGAAAACTCAAAGTGTATAAGCTGTACTGGGCGGTCCTCAGCGACTGTTGTCAGCTTTCGTTTGCAAGAAAGCCATAGATTGGATGGCAAATATATAATAATTGTTTGGTGTTGCTCATAAAAGTTCGTGATATAGGCAGACATCATTCAGCTATCCCCAAATGCAAATTACATCTAGCAACGCTAATAAGTTTGCACTTGTCAAAGGAAAAATTGTCGGATACTTACTTAACCCTTTAACCCTTAAGAGTGATTAGCATCTAATTTCTCCTTACAACATCACCCCCCAAATCACACATAAAAGTCACAAGAAAAAATGAGATGATCACCAATGATAGAAGCTCTAGATTGTTAGACAAATTCTCCTTGTCAGCACCTTAGGAAATGTATTGAGAAAAGTATGGAGAATATATCTACTGATGTGAGGGTGTGAAGGGTTGAGTTAGAAACCTTGTAGTTCATTAGTCTGAAAATCTGGTCAGTCAGCTTTTGAACAAGGAAATGTAGTAGAACAAAAATGTTTCATATGCTTCCGTCCCAGCTGCCCAGGAAATCTTTGAACTTTCCGGTGAAAATGCCGCTCAAGGACTGGTGACGCCATTACACCCTCTGCTTCCAAACCAACGCAGAGAAACGGGTAATCCAGAGAAAAATGTTAACGATCTTTGACGCTCTCGTTCACCTTCAATATCCCATACAAAGTCACCAGTGCAAACCCGTTAGCTTATTTTTTCTTTTCGTTCTGAAGACAAACAAGCCACAGGCAACCTACCTACTGAGGCACCCTTCTTCTGCCTTTTACCCTTGTAGTACGTCCGTTCTCTTTTCGGTATCCAGCGTTCGGGATCTGGATCGACCTCGGCGTTGTAGTTTTTCGGTAGTTTACCTGGGTAACCAGTAGAAACATTCAAACCAAACGGAAAGAGTGAATGAAGAAGAAATAGGGAGGATAAAAATACACTGAGTGTTGATTATTGATGACAAAAAGAAAAAAAAAACCGAGTCAGATCCTTTCGTTGCACTAACATTCAACAAAACAGTGAGCCATATAACCTTCCTGATCACTCATAGGGCAAGTGTTGCCTTTCTGTCAGTATCGAGTACAAAACGTGTATCAGTATACCTCTCTTCCGCTTTCTCTTCCGTCTTTTTACGAAACTTTCTTTCCTGTAAAATAGCAATAAAAAGACGTATATAGTTGATATTCAATGAAAAAGGACTTTGGTTGTTTGATGCGAGATAAGGTTAAATCAGGACTGTTTTCGACCTAACAACTATCATCAGTTCTCAGTAAGTATTGTTGTTGCATTTTGTTTTGCCGAGAAGTTGCATAGAGAAATTGAGAATAAGCTCTGGTTATAGACAGAAATTGAGACGCCTCATTACTTACGTCAAATCCACCATTTCTGTATCGCCACCCTCTTGTTTCATTCTTGCCCGACCGTATCGAGATCCCATGGTACTCAGCGACATCTCCAACTCCTCCACGTTTATAGATGAACTCTGAGCCTGCGTGTCCAGCGGCTTGAGTTTTTCACTGTAACTGTATTGGACATGCAGTTGAGGAAAGGTAACTGAAATTAAGCTGTGCTGTCATTTGATCTTCTCTTGAGAGGATTTACGGGGTTGTGGAATAACCTAGTTTTAGCAGGACCTTGCAGACAACCTTGCAAGAAGCACCGACGAGGTTTGACTCTATCATGCAATCGGAAGTGCAAACGACAGAGCTGAAAGAAATGCACCCATGTGAAAACTTTTCGAGCTCTCGAAGGAAACCATCGGAACACTATGGTAAAATGACGGAATTTTGGAAAAATTGGAAAAGCAGCCAGGTTTTCTGCTCTGATGAAAACGAAGTTAAACGGTTGAGCTCTGAACTGTCGCTGCGGGCCGTCGTCTTACAGCACGGAACAACACAGAACAGTACAGAACAACACAGAACAGTGCAGAACAGCACAGGGCAGCACAGAACAACACAGCTTCATCCTTGAAGGAAGTAATGAAGCGTTACCCTCTTTTAATTCTATGCACAGTGTACCTAAATAATTTAGTTATTGATCACTCGGCAACAACACTACAAGTAATCTCTCTCTCAATAATGTCGAGTCGAAAACAAAAAATAAAAACCTACTTTAAATTTATATTCAGTATCTTCGAGCAATTTAGTTACATGCGCATGTAATGATCAACTAGACTACTGGTAATCTTCCTCCCAACGTTAGTAAATCGCGCGAGTCGAAAGATATCAGAAGAGATTTAGTATCGCCGGTAAAACCAAAACCAAAGTTATCACAACAGCTTATCAGAACACAGGAAAATGCCAAAAGGTGCAAAAAAAAGAGCTCGAAGTAAAATTAAAAAAAAAAGAAAAGAAAGCAGCCCTAAGCTCGGGAAAACGCGGGTGACTAAGTCGCGATTGGCTTTAGTTCTGCATTTGATTGGATGCGTGAGCGGCGCCAATTTTCTGGACCAATCAGAGATCACAGGTAAGCAAAACTAATGCAAACAATTTCTCACTTTTGCACTCAATTGAAAATTGCTCCATACCGCCTTGTTCTCTGAAAATGCGTGGCGCCCAATCCATTTTTGCGCCGATTTATTTTGAATTGCATACCGAACTTAGCTGAGGAACTGGGGCTGTAAACTGTCAGCAAAAACACTCTTAAGCACTGTTCAGACAATTGCGACAGCATGGTCACAGTATAACAATGCGTCTTACTGTTTACCGTTTACCCAATCGAGTATTGAGACTGGAGACTTAGGCGGTCTTGGAGACAGTTGTCTGACGTACAGTCAGCTGAACTAATTACGCTGAACGTACTGCAGTGAAGTTTTAATTTCAAAGCTCTGTTAGGGATGTGAAGATCACAAGAAAGGATACTACTCTGCCTTCTGAGGATTCAATCGAGAATAAGCTTTGATAAGTTGAGCTAATGTCTTCACATCACGGGAATCCTCCCTGCAAATACAATATAAGCTATGTTGATCCCTGGCCACAAAAAATTGAACATGATCAACCATACCCCTGATAAATAGTTTATTCAACTGAACCACCCCCAACTTTAGTGACGTCATGTTTGTCGTTACGTCACACCTCTTTCTAGAAGTTCGTCCAACCGGATTTATTACCGGTCTCTTTGATTAATCCCGGGCGAGAAATTTTCCCATGCATCGGGTACGGAAAAAAAAAATCCCACTTTTATTCACTGCGGTAACTGAGCTGAAATTTCTGACACAAACAGTCACCGACTGAAATCTCAGCTGACTAACCAAGCTGATATTTCCTACGTGAACATAATGCAAAATTCTCTTCGTTCCCCGGGACTATGTGAAGAGGCTCTTGGCCGATTTCTTTCCCAGACCTCTGCAAAGAGTAGGTAAGATTTGACATACTTATGCAATTTCTCCAGCATGTCCACTGCCTCTTTAGCTTTACCATGTTGCAGTTTATATGCCACATTTTCTCTCATCAAGGACAAAACCTCAGACTGTCTCATCATCGCCTATAAAAAAAGAATTGCGGCGTTAGAAAATAAAACAATTCCGTTGCCCATTTCGTTGCCCATTCCGTGAAGCCCTTTTCGATTAAGTGTTGTAAAACTAAAACCAAAGTAGTCCCAACGACTAAACGTAACATCGGAAAATATCACAAGAAGTTCAAGAAAACTAAAAAAGAAAACAACAACAAACACACGCATATTGTCTAATGCGCGGGAAATGCAGTGACTATGTGGCGATGGTTTTAGTTCACACTGACTTTAACTCCCACGATCAGATTGTTCATTCTCCCCTGTGGCTTCTATACGTTTCTTTGAAAATTAGTTATGAGAATTTGGTGTTAAATCAAAATAAAAACTTCTACCTGATAAGTTTGAGTATTCTCATTACATGTTTTCTGGATAATGTATGGATATTATAGGAAGAAGTTACATGCTAATCACGGCTTCTGGGAGTTAAAACGTCAAGTATATGTGGCTCCGTTGTTCGAAGGTTTGATAACGATATCCACTGGATAAATTTCCATCCGTTGGATAGCGCAGTACGTTTTGTTAACACTTGTCCGCTGGATAGCGATTTATCCGTTGGATAGCGTTATCTGCCCTTTGAACAACTGGGCCCTTATTGTTTGGGAGAATGGCGCGAATTTTCTATTACAATCATAGAGCGAAGTTAAGCGAAACCAATGGGATATTAGATAAGTTCTAATACTCAATTTCAAAGTTGCTCCTTTCTACAGGCCTCTTCTAAAGGGTCACCCTAGGAACAAAGGGCTATGGGCCATTATGGATAGGTTGAGTGAAATGCCTCAGTATAAAATCGCTCCAGTCTCCCGTTTACTAACCTTGTTCTTCTGAGCATGCTCAACAGCATCATCAAGGACACCAACTGCAGAACTGACGTCCCCAAGATGAGAATACATCGTCACCAGAGCAGACACCTGGTTTGGAGATAAACACAACGGCAGTTGAAGAGAATGAAACGTATACTCACTGCCTTGCCAACTTAATTACTCACCACGCCTGGTTTATAAGCCAAGTCTTTGATTGAGCGCAGAGTTGTACAAGCGGTGGAAACATTTCCTGCAGGATAAAATAACGCAGGCCGGTTTCAGAATGTTACCTCCTTATGAACACACCCCATACCCTAATGGAGGTTTCATCATATCATTTCAATCGGTAAATGAAGAGCTACTCTCTAGAAAGGTTTCCAATAATCATTATCATTATCATCATTATTATCATTATGATAATACTGTTGTAAAATTATCTGCAAGATGACCACAACACAAAAGAACAACAAAAGAGTAACAAACCTTGTGCCAGATAGAGCTGCACTAATGTAAGTTTCACATTTGTAGCAGTGTCGTCATGAGAGTCTGCGTAGTTCTAAAAAAGACAGTCAGACCAAAAGACTTTGAGAAGGGTGTATCTGTGTGAAGAACATGCACCAAAGTGGTCTGCACTGAGACTTTGTTATTCCAGTACAAAGTCAGGAAGTTTGTGCAACTACAACAAACCAAAACTCTTTTCACATCACATAACATGACTTTAACTTTTTTGTACCCAGTCTAGTTTGCACACTGATAGCAAGAGGTAGAGTTCAACGCTTATGGAGACAGGGATACTGCCTTCCCCTCATGGACTGCCAGTAAGTTTCTTGGATTTTTTGCTTTCAAATTTACCTCCTTGGGAAAAATCAGAGTTTACATAAGAAAATAACGTACCTTGAGCAGTTCTATTGCTTTATCAGAATGTTTCTCTCTGTGCAGAAGTGATGCTCTCATCAGACAAGGAAAATCACTTCCAGGGTATTTTGTTTCCAAGGTGGATATCAAGCTACGACAAGCTTCAAGCTGTTTGTAGGAAGAGACGTAAAAATTTAAGACTGTTATGGAAGACAAGCAAAAGTTGGGTGCATGAAATAAAGTGCAAGTGAAATTAGTGGGAGTGCCGAGAAATAAGTGAAATTCATGACAGCCTTTTTCTTACAATTGCAACCTCTATGTCCACTTGCTTACCATTTTTAGCATGCCTACTTTTCCCCTCAAATCCATTAGCTGTGAGCTTAGCTCAAGATAAGTTTGGCCAACTGCATTACATTTATAAAATGTACATGTAGCCCCACTGTTCTTCAGGACCACTACTCAAGGCATTCACCATTATCTAGACTGATAAGTCAAAAAACTGACTGGAGGTTTTTCAAAGGAGATTCCTCTAAGTTTTATGAGAATTCTCTCAGAATCAAGAATTCAATTTTAAAATAAAACTGATATGGCCAGAGAGTTCATTAGAAGAATTCTCATTTTGAATGCACCACTCAGCTATGCCACAAAGTTCTGACTAATACAGGGTGCAACTATTGTCATGGTTGTGCAGTTTCTTGAAGGGGAAACAATTTGTAAAAAACCCAAAAAACTATTTGGTACAGTAAGGGTTGCATGCGGTAAAATTCAGAATTTGCCAGATACTGATAAACCTGTTCCCCCTCCTATACAGTGGCTAATGGTTTAGCTTTACTGAAATTATTACAATGTACTCCACAGAGTTGTACAGTTATACTTTTAAAAATACTTGTTTATGTGACATGCTTTTTCTTGAATTGCATATTACACAGTTTGTCAGTCAAAATGTTGACTTTAGCCTACTCTACCTACAACCTTTGACAAAACTGCAACAATTTGAGACCAAAATTAAAGGCATCTCAAAATTAAGACTGTATTGAAGAATTACAAGATTTGAGACTACGTACTGTAAAAAGTTTGCAAGACCCCTGAGTTTCCGAACAGCATTTACCACCCTTCACTTTCTCAAATCATGAAGAGCCCAATTTCTTAGGGTCAGTGGAACTTTAAGAATAAATATTCAACTAGAATTACCTGATTTGTGTAGAAGAGCAAGAGGCATCTGTTAAATGCCATTGTTCGCTGTTGTGATGCAGTGGATTTGTGTTCCAGTCCATCTGCAGTCATTGACTTAACTTTCTTCTTTGAGTCAAACACATCTCGGTCCTAACAATTTAACGAAATAGACAAACATCTTCAATCTTCTCTGCAAAAAAGCATCTACTTTACCTAAGTATATACACAATATCTGATATGTGGAGCACCAGAAGTGGTTATTTGGGATAGCCAGTTTTCATCTCAGGCAGGTATTGTATCCCCAATATTTACATTCTTCTCCTACATAATTATATTCTTTTGAAAACATGTATATTATCTATTAAAGAAAGTACCTTATTGTGTGAATACATGTAGATTTAAATCAACATATACTTGTATTAAAATTTGGTCTAACCACTCAACTTCCAAGATCTGATTGTTAGTACACCCCTCTAGCTGCTACACATTTCCTTGTAAGTTAGTTATAAGAATTTGGTGTTAGATCAAGACAACAGAAATAAGTATTCTCATTATCTGTTTGCTGGATAATGTATAGATATTATTGGGAGAAGTAACTTGTTAATCACTTCTGTAAATGGGCTAAATAGGTGATTGATCAATCTGCTTTCTATCATCACCAAGTCAGCTAAAAAGGTACCTGCCTTGCACTAACATTCAAACGATGAAATAAATGTTGATTGGTGAAAAGGACAGACGGTGTAAAGAACATATAGACTGCCTACCCTGTTAAGAGTGATGATATTATTGGAGGCAACAGCTGCTAAGGCAAGGTCATCAGGCCTGTGCAAAATTTAGAAGGAAAAAAGATTATCAGAATGATTCATATTTTTAAGTTCTATCAATGAAAGAACAACAGAGGCCTAATTCTATCACTGTTTTAATTGAGTCAATAACAAAATACATGAATCCCATCAACTCTTGGCAGCCTAAAATTATTGCTGGATTAAGCTGATGCAAAACCTGTCCAAAAAACCAGCAGCTTATAATTATGCAGGTCAAATCAGAGAGTTCAACAGCCAATCAAAATCAAGGAGCAACATTGAGATGTGAACATTGGAATGAATGCTGACCAATCAAATTTGAAACTAATTGAGAAATTCTTAAATTATCTTTAGTGAGCAGCTTCTTGAGTTAGCAACCTCTTGGAAGCAAAAGCAAATGAAAATTACAACTCAATAGAGTATGGTTTCCTTCTCAGGAAAACAAAAGAGTTGCACACGATAAAAGTGCATTATTTTTAATCCAGCTTTAAACAGCAGGGCGTGAAATTGCGCCTAATACAGGCGCCAATGCGACTAAATTTTTTACTTTGGCGACCAAATCCTGAAAATTAGTCGCCAAATTGGTGACTAGAATGTTTCATCATAACCTTACTTAGAAATATAGTAAATTAAAAAGATTTGCAAAGATAAATCCGCGGCAAACTTCCTCATTAAGTTTGTTTCCAAAACGCAGCACATGCATCTCAATTGATAACTAGATTTAGGATGGATTTAGGTGAGCTTGAACGTTGCATATCATCCATTCTATTGTCCACTTTGTAGCACGTTAAAGATCTTTTCCCTAACTTAATTTCTAGAATGATGACAGTGTAAAAAAAAGGGTTTGTTTGTCTTTGAAAATGGTGACCAACTTTTTTGAATTGGCTACCACTTTGAATAATTTAGGAGCCAAGTGGCTATCAGAAAAAAAAATCAATTCCACGCCCTGAACAGATGTAGGACTTTAAATTGTGACTGTATCAAATATTCTTATCTGATGAATATATCTTTTACATTATTAAACACTGTTTTAGCATGATGTACTGCTGAGTATAGTTTACAAGCAACAAGTAAAAAATACTCAGCAATACCAAACACCAAAATGTCTTACAAGTTATTTATTATCAAGCCACTCTATTTCATAAGCATTCTTTATCAGGCAGGAAAAATGAAGCAAATAAATAGAGAAGTGGTTTGTAACAGGTTTTTTTAAATACTTAGGTTTTTTTACAATTATACAAAATAACCAACTGTTTGAAAAACCATACAATATTTCCTGACATCTGTATTTGATTTGCACCTTATTGCTGGAGTTGGATAATAGTAGGGCTTCATGTCAAACAATTCAAAAGAAATCAAGCCAATAATTTCAAATCATCTTCCTGCTATGGTCTGAACCAATTTGAAATTACTCGCCTGGCTAATAATTGAATTGCACGCCATTCTTTGAACTTGCCATTCTAAGCTATATAGAATTTTCCACAAGTTAAAGACATAGTACATACTTTGATTTAAGAACTTGATTGTACAATTTCTGTGCATCATCATTCTTTCCCTGGAGCTGATAAGTGTACGCAAGCTGGGTCCTGACAACTCCCATCTCAGATTCAATCTCTTCCTCAGCAATGTCCTTAAAGCAAGCAGATTTTAACTTCAGTGAGGAATCCTGGATCTTTTATGAGAAAAATACTTCATTTTGTTATACATGTACCGTTTTAGTGGAACAAACTCTTTGAGAATGTGATAGTCCAAGTCTGAACCCTTGACTAAGTTATCAAAACCACACATTCCACAAATTGCTTTACTTCTTCCTCACAATCCTAAATCTACATGTCACAGACAAAATAGTTATGACACTCCTGCTTCTGCAATAGTTCACTCTGTATTTATGATAAAGACTTACAGGATCATCTTCAAGGCTTTTTTGACACAGCTCTGAAAAAAACAAATTAGCATATGAAAGTCATATAAAATTGATATTAAACTGGAGAGGGCAAACCTGATACACGCCCCCTCCCCTCCAACATAAGGCCATCATTGGACACAAAGGATCACATGAAAACCAATTCTCAGGAGTCACTGACAATGATAATGATGAATACATAATTATACACTTGTTTTACCCACTGGGTGACTACTTCAATGTCCATAATTTCTTAACATCCACTCAGGGATCTTTACAATCAAAAACCATGTGGACAGCTGGCCTTATGTCTCTAAACATTCACTAAGTGATCTTTGCCATTACAAAGACCATGTGGAAACCAGGCTTCATGTATCAAAGAATGAAAATCAACAGATACCTTCTGCCCTTTTAAGCTTTTGCTGAGCAGCTTCTACATCATTCTGACCTAGAGAAAGGCATGCTGCATTGTAACACAGCTCATAAGTGTCTTCTCTCAAACCTGGGACTTCCTGAAAATAATAAGTTGAACTAATAAACAATGAAGTTCACAAAGTTTATTTCATAGATTGATAATGATGTAGCAAAGAGGTAGTAGATGGTTAGAGATCTTCTTTTGAAAGTTAGAGACTGAGTCCCTCAACAATTTCAGCCACAGAACCTTTTATCGACTTACCATGATTGCTCAACAAAGATTGTTGCAACATACCATTAGCAACAAGAAAATGTTGCATTAAAGTTTTCATTCTTTCTTTTACATTTCTTTAAGTCATAACCACATGGCAATATTTTCAATTGATAGCAATCAGACACAAACATATGTCACTCATAATATCTCTAAGCTGAGCAACCTTGAGCTGAGACCCTTGGTTATGAGAGCAAATCCTGGACTTTGAAACCTTGGAAAGAAATAAGGGACTCCCACACTGATATAAAATACAAATACACTTTAAACAGTACTTCAGCACTCATTGCAAATACTGACGAGATTTCAAGATTGGATAGAAAGTTTCTAAAACACGCAATTCCTCAAGTTACTATTTTCTATTCCAAAAATAAAATCTGTCTCTTAGAAATGCTGATTGTTCAATGGTTCTGACTTTAAAACACCCACAATAAATATTTTGCCTTTTGATCAGGATTGAATCCTCACCAAGAATGAAGCAAAAGTTACATGTAGTAAGAGCTACATGTGCACCTGGCCCTAGTTGTTTAAAGGCTAGATAACACTATCTGCTGGATTAATCTCTGTCCAGTGGCTAGCACAGTATGCTTTGTTATTGTTTATCTGCTAGATAGCAATTTATCTTTTGGATAGTGTTATCCACCCCCTATACAACTAGGCCCAGTAGTTCTGCAAGATCAGATCAGACATATACCATTTGAAGTCCTCCCCACTGTGATGCGGCAGCAATAACAGCAGCAAGGTTAGTTTCTCTTTCATCTCCATACTCATCCTATAGAGCATTTTTTTATAAGTGACAATGGAAATAATCAGAAATCAAAAGTAAATTGTTTCTCAAAATGAAGATCCTACAAAAATTTGAAAGGTTTGACTCAGAATATAAGAACTCGTGATCATGAACAGAAAAAGTTCAATTTGTAATTATTTAGCTGTATAATTATGTAGCTTACTAAATGGTGTAAGGGTTGTCAAAATAGACAGGCAACTGGTGTATATCACTGTTTAACTATGAAAAACAGGGTGGTTATTTCAAATGTTTGTGCCCAATTTTCAGCATGGAAGCAAAACATTGTGCGGCCTACTTTGTATCACAGTCTGGGTACTCAAAATCTTTTTAACAACGCTAGGCTGTCATGCAGCCTAAATAGATAACAGGCATTGAGCATCTTGAAAAATTTTGCCTTGTAAATATTTTAAGTTGGTGATAACCTTTAGACCAAGTGGTGTTTACCTGAGAATTCTTGATTAAATCTTTGTAAAGATCCAAACAAGTCCTATAATCTTCAAGCCTATAGAGCTGTAGCAAGGAAGATTGCAACAAAACTTCTTTTATTGTACTGTTTGAGAAGAAGTGTTAGTATAAAAGATTACAATATTTTGTTTGAATTGATAAGGAAAGAAAAAGGTTTCTCTTTTTTATTTAAAATATGCTACTCACTATTTGAGCCTTCAATTCCTTCTCAGCTTGTGTTGGTTCAGCAATGGCATCGAGAATATCCAGAGCCTCTTGAGTTTTGTTGAGACGATACAGACAGTAAGCCTTTTCAAAACGAAGTTCAATGTCTATCCTGGCAAGGGTTAAAATTTATGACAACAATGAGGCAGAAGACTAACAACATTATGTCAATCTTGGTTATATTCCATTTCAAAAAGGTTTCTTTTTACTAAGTAAGCTTTACCCTCTGAATATATACCTAGTAATCCAATTCATCTTTTGTTTTATAATCAATACAAAATATTTTCCAAAAATATAGGATAATAAGCCCTTCAACCAAAGATACAATTGAAACACAGCATGTACATAATCTTACATTCAGTTGATAAAGCACCTATACCCTTGGTGTTCATAACTTTTTTCAAACTCTATTTAATAGGATGTGCTATATGTACTTATAATAAACTGCATTATTACAATACCATACTCTACTAACAACCCTAATGCTACATACAAAAACAAACTAACACTTTTAACAAAATTTTTGTGTTAATGGTGTGTTTTTTTTATATACTATATACTAATACAGAAAAAAGATGCCGATTTATTTTCAATACAATGCTCACTAAATATCTAAGACTTAAAATTTTAGTGCCTATGCTACATCACCTTGAACGCATTACTCACAGTGCTAACACTAGTTGCATTTATGGTCTTCGTAAACTAAATATTTAATTAAATTCCTCATTGGGAGAGTAAAAAGCACATAAAAGAAATATGTTTTTTCATCTTGTCACAAGTTTGATGATGAATTGCACTCCAAATTTTTGTCGTTATCCCACACTCATGGCAAGACAAAAAAACCTTCCTCTATTTCTGTACCAAGCTAAAAATTTACCTAATGATTCTATTCACACAAAAGGACATCATTACCAATTTGATGCAAAATCGTACTCAAAATTTTTGTCGTTATCCCACACTCGTGGCAAGACGAAAAAAAACCTTCCTCTATTTCTGTACTAAGCTAAAAATTTACCTAATGATTCTATTCACACAAAAGGACATCATTACCAATTTGTTTGTGGCAAAAAATATAACATAGTTGTAATCATAAAAACCAATAACGAGGTTAAATGCTATCATCTATTATACCTACCCTTTGTTTGATGCTGATCTGATAACGTCCACTGCTTCACGAAAGCATGACTGATGGATAAGACAAATAACTTTACAGTGAAATGCCTCTTTGTCATCAGGCTTCTCTTGGAGAACTGAGTTAAATGAAAATAACCGGCTAAAAGTTAATTCAAATGAGAAATAAAATCAATAAATGATGCCTATTTCTTTTATCTTACTCTTATTCGCAATTTTCTGCGCCTTGACGTAGTTTCCGTCCTTTGCAAACTTGTCCAATTCCGTAAAAAGCTGAGGGATACTAGGCGACGTGGCCGCCATATTAGCTTTAAATGTTAAACCGAGCAGGTAGTTGGCATGAACAGCGGTAATAGAAGATTTAAAGAGACTGTCTTGTTGTTGTAACAGTCACATACAGTCGACATCAAGTATCTTAAATATTTGAATATCATTTTATTGTTGTTTTTTTTTTAAATTCATTCTTGGATGGAAAAAGAGATTTTTAAAATGATAAAATTGAACTTGAAAAATGATTTATTTTATTTTAGTCTGAAGGAATGTATGTACCAACGTTAAAGAATTAACAGAAGATTATTTCAGGCAAGAGGATACATACAGTTTTCATCACATCGTTAATTTTTTGGGAGTCATGATCACACAAACAATTATTACGTGAACCCGGGACAGCGAGATGTGACGTTCAACGTATACTACGACCTGTTTCCAAATTCTGTTACTGTCCTAGTCACAGTTCGTGTGTCACGTGCCTTGCGTTACTTAATCAAATCTCCTTGTGACTCAATTGGTCAAAAAGTGGATAAATATTTTTAATAAAGACAATGGCTGTTTATTTGAAGTATTAAATAGGACAATAGAAGCGACTGATCTGATTGGTCGAGAAACACGTCATTATAGATATATTGGGTTTGTGCATTCTGTTCATAATTCCCTCGGGAGGGTTACATCGCAAATTCTGCTGTCCTTGGGGAGTTGAACAGCTCACAAACTCTTCACGACAACAAAGAAACCTGCGACTTGTGACCGCGACCCGATTTCAAGACATAAGACCGGCAAACCCGCGAATTAAGGGTCAGATCGACTGTCCGTCGACTAGTAAAACGGGACTCACAACGCACTCGAGTGAAAATATTTGCCGAACTCAGCACGGCAACGCAGGATAAATTTTTAGCCATTTTCAGTTCACTGTTACATTCATGCAAGAACATAGCGTTACTTCACCGCTTAAAGAAGAAAGCGTCGGCTGGATACAACCAGCTACCATGGACAGTAATCAAGTGGCCAGGTTGGGTGTTTTATACTTTGGCGCGTACTAATTTCCTCTGGCAAGTAGTAGCGTAACACTGATAGCGTCGTCTGCATAAGCCACGTGATTGCAAATTCTCGAATACTGAACTCTGTGCATGGAATATTTTCTTTCAACAAAACTTTCCAGACTTAGTTTTACCTGGACTTTTATTTGTTTTATCCAGCGGGTACGGCTTGGCCAGAGCACATTTCGAGAAGCAGCCTCCTTCAAATCTCCGCAAGAGCAACTTTTTCCACTTCGTTTTGGCGTTCTACGATCGCACGGGACAAGCAGTTGAGATCGAGCGCGCTGCTTTCGTGGGTTTCATCGAGCACCTGCCTGTAAGTCTTATTGTAGTTATTTACCCAGTTAAGTAATTAAAAAAAGTAAGTGTTTAGGCAACTTTCTTGTCTAGATGTGACTAGTTTTGCTTGTTTCTTGGTCACTTAGGATCAGAAGAACGTTCGAAATGGTGCGTCTTACCGGCTACAACTTCTCTATAATAATGGTGAGTGGTTCGTGTTCACTTGTCCATGTGTGCGTACATTTGACGGACGATGAAGTGTGTATGAGTGAACTTGTTATCAAATTAAGACAGACCCCGGTGGGAATATGAAAGTCACTTGTGGACTGATAACCGTCGACAAGGGAAAAGTGATCCGCAGTCTTTAGAGACATGTTTTGGTTCCAGTGTCCTAACCACGTCTTCATCGCGTTTCTTGGCAGCTGTTCATCTAACGGAATGCGACAATATTCGCGCTGTAGTATTTACTTAAGTTGCTGAGGGAGTTGCTTCTCTAAACAAACTGTACAAGTTGTTTGCTATGCCTTAGGGATCAGTTATAATCGCTGATAAATGTTTGGCGAAAAAAAACCCTTTGGACCAACATGAAAAACAGTCCTAAAGAGAAACGGGTCAAAGTGCGTCGAAATTCACAAACGCGCGTAGAGCTAAGTGCAAAGGACAATTTTATTTTACTTGATTTCTTTGACCCAGTATTTTTCCTTCTCTTTTTTGTAGGCATTAGAAGTGAGCAAGATGTATTTATTCGCCTTGTTAACTCAGCGACAAAGCAAGTAAGAAGTGAAATTTGTGTTGCGTTCATGTTTGAAAAAAGAAATTACCATACATTTTACTTCTCAACTTATGAAGCTAATTAGCATTCTTTTCCAGCTACACTAATGAGTTGTTTTCATGCTACCAAAGCGCTGACAATAGACGACTTGAAAGTTCAATTACCTATTGACCTGAAGTCGTTTCCGTTCTTCATATTTTTCTATCATAATCCAACGAGGAAAACGTTAGATTAGACCTTGAAAAATACGGAAAAAACCTTTACGCGAGTTGGACTACTAAACATTTTTTTTTCTTCCTTAGTAATGAGTTTTATTTCCAGATTTGAGCAAGAAATCTTGCTAGAGCAAATGTTTTGGTGACCATAGTTACATTTTGTGTTTAAAAGACTGAAAGGTTAGATTAATACCGAAGTTGATCAGTTAGAAAGAAAAAGATGTTATACATAATCTTTTTTAAATAATAAAATTAAAGCTAAAATGTTTTGTTTCCCTCAGCCTATTGTATATGAAGGGCAGGACAAAAACCCTGAGATGTGTCGGGTTCTCATGACACATGAAGTTATGTGCAGGTAATTTTTCCAACATTTCCTTGGGTTAGGATGATTTTAGAATTTGGGGGACATTTTGAAAGTTCTGGACCTTCCCCGGACGTCATTCATTAGCTAAAAATCTAAGTGTGGTGTTGAATGCTAATTACTAAGAATCTTTTGTCCTTTCCTTTTTTAAGCCGATGCTGTGAAAAGAAATCATGCGGCAATAAAAATGAAACACCATCAGATCCTGTTATAGTAGACAGGTACTGTTGACTAGTAACAATGTAATAGAATTATGTTCCCATGTGGTGCTTAAAGCTGAAATCTTCCCTAAGGGAAAAGTAGACCATGTTCCACTTCTAGGCCTTAGGAAGGTATTTTTATTCCTATTGTTAAGCTATTGAATTCAAAAGATTACATGCAGAGGTGTGAAAGATGCTCTAATTGCTGTCAGCTTTTGTTTGCTTTTAACAAATACCTTCCTGAAATGTTGTTTTGTCATAATAAATGATGCTCTCTTGGAAACTGTTTTAATTCTCTCAGGAATGGTATCTACGTGTTGATCATTTTTTTGAGAAAACATAGTAGAAACTGATCTAAAAGTTTTCTCCATTTTTTTTTGAAGGAATAACATATTTAAGTTACAGCTTAGTAATTAAAACCTGGTTAACTTAAATAATTAGCCTTGATAAACTTTGTTGACAATTAACATTTGAAAAGAAATTCCTGAGCTAATCTGATTTTTTTGTCACTGTAGAAACAATTGGCTATTGTTTATATTTCAATTTAAGATATTTGTGTGTTATATTGCCTGTCTGTTTCCATGGATATTCATATTTAATCAACCTGCTATTGTATGAACTCCAGGCTAGAGTGTTGAAGCTATTTATACCCACATATACTTGATATTGGTTTGACAAGGAAAAGCAGCTCTGCTAACCAAGCTTGTAAAAACTGTGCTAACAGAATATTTTGTATTAGTTCATTGATGATGATGAAATATTGTAGTGTTTTAAATAAATAGTATCTGAAGTGTTAAAAATCAATATTTATGTGGGTGTATCCACCCACATTTAATAACTGACAGAGGTTATTTCACAAAAAGCATTACCCTGGCATTTCCTTTCTATTGATAACTGACAACAATATGAACTCATCATTGTCATTATCCTCATGTTGCATACGTGACATAAGGCCCTACCATGCTAGGTCAGAGGTCTTTTATTTCAATGAAAAATAGTTTTTAATTAAAAATAAATTAATGTGAAGATGTTTGTCCATTGTTATAGGGTTACTGGAATAGTTGTAGTTGAAAGTAACAAAAGTCAGTGAATTACCATGATAGCTTTTTTTTGGTCTGACTGGAATGGTGACTAAATAGTTTGTTGCACTTTTTTTTTTTTTGGCTTGGAATGATGAAAAATGAGCAATTCGTGCTGGATTTACACCAAAAAATTCTGTAACCATTCCAGGAATAGATGGTTAAAATCATCTTTTTGTACTATATCATTTCACTGTTGTAGTATATACTAAAACAACTATTCTCCTGTAGTGGGGATAAGTAGCTGGTTGTACACTGTAAAAACTTACCTCACCACTCCAGGGTACAGTAAACGTCAAACACCAGCCACCTCCACCAGAGTAAATAATTTTAATTTCACAAAGGGAGTTGGTTTAGTTAGTCATTTGCTTTGTTAAAGATCTAAAAGTTTAAATGTTTTGTATCTTTACAGATTCTTTTTAAAATTTTTCCTGAAATGCAATCAAAATTGTTTAAAAAATGCTGGAAATCCAAGGGACATGAGACGTTTTCAGGTAAAAAAGAGCATTGACCTTAGATTTCAAATATTGCTTTCTTTTCTTGAGTGACCAAATGCAAATTACTGGTTCACAGGTGAAAAGGTTCTTGTCAGGAAATGTTAAAAAACAATTAATTTTTCCTTCAGGTGCATGTTTCTTCCTCTCCTGATCCTGTTGCTGGAATGTTAGCTTGCTCTGACAACATGTTTGTACATAACAATTCCAAACACGGTAGGAAAAGCCGCAAAGTGGAGTCTGCATATGGTAGGTTTTTATTTAAATGTGATGAAATAAAGGAAATAAATCGAAATATTAACAACATGCTGAGTTTTATCAGTAATCATGCAAAAACATTGCCAGTGGTCATTTTTATGTTACAAATGTTGAGTGTCCTTTCTAATATAATGTTACTAATAGTTCTTAAATATCTCTTTGTATTTTGCAGCTTATCCATGTATCAAGGCTATTTGTCCCAATGAGGGATGGACAACTGGAGGAACAAATGTTGTAGTAATAGGAGAAAACTTTTTTGATGGTCTACAAGTGGTGTTTGGTTCACTAATTGTTTGGAGTGAGGTAATATATGATTCATTTGGTGGGATTCTAAGGGGTGGGGGATTTTATTATAAGTTTGAAAAGTATTATCATCAAGTCATGCTGATGAACAAAGCTTTCAATTGTTATCTGTGGAAATATGACCTTTTTTTTTAGCTCTGTTCAGGGGTTTTGTTTAAGGTTTGTTGACATCACTTCGCATTGATTAAGTTTTTGCCTATAAAAGTAGAGCCTTTATATGGGCCCAAGTGGCCCATGGGGCTGGTGCTTAACTTCGGTTTTCTTAGCATGAAGCGGCTAGGAGTATTGCTACTCCCCCCTGGATGGGATGCTAGTCCATCACAGGGTTAAAGTTTTTGCCTATCCTGATGATTAAAATAGCTTTAAAAGCATTTTGTTGAGTAGTCAAGGTTCAAGATTTCTCAAGCTTAATTAGCTTCATGATTGTGTCTACAGTCATATGTTAAAAAAAATTAATCTGACCGCAGACATTAATCCTGTTTGTTTATTGGAAAAAAGGAGGGAAATTTCAAGTTTTCAAATTGTTTGAGAGGGGGAAGTTGGGGTGAAACAATTGGTAGAAAACACAGGAAGTAGTTGGACAGTGAGACTAGCTTACAGTATAATGTGCCTTATGACTTATTAAGCCCTCTGTAAGTGGGAGATTTCTTTGCCTTGATCTTAAGTTGAATTATTGTTGCCTTTCCTATGGATGAAGTTTATCACCCCTAATGCAATCCGTGTCCAAGCACCACCCAGACCCATCCCAGGCATGGTAGAAGTAACACTTATGTACAGAAACAAGCAGTTCTGCAAGACAGCCCCTGGAAGATTCATGTACTCAGGTAAGAAACTGTAAAATATGAAGTGCTTGTAGTCTTTATTTAATTTCCTTCTTTGTGGCCGGTCAGATGGATAATGAAGTGCAAAAAATTGCAAATCAGATTTCCAACGTTTATTAGCCAAATTTAACCATCAGTTACCTGTAGATGGCTTAGATTTTCAGCATGCTTATTTTACTATTTCATGGCACCTACATGTATGAATGTTTTCGCCATTGTCAAAGAAAATTTTGCAAGAAGTCATCATACTGTTTAAGTTTTTATATTGTTTTTAAATTGGTTATTCAGTGATTAATGCTGTCACTCTATCCTTTGATTACAGCTCTTTGTGAACCAACCATTGACTATGGCTTCCAAAGACTGACAAAGCTGATCCCAAGACACCCTGGTGATCCTGAAAAGTTACCTAAGGTAAATTATATTTGAGATATGTGAAATAGGACTTGAAAATTCTCATTTCATTACAAAACAAGGTTCTCTACAGGAGTGAGCAATCCAGAATTTTCTTCAACTGAGAGAACTTAAAAATTTGATTTGCATATCACTATTTGCAGTTATTACAATTTCTGTTGTTAAGTTACTTTTGATCTTTGTGAGAACCCACCTTGTACTTTCTCTACAGATTATCTCTCATCTGTTGAATTATTTTTCCAGGAAATCATTTTAAAGAGAGCAGCTGATCTTGCTGAAGCTGTGTGTTACAACCTTCCTCGCACCCCAACTCAAATTCATGGGTCACAGTATCCACCCCCTGGGGGGCCACCACCCACCACTGCTGGTGGCACACATCCAATGATGATAGGACAGCACCTGACAGCCCTGTCCCCTGAAGGAATTACAAATGGAAGTACCTTCGTGACCATTACAAATCCAGAGGCTCCAGTCTATGGCAACACAAACCCTGGCAACCAACAGCAGAGAATAGCAACTTCTGGGGCACACACTGACGCCAATAATAACGAAGTTATTGTCTCATCAGGTACTGATAACAACAGTCAAGGTTTTTCATGGAGGGTGAGGTTGAGGTGGTGGTTGCCAAAAATATTGGATGGTTTGGGTATAAAAATATGTAGTATAATAAGCCAATAATATCACATTGAGGACAAGTATATCCATGAACTTTGTGAGTAGAGAGTTGGTGGAAAAGTGAGCAAGATTGTACTATGTGTTTTGCCTTGAGGCTCTTGCTTCGAGGCCTTTGTTGTATGCCTTTGAGGCTTGTAACACTGCAAAATTCTACTGATGATCTATTGTGTGAAGGCCATATCTCCACATTCCATTTCTCCAAGATGTTAAGCATCCAATACTCTGTATTACATTTGTGTCCATTAGGTTTAGTTAGATGTAGAGGACACAATATGTCATTTCTACCTGGTTTCACTTGTTCAGCAATCTTGTATCTGTTTTCCTCCTTAGATGAATTGTTCTCTGTAATAGACCAAGGTGAACAATATAGTTAATAATAATTAATGGTTAATAAATTTTTTTATGCTCTTAGGTAGCAGCACTCCAACTGCAAGGCATGTCAATTTGCCACCTGGTTATCCCCATGGTGGATCTCTGGCAAGTGAAGCACATGTTGTCTCCAATTCTGATGTGCCTGTAACACCCTCTGCAGCAATCAGCATGTCAAGTGCTGTAAATGGTATCAATGCATACCCTGGGGGACTTCCACCATCGATTACATTACACAACATGGCAGTTCCTTCATCACCAAGTTTCCTCAATGGTGCCACATGTAAGTTAGAGAGTTTCACAACGTCAAGTTAACTCTATTGATAACTCTGTTTGATTGGTTATTGCTACACTTTTTTCACCGCACTGTTTATTACTGGTAACTTGTAGAAATCTGTTTAACCATCTGATGATTATTTGATTTATGCCCATGTTTGGCCCATGGAAAGATTGTTTATTAGAGACTGGGTACTTACTTCTCAATAACACTTTCACTCCCTTGATCTCATTAGTATTTGTCCTTGCTGTCTGCCATACAATTCTTAAATGTTAGTTTGGAGATTTTGGTATTGGATCAACTGATAATCCCCTAATTTATATTTTTCTTTATTTTCACTGCTTGTCTGCTTGATACTGTATTGATATTGTGAGGAGAAATTCTGTCTTGGTCAATAGTTGGAGATCTTTTCTTAAATTCTTTACATCATTTTAAAGCCAAAAACAAAGCAGAACTTTGGAGGAGCTGATGATCCTTGGAACAAAATGTGCCTTCACTTGGAAATACCAATTGAGACAAATTCTAAGTAAATGAATATAAATCTATGCTTGTCAACCAAGCTGCATTTTGTTTTACTCAATCTTGCATTGTGTTTAATGTTGTAGTTGTTCCCCAATCTCCATCACTTCCTCCAACACCCAGCAGTGTACCACCCAGTGGAAATGCAGGAATGTTTGCCTTTCCACCAAACATGATTCAGGCTGTCAAACAAAAGAGTGCATTTAATCCTGTGATGAGACCACCCAATGTGTCTGAGGGAAGTACACCCACTGGCTCACATGGAAACTCTGCTGTTATTGTGCCAGGTGAGTGAGAGGAAAATGAAATTGTTTGAATTAGTGATCATTTTTCTTAATAATAGATGAAATACTTTAGATGACTAGAAATGAATTTATTCTCCCAGGTAAAATGTTACTTTAACCCTTCGACACCTGAGAATTGCTAGTATCTACATTAAATTTCTCCCAACTTTATCATCCCTGAATGATACATTCAGGTCATGAGAATAAAGGAAATGATCACCAACTAAAGAACCTGTTGACTGCTTACGTAAATTCGTCTCGTCGGCACCAAGGATAATGTGTAGAGAACAATATGGAGATTATGCATACTGATGTTAGGGTTAGTGTCAAGTGTTGATAAAAGCCATTTCAGCAGGAAATAAGTCAGTGTTTGATAAGGCTGGAACTGTGCACCCTTGTTAAATGCTACTTCAAACTTAGGTACAAAACTAACGTTGGGAGTAAGGAAGATTTTAGGAAGTTCTTTGAATCTAACCCTAAACTGAATTTCCGTTTCTGAGTTAGTCATCGCGAATATTTAAGAATTTGTTCATGCTTAGCGTGCGGATATCGAGTTATGGATGCAAGCGGGAAGTTTGGAGAGCGCGAAAAATGCGTAAGAGTAGCTCGAGGCGCAGCCGAGAACAACTCTAGCTCTAACTCAATATACGCACAGCTAAAAGCATGAGCAAATTCTTTTATAACAGAGCGACAACAAGGATCTGCGCGAAGAAGCCTTTTATTGTTCCGGATAGAGTGCAAAATTCTCACAACGCATCAAAAAAAAAGGAACAAACGTGCCTATTGGTTGGTCAAAAACACGCCACATTATATACTTAACATTATAACATAGCTAGTAAAATTGTTTAATTAAATTCAATTGCGCGAGCGTGCTTCATATTCCTATTGTGCACGCTCGTGACGTTGGCAAACAAAGCCCTCGAGAAAAAGATTTTCCATCGGGTTGAAAATGTTACGAAACAATTGGTTCATACGTCAGCTGTGCGTTCATCGAGATATGAAGCACGCGGGAAGTTTGGAGAGCACGAAAGATGTGTAAGAGTTGCTCAAGGCGTAGCCGAGAGCAACTCTAGCTTCTTGAGTCAAGAAGCTAGAGTTAGCATTCTCTCTAGCTTCTCTAACTCTAGCTTCTTGACTCAAGAAGCTAGAGTTGCTCAAGGCGTAGCCGAGAGCAACTCTTACGCATCTTTCGTGCTCTCCAATTGGAGAATTGGTTCAATTGGTTCAATTGGTTCATTCGTCAGCGTGCGTTCATCGAGATATGAAGCACGCGGGAAGTTTGGGGAACACGAAAGATGCGTAAGAGTTGCTCGAGGCGTAGCCGAGAGCAACTCTAGGTTCTTGAGTACTCTCCAAACTTCCCAAGTGCTTCATATCTTGATGAACGCACAGCTGATGTATGAACCAATTGTTTTATAACATCTTCAACCCGAAGGAAAATTTTTTTCGCGAGGGATTTGTTTGCTGACGTCATGAGCGTGCACAATAGGAATATGAAGCACGCTCGCGCAATTGAATTTGATTAGACAAATTTACTAGCTATGTTATAATTGTTTTTTGTTCATAGCGGCTCAACAGGACCTATAAAAGGCAAACACGCGTGCTATGTTATGAAAAAAATTAGGTCTAATTTGCTTTGCTGTAGGTACAACTCGTCAGATCCCTTGATTTCCAAGATGTAAGCGACGTCTTAAACATTGCTTTTTGCTATGGTTTATCTGTTTATACTAGAATGGCCGAATATCGACTGCTTACGCGTTATCGTGGTTTCTTCATATTCTACAGGTATGCCTTCCTCCTTTGGTGGCACATTTGCAATTCCTGTAAGTGCTGCAGTCCAGTCCAAGCCAGCGAGCCATGTGGGAGCAACCTCTTAAGTCACCGCATTACAAGCACAAACACATCACGCACACGGGGTCAGAACATTGACTGCAGTGAACAATTGCTCAGGAGGCTTCGCTGGAGAAATAGAATCGGCATTATTTACATGTACTTAGAGAAGATCACACTGTTGAACAATCGAAAAATTGCCTTGAATCAACGAAATGCTTTGTGCGTTTACATAGCCGCCGAAGTAACTGGTGACTCTTAATTTCTTTGTTCACAGAGTCTATGAAATTCTAATTTAACATCCTGGGGAGGCTTTGCCATTTAGGAAGATAAAACGTCGCCTTGTTTTATCTAGCAGTCCACTTTAGTATGTGTATATATATATTTTTTTTCATTGAATTTGTTTGTTTTACACAAGTTTTCTACAAACGTACTCTATTTTGGAGTCTGGGAAATAATCGAATTTTTTAATATAAATTTAAGATATATTTTTTCAGGCTTTTTCTTTTGAGAGAAAAATTATAAATATTCATTGAATGCGGACACAATTAGTGTCGTATTATTTTCCTAAAAGTTAATATATTTCTTGTACTATACGTATTTTTCAAGCAATATTGGACGGTTTCGAACATTTTTGAGAAGCAGTTGGAATAATGCTTGAGTCGTACAACTTAACTTATTTTTCTATAAATGAAACGCTATTTCTATAATGGATACAGACTAGAATAATTTCACATTGACCGTAAACGATATTTATTTTTTCCTAGTTTGTGAGATGATAATTATTTAGAATGGGTTGTAAGTATTTTAATCGGTAAATCGTAGATTTCCCTTCGATTTACTTAAATATGTATGGAACAATTAAGCCAAATGCAAAACAAGAAGCATACAGCAACCACAACATCCACTGCAGCATATTAGAAAAGTGGTCGAATTGGAATCATTTTCTTGGAGAATATTCCATAGCACAAAACTTCGTGTCACACAATTTTGTCACATAATTCATCTTTAACACTATGTCACGCAGAAGACTGTTATGTGACAGTCTTGTGAAGGCCATTTGCAAGTTCATTGATACGCTCTAAATATCTACCATAAACTGTAAACGTTCATCGAATCATAACCAGTTCCTATCAATTGCAACATGTTTAAAACAGGTTTATCTGTTTCATCCTGTAATAGCCGAGTATTTTCCATGTGTTCTCGAGAACGTGTAGATATATTTTTGGTGTGAGACGTTTTTTTTTTTAACCAATGGTGTGAAATTAAATATATATTTTCAAACTCATTGTGTCGCTTTTTGAAGTCCACACTGCCATTAACCTTTAATTTTTGAGCATCGAAAATCATCAACTCTTACTGGGTTTTGTTTGTCTCCAATCGGACTCAAGCGTCCGAAACCGAACGAAAGCGTCCTAAATCGGAAATATTTTCTCTTTGTGTGTTCGTGCGAGGTGTTATCTTTGCAGATGGCATTTTCATGGTTTTTTTTTCTGATTATCAAATGAAGCACGAGGCGACGTTTATAATGAAGTAATTTTTAAAGATTAAAATCTTTATCAAAGGGGGATATGTTTCCGGAGAAACAACTATGGTGCTGCTTCAGCGGGGCTGTTATCAACTTGGTTGATAAAGAAAATTGGCCATCGTAAAGATGTTGCTAAGCTTTGAAAACTCTACGGTGGCCAATTCAAAATATTCAACTCGGTTGATAAAACTAAATTATTTTAAAACCTGAAGCAGTCTTTTTATTTTTTCCAAATCCTTGATCCCCGGCGCGGCTTCTGTTTCGCTCGGACTACGATTCACCCTAGCCTCGAACAAGCGGGATCGGAGCGAGAGATAACCTTATCGGGTCGGGACCTATCGGGTGAATGGATCTTTTTTTACTGGGCTGTGCACACGATACCTGTGAATGGTCCTTCGTGTCCATGCCCTTAAGGACTTACCTCTGACAAAGCCAAAACATTTCGTTCGGCACAATGACCTGATGGATGGGGAAAAGAATGAATGCCTTGCGGTATTGTTTTGTAATTTATATTCTCTCAGGATCTATCCTCTGTGAATTAAGCAAATGTACACTGAATCCTGACCACACTGAGGAGATCTGTAACGGTGGAGGTTCTTTCTATCGTATCGAAAGCTGTCGCGAGAGGTGAGATATTTCGCGTAAAGTTTGTCGAATTGTCTTATCTGTTTCCTCAAACTCGTCAAACATCGAAATTTTTTAATTTTAATTTTTTAAAAAAAAAAGAGTAAGTAGAAACATGGTTAGTGTGCTAGTGATTTTTGATACGTATGTGTTCCTTATTAAATTTATCTAAGAGCTTCGGTTGTGAAATTCGATTGCGAATTGAATGATTTTTGTTGACTTTTGGTTATATTTATATACAACAACTTGGGTGATAAATGTGTCGAAGATGAGCATTTTTGACTGGTCCTACTCAAAACAGTGTTTTGAAGTATTGTCAGAGTAGTCTAAAATGTACATCCTCATCGAAAAAGTAAAACTTTTCGCCTCTTTCTTCACCATAGAAAAGAACGTGACTTGGAAAGTGGATAGTTATGTATGAGCATAGAAGATTTCCATAATACATCCATTTGATAACCAGCTGGTTTTCTAAAGAAGAGTTGTAACAGAAAATACCGTCATAAAAATTTTTTGAAAGTGTAGATGTGAGAATTTATGATCATGGATACTGATGACCTGTTTAACAAAATTTATTTTTAAGGGCAATTTATTGAAGAATAAATTACTTACCACGATTAGCATTTCATTTCTGTGATGACTGTACTTTTTATATCATGGAGAAAAAGGAATAGACTTTAGCTCAGATGTTTACACGGTTCAGCTGGCATCTGCTCATTTCCTGTTAGGATATGGAATATACCAGGGTATAGTGCTAGGGGGTTTTTTGCCTGTCATTTTGTAATAAATGTTTTGAACTGTATGACATGTGTTTATCACATGGTTTTAAGGTTTGGTTAGGGAGCATAGCAATAAAGAATACCACAAATTACAGGAACTAGACAGAAGTTACCATTAGATTTAAATGGTTCTTACTTATATTTTGCCTGGTGATTATTAAATCTGAATGAATTCCCTTTTGGCTTAATGAAAGAATCAAATTACATAGCTACACAATTGTATTAAGGGCTGGATTTCAGATGTCTGGAAAACTATATTTTGCTGACATATCAGGAGACTGTCAAATGTTTGTCTTTTGGATTATAGATGCCACATTATTTGTGACACAGGAGTAGTCAGAAGCCAAGCATTATAAGATGATTGGTAACAAGCTAAAACTATCTTTGTGGTCTGGATAGGAAAAATAGAAGTTTTCCTATATCTTAAGTAAATGATTGCTGCTGATTTTCATGGAGATCTGGGATGCATTGGGAAAATAGAAATGGTTCCTGATTTTTCCTAATGTGTCAGGGGCCATTGCAAACAATTGGAATGTTTAGGGGTTGAGTCTTTAGTCAGAAAACTCTGGGATGGCCAGAAAACAGAGAAATCCCCAACCATCTGGGATTGTCCCCAACTTAAAAATCAGCCTAAGTAAATTTCAAAGTGGTTCTAACTTTGATTTTGAATTTTTCTTTAGGCATGGAGAATCAGATGTCAATATACCTGTAACACCAAAACCATCCAGGTCTGCTTGGCTCATTGAGACAGATGAGTAAGAAACAAAGCCATTCTTCTCACAAGTTATATTTGTTAGATGACAGTCAGTGACAAAAGTCTTGGAAATGTTGAATGAAATTTTTTAATCAGATTGTGATGACAATGTTTGTTAAAAAAAAATAAACTGAAACTTAAAACTTTGCACTTTTTTCAGACCCAAAAACAACCGATCTGTGATACTGAATATAATTAAGTTTTCACGACTGTGTGGTAATATGAAATTGTATATTTATGATGGAACCTCAGTACGATCACCACTTATTGCCATATACAGGTAAGATGTTATTCTGTTAATACAACCAGTTTGGAGAATATTGGGTGTCAATTTTGATAATCATAGAAATTGTTTTGTGATCATTATGGGTCAATCACTTTATAGCTTCAACATCCCTTCCCTGGGCAACCCCTGGGCATTTGATCTCTAATAGATTGGTTTGTTCAAATTCCTGCCTCCCAAGGCAAAAGATGTGTTCAAGTGCCCCACCTAATTTTTTTGTGACCAAGCTTTAAAACCTAGACCTTATGGACCTTATAGACCTTTTCTTCGGAACCGTTTGCTTGCAAAAGTGAGCTACATGTATTTACTTTAAAACAGATACAATGCATCTACTCTGCTGGAAAAACGTCACACTGCCAGTTCAAATTCCCCACCCAAACCAGGCAAGGTTCAAACTCTCCACCTGCTGGGCACAGATGATGGTCAAATGCGTGTTGGTTGTCTGAGGGGAAGGGGGATTGTTGAAGCTTCAAATTGATAAGCACATAAAGTCATAGTAACAAGTGTGGTTTGAATCACTGATAAAATTTTATTGTGTGGGCACCAGGCTGTGATGCTTAAACCCAGTTACTTGTGAAACTCAGATAGTTCTGAATACTTTTTATTTGATTCTGACTGGTTAATTGGGAACTCACCACTCACAGTAAAGTTCAAGCCAGGCAAACAAATCTTGAGATGGCAAATTGATAGTTGCTGTTTGCAGTTTAGTGTTCTTACATGCTTGTTTGGCTTTTCCTCTGAAACACACAAACATTTGTGAAATATTTCAAGGGTCCTAGTTGTTTGACTTTTGTTGTAAGTGCTCATCTGTTTGATAATCCTTTTGGGTGAGTCAGCGGGAAGCCTTATCATGGACTCATCTTGGTTACATGTATTTTCATTTGGGACTTACAGCAAGTAAGTGAAATCTGGGTCATTGAATATATATAGGCAGATTATTTACACAAAGTCTAACCCAAACCATGGTTTTATGCAAGCAGTGGGCCTCAGGTATGCTCTTTAAGAGGGTTGAATTGATTAAATTAATGTCTGTTAGTTTTTAGCCTTATTGACACTGTTCCCAAAAACAAATGTTCAGATAAAAGGTTTGGCTAAATTTAAAAGATAGTTTAGAACCAAGTTTCATTGAAGAATGGCTAAACTTTGTTCAAGTAGCAAGCTCCATGTTTTCAAATGGGAAGCATACAAATTAACATGTAGCTTTTGAATTATTTTCAGTAACCTTATCAAAGCAAGGACCAGAGAAAAGCCTAGTCCACTTCTTCAAGCAACATCTGGATCTGCACTTATTGTTCTCAGCAGAAGAAATGACAAGATAGATGATTGTTGCTTTGTCATTAAGTACAGGTAAGGCATAAAGTTCGTTTCTACACTTTGCACACCACAAGTTAAAAAGGAAATTGATTTGGCACTTAATTTCTTCTTTAAATATTTAGATAGACCACAATAACAAAATCGTTGATTTGCTTTTCAACTGTAGAATGTACATTTTATCGAAATTAAATTAAGTGCAGTTTTCAACGTTCCCCATTGAAACTTATTTCCTAATTATAATACCAATTACTTTGCTAATTTATCATGCTATTGTATTATACTTATTGATTTTCATTCAAATTAAGAATGTGTCCTTCCAAAACGAATGAAGAAAACTATTGCCAGTACTGGTTATAACAGATAGTGCTTTGGAACTTATAAGCCATTGCTTCTTCTTATTTCACCTCTTTCAATGTTGTAGTTTTGAGGAGAAGTGCCCCATAGAGTGTGGCAGGCATGGTCTATGTTCAAAAGGGATTTGTAATTGTAGTGCTGGGTGGACGTCCAGAAACTGCAGCTTACCAACATGTCCAGTTGTATGTAATAATGGCTCATGTGATGCCAAGACCAGGAAGTGTAACTGTGCCAGTGGATATTCAGGTTTGTGAAAATTCTGAAATTATACCCTCTTATCCTCACTTACCAGTATATAGACCCTTAGAAGTGTTATAGTGCTAACTCTTGCTATATGCTTGAAGCATATTGATCATTAGTAACAGTTATTTGTAATAATATAAATTGATAAATAAATGCAAATATAACAATAATAATCATAACATATCACTTTACTTCAGCTGCAAGTTCCCTTCAAGTTTAGCTGGGAGGTTTAAATCCTTTCAACTTTTGTTTTCCATTCCTTCCTGATTGAAATAGACCTTTTGGAGCTCAAAATGAAAAGTAATTAATTATTCTAAACGATACAAGATATGTTCAGAAATGCAGGCAGTAACAAAAATGGTAAAAATTCATCAAAATTGTCAAATCAGCCAAGCTGATTCTTCAAATCCTTGAATTTTCACCTAGTTTGACAAGTTTTATTGTGTTTAGATTGGTTCATGTTCTTTGTGTTTGGATGCAAACCACTAAGAAAAATTGTTATTAAAAATATATATATTTTTAATCATTTTTTTAAAGCCCGGCACCACCATCTAAAAGCCTTTCTGGGAGGAACTTTTTTTTAAAGAAAACAAAAACAAATAGAGCAGGTGGTACTAAAAAAAAAAAGATTTTGTTGGCTTACAGTGTATTTCTTTATTTTCATGTCTGAGGAAAGTTTGCCACAAAGTTTTGTCCTAATTTGCATGAACCAGTTCTTGTGACTTGTGTTCAAACATAATGAAGGTGGATGAAGTTAAATGTATTTCCTGTTAATCCTGTGGGAACCTTTGAGTGATAAATGTTTGATGTTGCAGGAGAATCATGTAATATCACTGATAATAGGAACTTTTGGAGCTCACCCGTGGCAAATAACCAAGGTAAATTGTCATGCCTTAGACTCTCTGACTCATGGGAGCTAATAAGTCTCTAATGCTTTTAAATTAGAGGTCTATGGAAAAGGGGTGTCTAATGCCAAAATGATGGTTGTTTTTTTCCCTCTAAACCATTGTTCAGCTTTAACTTGTAAAAGCTGGAAACAATGTACATTTCATTTGTAGATCATGCGATGGAATTGTTGTCAAAAGAAAACCTGTTTTAGAATATTCCGTCTATACCTTAGTGGGTAATGTTGGTTATAAACATCTATGAAATTGTGACAATTATAGCATAACTGTTTTCAAAGGAAATTGTGCAATAATTATTGATTGAGTTTGGGGCAGGTACAAATTTGTTGCAGAACTTCATGTGTATGCAAAGAAAATGAGGAATATGTCATGGGAAGGCGATAGGTTTATCAGAAACTTTACCCCCTCAATGGGTTCATGAAAGTGGAATTTTATAGTACTTGTTTGGTTGTATTAAATTTTCATGAATATGTTGTGTTTAAGTTCTGCTTTGGGCAAACAATTCTTCTTCTTTTTTAAATTACTGAAAATGTAGCAAGCACATACATTGTGCAGAGTGTGTAGTGCTTGTAGAGTCTGTTGGTGCATGAACATTCCTGTGTGGTCTTCATTCATTGATATTCAGTTTTAAACTTCTCTTAATTTAAGATGCTCTAGATGGTGTTTCTTCTCATGCTATGGCTGTAGTTGGAAATTACATATGGGTTTTTGGTGGATTTTCGTTATCAAAAGGACCCCTGGATGTATTAGCAAGGTACTATTTCGGCCAATATTCAAGTGTTGTATTTTTTATTTCTTTAATTGTATTACAGATCAGTAACAGGTTTTTCTTTGAGGTATTAAGATGCCAAATTTAAAGTTTTCTGAAAAGTAGATGATTGTGGGTCCAGAGGACCCATGTGAGGGGCTTAAGTCCATTGTTTCTAGGGGTTGGGGTGCACTCCCTGGATTTTGTTTTTGAATTGAAGGCTGAAAAATGTATTTCCTGGCATTTTGGGGCTTGTAACTTGACATTAGAGAGACAATTTAAGCTGCAATTATGCTGTGAAATTTTTGTCTCAAAATCCAATGTGTGGGACAACAAATTATATTGTATGTACAATGTACTTTCCTGCACAGCAGTATGATTTGTTGAAAAAAGACAGTCATGAACATAATGTTTCTACACTGTCCTTGAGTCAGCGATCTTTTTGATGTTTTAGACAAGATAGGCACTGCAAATTTATACTTTTATGAGCCTAAAGTTAGACCTGATAAACATCATCTCCTCACCATATCGTGACTCTTGAAGTAATGAAAATGGCCGACAAAACCTTGCAGACCGGCAAGCTGATGAATTTTACCAGCTTCCAGCTCTTATATACAAGCTTGCAATAGGGAATGCAATTATCATTCACATAATTTTTCTTTTCATATTATTTTGGGTTCATCTCTCAAGAGTGTCACTTGATAGGATTAGGACAGTAATTTATGACCTAACCTTTTTTCAGGTTATCCCTGAGAAATTGTTCTGCAGACGTGACAAATAAATTTTTTGCACTTGTTGGATATGAGATTGGATATAGCCAACATGCTTGCATTGAAAAATCGTTAAAACTTAGGCTATTAGTAGGTATGGATTGACATGTTTTAAAATTCTTTGGTCTTCTTTAGATACAATATAAGAGCAAATAGATGGGAAATTATTCAAGCTTCAACTGAAAAACATCAACGACCATCAGCAAGATATGGGCATTCATTAGTGGCATATGATGTGAGAATCAGAATAATCCTTCCTCCTTTATAAAAATGCATGTTGTAGTTGCGTCTCTTCTACATTTAATAAAGGAATGAGCAAGCTAATATTTACCAGTGTGGAACTCACTTCAAAAACTGCTGACTATAAAGGCCTGTTCAAACACACACAAAACTTTAATGCAATAGAATTTCGACCATTTCTAAACTTAATCCAACACCATTGAACATCTTATAGCATGTTGTAACATGTAGCTATAGGCTGGCCAAACAGGTGCAACATGTTGCATGCAACAATGTTGCAAGATGTTGCATTTGAATGTTAAATACATTTGACCAGGCCTTCATGATATCAATTCGTTTGATTGACTGACAACAATGGCAAATTGGTTAAATCAGATTGCGACCTTACTACCAAATGTGGTAAAATATCCAATTTGTCCTTCATTTCCGGTTTCAGAATCACCTCATCTTGTTTGGTGGAACTTGCAAGAAAGGAGCTGTTTCTAATGAAACCTGGATATTAAACACTACATCAAGGCAGTGGACACTGTTAAGGAGTTCAGTCAATAAACCAGTGGGTGTATCAGGACATACAGCCACTGTTGTTGAAAATGAGATGATTGTTTTGTTTGGATATAATCCTGAACAAGGGGTTTCAAACTTGATCCAGGTATTTGGGCTTGGTAAGTGAATGGCACGTCTAGTTTTCTTCATTTCTTTAGTGATAATTTCAGACTGAGGACTCTGAGTTTGAGGAAGGGTGCTTCACCAATCAATACATGTGGTTCCAGTAAAAGTGTTCAGGGAAACTAATATATGTTAGGGGGAGGGAGGGAGAGGGGAAAGGGTTTGTCTGACTTGAATGAGCACAATCAGACATACTTAGTAGTACCCTAGCTCCCACCTTCTCAAGCCTGTTTCACACCTTAAGTTGGTCGGCCTTAAGGTAGGCAAGCACCACCAAAGCAAGGTGAAAATGGGGAAGAGGGGAGTGAAAGACTGCTTTCTTCTCATCAGTCACCTTCAAGGCGGACTTCATCACTTTTTTTGTTTGGTTATCACAGTCAACCACTATTTAAGAGCCTGGACCTTCTATGCCTTAGCTTGGTTGTTATTTTTAACTTACTCTAAGGAAGTAAACTTTTGATCATTTTCATCAGTGGACAGAGTGTGGAGATCAAGTAAAGTAGACTCATCTATCGTCAGACCCACCTATGGTCACAGCAGTGTGCTTCACCCAGGTACAGGACGTATTTATGTACATGGTGGTTACAGAATGCTTAACAGCTCCTGCTACAGAGCATCCAGTGAAACGTTCTACTATGAGTCCAAGGCTGGAAAATGGTACCAGCTGCATAATATTGGTATACCAAGGTTTCTTCATTCAGCAGTCATTATTGATAGCGCAATGATCATTTTTGGTGGCAGAGGAGAGAAGGAATTGGTATCACGCCACCTGATGGTGTTCGACATTAGTAAGTGTCCTCCTTGGCTTTCACGATTTTTCCAGTGGTATTTCAGTGTGTATCCAGCTTGTATGTTTCAATTTTGAGTGCCATTTTTCTTTCTAATTTTGCTAAGACTTAAAGCAAAAGTTTGTTTTCGAGTTTGTGTCATCATGGAAAGTTTTTTTTTGATAAAATCCCAATGGATTTAGCTGCTCACAACACATTGTGAGAACCATTGCGTTTCGTTTTGATAGATTTTTGTTTTTTTCTTTTTTTTCAGTTCTCACTAAAAGTAATGTTATGATTGTAGCGGCTTCATTCCTATAAAAAATATCAATTATTGTATCGATTATTAGAGGGAGTATAGTCAAGGAATCGGATGATTATGATCGTCTTATCTTTCGTGGTACAGTGGCAAAGGCACAGACAATTATACTGCTTAAATCTACAGGTAGCTTTTGAAAAAACTTTGAGCTCGTCTGATCAGGCAATACATTATTTTCAGATGAAATGAAATGGAAATTTCCAATCAATACTACTGTACCAAAGACTGCATCTCGTTATGGACACTCATCTGTGGTTGTTGACAGGTGAAAAGTTTCTTTTGACTTGTTTATGGCTTCAAGATATTCGTATGATTTGTCTGCAGTTGCGCGAGTGAAACTGTTCTTTTTGTTTTTGTAGCATCATGTATGCCTTTGGTGGATTTGCAGGACTTATGTTTAACTCTTTCCTTCAATACTCCCAAGGTAAGTTTGGTTTATCCAGGATAAATTTCAACACACTTGAAAACTGCTCTGAGTGTGGCAACATTAAATCAGTGATGACGGAAGCTTTTTGGACTTTTAATAATTATGGCAACGATACAGTGGTGGTTGTTCATACATGCCAAGTCTGATGATACGTTGATTGATCAAGTGATGGAGGGGCACTTCCTAGCGCAGATATCCGAAAGTAAGGGATTTATGTTAAAGCTCTTCAGCCCTTTGCCTTTCTCCCCTCTCTCTCCCCCCCCCCCCCCCCCCGCCCACTCTCCCTCTTTATTTCTATTAGGAGAGCTTGCTTTACACGACACACGATACAGTGGTATTGCTGGCCATGATATTAATGATGATATGTGTGTGTTTGCTGATTTGTGTTGACAGGAGATTGTATGTCACCGGGATCTTCAATCAACTGCTTTGAAGCATTCCCTACCCCCAGTGTTCTTTTAAAACCGCTTGTTTCTTCAGGTGCGTATAAAAACATTATAGTGTAACTCTTCCAATGCGATCAACTCGTTTGTTTCCCACAACTTCACTCTGATAACGACAACAAACAGTCATGCTGCTCTTGAGTCGACTATGAGAGAGGCAGGCACTTCTAGCACTGTACATTAAATGTCTATTTGTAGATGTCGTACAATCGTAAAGGAAGTTGTCAACAGCAGACTGGCCATTCACAGTACGTTAAACAGATATTTTTACCACGCAGATTCATGTACGTCCCATAACCCTAGCAGCGACCAGTGTCATTTGCGGCACACTTGTGCAGACTGCCTTAGAGGAGATTCCGATGATAGCTGCCTGTGGTGCGAAACTCTAAACCAGTGTGTGTCAAAAGTCACCCTTCGTGTCACGTTCCCATATCAGCAGTGCATGCAGATACTTGAGCGTGGCACTGGCGCATGTTCAGGTGAGATTCACGCAGCCCTGCACAAAAGGTTTTTTTGTGTACGCGTGTCTGTCCACTCCATCAAGGTATTTAGAGCACGAGAGTGTTATATTCCATGCAAGGTTCCCGAGTTCAAAGGGGAGCTCTGCACTGAATAATTTTTTTTTACAAGAAGTCTTCCCTTAATATCTGGCTGAAATGTTGACGGAAAAGTTAAGACTTTGAAAAAAAAATTTTGTTTGCAAAAAAAAAAAGACCCTTTACAGGAATGGCCACCAAGACTAAGAAAAGTTGCATTCTATCAGCAAGGAAGTACAAGGCTGAAACTGTGCGCTCTTAAAAGTTGAAGTCAGTGCGATTTATAATTGAGGAAATGACAAGAAGTGGAAAATTCGACAACAGATGATAGAATTGGCGCATAGCAGAGCGTAGTGTACCTACATACTCACAAGTACCTATTCGTTTGTTTATTTATTCATCTTTTGGAAAGCTTTGTGTGTTTTAATGTTTTGTTGTGTATTTCGTCTTTGGTTAGCTTTTTACTTGCTTTTGATGTATTTTGTGTTGTGTCTTTGTTACAACATGGCTCGCCTAGATGAGTTTAGGCTACCCACGGGTCCGTTAAAAATGTGGTAATTTTGATAATCATTTTCGAGCGCCCGTGCCTGTGTAAGGTGAAGAAGAGGGGAGAATGAGTTACGCTTTAGAATACTTACTTTGTTTTGGTTTTTGTTGACATGACTCGCTGTCTTATAATGACAGATTTACAGTGTGCGAATGTGAAAACTTGCCGTGACTGTTCAATGCTCCCTGGGTGTGGTTGGTGCGATGATGGGTCTGGGACTGGTTCGGGGAGGTGCATGCCTGGGGGCAAGAATGAACCCTTTCTGGGAAGTGGAGACTCTTATGCCGACTGTTCGAAGTCACGCTGGAATTTTATAAACTGTCCAGGTAACAGAAATATAATATAGAAGTTATTTGGCTTTGATAATCACTGATAAGGTGACTGTAGCCATTTTGAGGCTGTAAGAAATGAGCCTTAGTTGTCAATAAATTTTCCTCTTTGAGGGCAGCAGTTCAGTTCAGCGTCATATTTAGCTACAATGTTCAACAATATCGCAATCATTTCACGCGAGGCTTATTTGATCTTGTTCTTTCCATAATGACTTTGAGTAAAAACCGTCTTTGGTACAATGCCGTCATCTTACAGATAAGGTGTGAAACAAATACTACCCGTAACGCCACAGTTAACTCTGGTTGTCACGTAATTCTCCTCATTAGATGCAACATTTTTTATTTGCACGAGACACGTACTTGTCCTTTTTGAAGACCGCTGTACACGTATCTCATTATATGACGAACTTCTTTTTGGTATGCAGCTTGTCAGTGCAATGGCCATAGCAAGTGCGTTGAGGGAAACCGGTGTGAAAACTGCGAGGATAATACTGCTGGTGAGATGAAATGTTGAGGAAACAATATAGAATACTGGCAGACGAAGCACCGCCAACAATGACCGCACCAACAGCATCTTTAAGCCTTTAGCCCCTAGGAGTAACTATCATCTAAAAACGGGAACAAAGGAAATGATCACCAACTTAAGATGCTCTTGATTGGTTGACAAATTCTCCTTGTCAGCACCGTAGGAAATGTATGAAGAACAGATTGGAGAATATGGTATCATTATGTCAAGAGACCGCCTGAAATTTTATTCTTTTTTACTGTATTTTTTTGGCACAGGTGCTCACTGCGAACGATGTGCTGATGGGTATTATGGAGACCCTAGGAATGGAGGGAAATGTGCAGGTTAGGAATGAGACTTTTTAATCTGTAGTATCACTTAGTTGTAAGTTGAATTAATTTATTTGTTCTTTGAGGCACAGAGAAAGTGCCACATAGCTAACACTGACACTATTCCTCTCTGTAGGACTGCATGCGCACCATAAGTTCCGCTCCTGTACGTATATAACCGTTTGAAGTTCTTTTGCTCTAATTCATATCACTTAGTAGCACAGAGTTATTGGTTCTATTGAATTATCACTTTAATATACTTCTTTTCATTAAAAATACCAGCTTTGAAACTTGTTATGATTTTTCATTTTTTCCCAAATACCTTAATGACGGTGTAATGTAAAGACCAAATGAAAACAAACCAATGACAGCATCATATGTGGGCGTTTTCCCTTACACATGGTGACTTTGATAATGGCTGATTGATTTTTAAGAGATTGCGTTTTTTCCGCTTGCTTTCAGATTGCAGATGTTCTTCCCAAACTAAGTTGTGTGATTCTGAAGGCAAATGTCGATGTCTTGCCCTCGGCGCCACTGGTGATAGGTGTGATAGGTAGGTGTTCGCAATCATCCGCTGTGTGTTATTGTTGTTTTAAATCTGCTAATAAGGGGTCAGAGTGATATCTTTTTTCTTTTTTTAACTCCACAATGACTGCTTGACTCGTTAGATGACTCTTTTCCTAAGTCAGGTTTCGCCGTAAAAAACATTTACTTAAATACTCCCTTTTTTTTCGCCAATCGAGCTTGTTTCTTTAATATTCTTCTTGAGTCCATTTCTTCACTTAGAACTCTTTCACTCTTTCAGCGTCACTGGTTCGGGCAGTATGCAGGACGTGTGTCACTTACTAATGATGTTTGTGACTCACACTTGTCTGTTTTCCCTTTAGTTCAGTATTACAGCTTCTAAGTGATGTATTTAGGTGATTGGGTCTATCCCTTTAGAAAATATTTCCGAGTCTTTCACCTAATAAATCTTAAAAAGTCCATCAGAATCGCGAGTTTCGTCTAGAAATTTACTTATCTGGCGGGACAGTAGTGATCAACACCGCAATTCTTTGTCACAGTGGATCGAACTGGTCAGCTAGTGCTGACTCATAGTAGGCACCCTTAATAACCTAAATACATTTTATGATGCAGTCTACGTACAATGATTATGAATGGAAAGAAAAAAGACTGTTTTGGCTTTACTTCACGGCATGGTGTGTGATCTGTCTAGTTTACTGGCGTTATCCTTTTAGCTAATCAAATCCAAACTAAAATCAAAATTGACTTTGCTTTGCGTATCCTTTTTCGCTTGAGGTAGGGTACATGTATTACCTTTGATTTTTGTCGCATTAACTTTTGTCCAAGTGAGTGACTAGTACACCATACTATCATACAGGTTCATGACTTTCTTCATCATCTCCGCAGGTGTTTGCCTGGTTATAATCGTGGAGGTGACTTCTGTTACTGTACGTTGAACTGATTTTTAGGCTGTTTTGTATCCAGGAAAGTTGTCGGTTGATCACAGAGAGTGTTCCCTTTGTTAAGCGTTTGTAATAAAGTATATCAACCCTTCTACAGTTGGGGGGGGTAAGGGAAGGGGGAGGGGTGGGAATTAAAACCATTCAATGTATAGGTGCTGAGGAAATTCACATCAGAATCAACTTTAGTGCCACTGATTCATGTTGTAACTCATAAGTTTCATTTCGTTGAAGAAAACTAATGTTAGGAAACGATAAAGGACAAATGTACGTGTTGGGGCCTACAATATGTTAGGGGTATTCTCAATATGAACAATTTCAGATTATTAAAATTGTGTTGGCTTGAAATTTTAGTATTTACTTTTCTAATCTATCCTCTGATGGCAGCGAGGAATATCGTAACTAAAACTAAATAAAGTTTAATCGCCATCTTCAGTAAGAGTGTAATGCACAATTGTGAGGCAATCAGGCCAACCCTTCTGGTGGGTTTTACCTGCCCTTTTGCAGACTGCTTGTTCGCTTTGGTTTATTCTGTTATTTCAATTATTGGAGAATTTCTAATATCATTGGGGGTGATGTGACGAGTTATGTTCTCATTTTGTTATGGCGAGACGAATTTGTCACTAAGATATAATACCGTCAAGAAGTACAGGGAAAATACACTGCAAATGTGTAACAGAGTTAAAACAAAGCCGTGAATGGGAGTGACGTGGTATTTAAAATCATGATATACCCGAGATATCAAGGGTTAGATCACGAGAAAGAAGGGTTGCAATGTTATCAGTGGTGTGAGTATCCTAGAAAGTAGCAGTGATACAGTGGTTGGAGATAACAGGTCCGCCAACTTTCAGTTCTTTTAACTTCGCAATAAACAAATGCCGAAAAAAAATCATTTTTTTCTTTATTTCTAGATACTTTTCTTGGATCTAAGAAAGATTTTAATGTAACAGGATTCAAGACTTTCAATTTTGAGTATACACTCAAAGAGGTAATATATAGTTTATATAGTGGCTCTACGATCCCTTAACCACTCTTTTGTGATCAACGGTATCGTAGTGGTGGTATGGAAACCTCGCTTTGAATCGTATTCTTCGCTAGAGTGTTGACTCAAAGACGCATGCGTGGCCTTACTAAGTCAAATACGTTTTATTGAGAATACGTCAGCTTTTCTGTTTTCAGTGCAGCTCTTCTTTCCTGATTGGTAGGAGATAGGTTAATCTAAGGTGTAAGTAAGCAATTCTCATCACCTGTACGACATGTAACCAGTGGCCTGCCCAACGGTGATTCCACTGATCTGAACGAAAAGGGTACCACGCCCTTTCTCGTTCCAATCTTTCGTTTATCCAAACACTCGACCCCCCAATCGAAGAAAAAAAATCAATAAGCAAGTACAGCTATGAAAGTATATTGATCCCTAGTTGGTATTGGCTTTTTTTAGACAGGCGTTTGTGATTTTATAGCTGTTAAAGGACCCAGTCAAAGTTAAATTTTTAGATATCGACCGTGCGTTAAATTTATTTTTCAGGAAAAACGTAGTGTTTCTGTGGCGATTAAGTGGAAAGGTGGCAACAAAGGATCTAAGGCGAGGGTGAACATAACCATGGGCGATAGTAAGTACAAACCCGCTTTGTGTAGAGGCTTACACAGCTGTTGTCAGTTAGCTTTGGCTGTTTTTCGTTTTGTTTTGTTTTTTTTCATAAATGGCTTTTTAAGTCGGAAATGGCTAAAAGCAGTGTCCTAGTTGTTTTTATGACCCTCAAGTTCAGGCCTGATTCTTGGGCTCTCGTAGGGCTTCTGTCCAAACAGGAGTGAATAGAGGAATGAATGTTAACTTTATTTATACACGGGTATGAATTGATGGGTACGGAGCATGAATCTGTACCAGCAAACGGTCACGGGAAACCTAAGGAGGACTGCGAGTGTCACGGGAAACATAAAGAGGACTGCGAGGGGGAAGGGAGGGGTGGGGTGGGGTGGAATAGGAGTTGGACAAGCATCCTAACCGGGAGGAGTAAAAATAGTTCCTTTTGCTTCACGGAGAGCAGGTTAAGCTCTGGCAGCTATGCAATTAATTTTCGTTTCCGAACTGTATTTTATGTTACATTTGCCTTTTTTATTTAGATAATGAAGAGGAAATTAAATACGGTCATGAGAAGGTTCCATTCACGACTGAGTTTCGCTATAATGAGTATGAGTTCGGTTCTGATGGGATTACTATCAGAGGTTACATATATGACATCGAGTCTGGTGATGAAGGAGCCTTTCTCCGTGTAAGTTTAAACAGAACAATTATATCCACTGTCCACTGTCCACTATCCCTTTGGCGTCAACTCTCGACCATTTGGGATAACGCTGAATTACTGGGAGAGTATCAGGTAAACTTAGTTTTCCGGTGTAGGACGGTATGGAAGAAACCCTGGAGTGACAGAGTCACTTAGAATACTCACCTTGTTGCAGTGTTTTATAAAAATCAGTTTTAAGTGCTGCTATCTATACGTTCTTATTTTTTTCTTTTCTATGGCCATTTTCGAAAACCCAGAGAACTCTTATTGATTGCGAGACTACGTAAAGGTTATTTGCTGTTACCCACTATTTTCACTGTTACAGATTACTATCGAAAATCTGGCGGAAACCATTGATCTCCTGGAGTTCTTTCTGACGTTTTTCGGGTAAGCTTCACCGTGTTTGTGTTGTTACTTACCAGGAAATAGTTGTTCTAATCTCGGACTATCACAGCTCAACTTCCCTCCTCTATTTCAAGGAGGGCCTTTCACAACCTGCAGGGTGATGGTTCGGCTATCAAGTTATTTTGGTTGGGTGCTTTCTTTCTTCGCTATATCGTGTCACAAGGCTTATACCTTTTACCCTTGGATTACAACTCTCTACCTAGGAGTGTTGCGCTGGGGTGCCGTTTGATCGAAAGTCGTTCGTTATTACAACGTGGAATCAAAACAAATGAAAACTGGTCAAATGAATATAATGAAAGCTTAAAGGGAATATTGGTAAACTGTGTCAGATACGTGAAATTTGAGTGACTAAGTCGCCCTTAGATTTAGTTTTGCATCTTATTGTTGTAGGTTGTAGCGTATGGACTTAGAACAATCACAGAGAACAGAAAATTCAAAACCACTGCAATTCCGGCTTTCTTGGACACTAAATTGAAATTTCCTCCAAAGTGCATAATTGAGATTGTGAGCTGGGAAATAATTGCCGAAGACCTACCCGTTGCTCTCACCATTGTCCATTCATATTTTGGCGTAGTCATCACTGGATTACATTTTGAAATACACTCTGTGCTTCTTTTTCTCACTAGTTTGAAATCTTAATCGCTTATTTTAAATGGGTTGTTCGTTAGAGAGTTTATCCCCGTCTTAAACCTCGAACTCCCATGAGTGACCAAAACAGAATTTCTCCTTGCAATATCCATACAATATCAAGAAGACTAGTGATGAGAAGAAAGAAAAATATCCATCAGGGGATTAGTAGTCGATCCATTACCAAATTCGCCAAACTAACATCGTAAGAATTGTATGAAAGACTATAATGAGAATTTTACTAATAAGATCCTAGGAGTGAAAGGTCAAATGAAGACTCCATGTCTTGATGTCTATTGAATTGTTTACTTCAGAATTGTAGTGATAACTCATGGTGATTCTTTTCCGTAGCTGTTTCCTGTCGTTGCTTCTCATGGCCGGAATCGTGTGGAAAGTGAGGAATCGCTATATCTCTTACATCCTGAACAGGGTAAGAACCTTGGGTTTTCAGCAGTTGAATTTCTGTCATTAATACTATTGGCGGCATGTCAGTCACCAATGAACGGTTTTCTTTTCTTGTTTCAGCAACGACGAGAGGAAAGACAAAAGATGGCCAGCCGTCCATTTGCTAAAGTGTCAGTTTTCCTTCATGCTCATAATAAGGTTGGTTCTTCACACTGTAAATGGGCTTCATCATATTTTTTGCGTCATTTCACGTAGAGTGTTGAAGATCTCTTTCTCAATCTATCTATCTATCTTATCTTACCCACTAAGGCCATACTGCCCCCTTTCCTTTAATGATGAAATTTTCAGCGTTTTCTTTTTTGCAAAGGGTAGGTTTCCTTCACTTTTGAAGATGATTATTAAAAGGAACATTAACTCGGAATATATTGACAGAAGTCCATTTTAACCATGACATGAGAAAAGCAATTGAACTGCCATGACATTATTAGACTCATTATTAGCTCGAACCTTTCTCTTGTCCTGTGGTACGGCAATGGCAGGTTTTGGGGCAATTTGTACGTAGACAGCTCCTGCCTTTGCTCTTTATTTCTTTACATAACTGTGTCGTTCAAGTTGAACAGAACATCTTATGTACGGTACTTACCATTCGTGTGAACCATCCGAATTGAATTTCTGGCGTGCAAATTAATGATTGAATTTGGGTTTAAGCGAATAAAACTTACCTAAACTCTTTGAAAAGACTGAATTTCTTTTTTCTCGTGTATATGAAATAGTAAGCACATCTTTCTGCCTAGTTGTTGCGTGTAATTCAGTGGTAATGAGATTTTTATGTCATGTTCAGAAGAACTGTCTGACATTAATAAAGTTAGCCGGAATATAATCATGCTCCAACCACTCTCCTCTTATATGCGATACTTCAGTCCACCCCTGGACCTGTTGCTGTGGAAACCTGTGAAAATGGCAAAGCGTCCGTGCTTACCGTTCTTATGAGGTTACCTGGGACTGAGGATGGCTTAACTCCTATTGGCCAAAGTGGTCTGTGTTTCGCGAGTGTGTTAGGGACCCACACGGAACAGACAACGAGTGCCCCGGCACCGAAGGCTACACGAATTAGGACCACCAAGCGATGCGCCTCAACGTGCGTATAATCCGAGAACAAAAGTTCAAATGTAGATGTGAATTACTTTGCCTGCTACCTTGCAAGGACTTTTTAGGAAACAAATTTCCAATTTAAAGTGTTTCATGGCACGACTTAACTCGAACTTTGAATAAGTGCGTTTGAAAAGATTGTTGAGCAATCGTGAAACTACGTATCGAGAACCTTCAGTTAGGGATTTTCTCCCAATTCTGTCGAGGTAACAACTTATGCTTAATTTACTTGGAATCTTAAACTCGAGCGCGATGTAAACTGCTTTAGGTATATGCTTTATAGAAATGGTTGGACTGGGCTGCTCCTGATTGTACAGAAAAGATCAGGATTCCTTCCCATGAACACTCTACTTACTTCGCTCTGATCGTAACTTCGACCTCGAGTTATTTAGTTTCATAGATTGAAAATTGGAGGAAGAATTTGATTTTGAAGTATTGAGTTTATATTTTTATAGAAATTTGTATTGAGTTTAAAATTAATTGCAACAGGACTTGTAATTTCTCCCTTTCCCACTAGTTTATATTTAATAGTAGTTTATGTCTGCTAGACTCTCTCGTCAGACTGTAACCTGGTAGCAACAGTGCAAGCGAACAAATAAGACTTTTTTATTCCAAGTTTTATCAGAAAAAATGGCGAGATATGTTTGGCGAATTCCAAAGACTTTGGGTTGTAGTAAGATACCTCTCATTTTTTTATTGATAAAAAATAGGAGATATTCATTTATTTATAAGTTTGTAAATGTTAATTGAATTGTTTAAAAAAAATTGAAAAAAAATTAAGTTAATGTTTTCAACGAAGCAAGACATTGAATCAATTAAGATAGAATTATCAGGATTTTGTACAGAAATATAAAATAAATGAAGCGGAACATTGAATACTGTTTGTTTCTTAACTTTATTGAAAATAACAAACTGGTAAAGTCTGTTATTTATGCGAACGTTTTCTAACGCAGTGGAAATGGGACATCAAAAACTAAATGCAAAAATGTACGTTAAGCCCCTAAAGGACCCTATCAGAGCTTGACTTGAGTTATATTTAACGCCAACAGCTTTAAAGTTGGCGCTACCATGATTTTTATGAAGAAGTCTGACGTTACCTTGATTTCTTTCTCGTTGAAATCCACCTAAATAGACTGAAGATGATGGTTTCATGATTTTAAATCCTTTGTTAACTTGCAAATTTTGACTTTTCTTCCATCCATTTTGAAATCACTGGTGATCCTTGCAATCTGATTGGCTCTCAGCAGTGCGATTTCTTAAGGAATTGCACTGTTTTTGTCTGCCAATGAGAAAGCGACACTGAAGCAAAACAACAATTAATCAGAGAAAGATGTTTGTCGTCTCGAGCGTGGAACAAAGAAAAAATTCTGAATCTCCATGAGGAATCGAACTCAGACCTTCGGATTTCGCGCTCCGATGCTCTACCACTGAGCCACAGAGACTATGGTGAGCAAGATCTAATGATACGCGTCCTCCATGCTGCTAAGATCAGCAATGTCAATAGCGTCATGTTTGTAAATAGAATAAGAGAGATGGTAAGTTTTGAGCTCGGTAAAGAAATAGAGAAAGATGCTTTTCGTCTTGTCACGAGCGTGGAACAAAGGAAAAGATTCTGAGTCCCCGCGCGGTAGAGCATCGGAGCGCAGAGTCCGAAGGTCTGAGGTTCGATTCCTCGTGGTCAGTCAGAATTTTTTTCTTTGTCCCACGCTCGTGACAAGACGAAAAACATCTTTCTCTATTTCTTTACCGAGCTCAAAACGAATCAAATTGCAGGAAAATGAAAGACAAAGTAAACATTGTGTGGGGAATTTAGATTTTTGCCCCAAAACTTTTCTTTTTCTTTTTCCGGTTGTGCTTTTTTTAACAAACCTGTCCAGTTCTAGATCAAAAATAAAACATTTTACAAACTAAAATCCAGTTTTTGGGCGGTTCAACCTTACGAGAAACTTTGGCTTGAAATAATACTTGAAATTTTAAATTGAACTCGCTCTGCGTGCCCTCACGATTTTAAAATCGCGCATATGATTTCCAACTAAATGGCGCTTTACTCAGTTCATTTACCATTGTCATGAGCCCTCGAGTTGCACTGACTAAAAAGGGCCTTTTCATGGAATTGCTAAACAGTTCAGGGCGTCCATGATATTATATTCACAGAGATTTGTAATTGAGCTCCCGCCCAAACTCGGAAACCGTCCAAACTCAGGGGCTACCAATTATAGAAAAGATGTTTGCGTTGGAACACAGGGGTGTTACCATGCAAAAAAAGAAACAAAACGTAGATTATCATATGACACATCCGGACCCACTTGCGAAATCCCTTAGAAAACCACAGTAAAAGCTGACGTGTGTAGACGTGAGCCGTTCCGGAAAAAGCCGTCCGGTCCTAGGGCATTTGTGCGGTTTTGTTAACAAAAAAAAGAAAATGAAGAAAGAAAGAAATGTTGTTTGCTGTTGATGCAAAAAATGAGTGATAAACAGAATCGAGATAATAATTTAACTTTTTTCAATAAACTGTGATTTTCTTGTTCTAACTCAAAAAAAAATTAAGGAAAAGTTTTTGCAGGTTGCAGAATCTTTATTATGGTTTCCTTGCGCGTGCCAGTCAGTCGCGTCCTATTTAAGTTGAACAAAGTTTTCGAATTTTTCAAACCTTCGTCAATAGTCACATGATAAAATGGTTATTGAATGAGTGGGAGGGCCGGACCTGAAAATGTTTGGCTCTCGTTCATGACTCACAGAGCTCGTTGCGCTTGGTCCATACTTCAGGGTCGCGAGCCAAATATTTTCCCGTCCAGACTTCCCACTCATTCAGTAAGTACATAGTATCCACGGGGACCGGAACCCTTCCATCTAACATATCATAGCACATGAGATGAGTCGTGTCATTCTCGGGACAAACCAAGAATATGCGTCATAGCCCATAACATGGAAACATTCAAAATTTTATGATCCTCTGATTCATGAAGACAGTCAATTTGTATCACACTTATTCCTATACGCCATAACTGTAGGTGGTCTTTCAAACAGAAGTATTGGTTTCTGCGCTCTTTTTGTGATGTATATTGCGAACGTGTGTTGCGCCATAATGGATTATTGACATTGTTATGATGTAGAGTTTTATGGCGGTCTAAGGACTCTCCTGCACCAATCAGATTGAGTTTTTATACGCTGGTTATTTGACAATAAAATATATCTTATGGTAGAGCTAAAAATTATCTGCTTTACAGACATTTGCCTGATTTATTCTACATTATCCTAAGGTAGAAGTTACGTAATTAAAATGAAAGATAATGAAAAGAAAGCCACGTGGTGTACGTGGTGTGATACCTGACCGCTAAGGATCTGGAGAGAAAAGTTAGTAAAAAAAATTGCGTCTAGAATTTTCCTAAAAGAACAGGTTTGGAATACCGTTGTTTGCATTTGAAATTATTGTGCGAAAAATGAGCACTGACGCTGCAGAAAAAGTCAAAGAAGGTGTCAAGGCCTACTATGGTAAAAAACTAAAGACTTCGGATGATCTTCAGACGAACGCGTGCAAGCTTGGTGATAAACAGATGACTCCCGCCGTGAAGAGCGCATTGAAGCTTATTCATGATGAAGTAGCTAGCAAGTAAGAAAATCACACTGTTTTAACTTTTTAAGCTAATCAATAACGGGGAGCCGTACTGTAGATAAAACTTTTCTACAATTTCTTTTTCGGCGGAGTCACGAAAGGGACATCCACGCTTCGCTGGTCCGTAACCGTCCGCCATATTAAATAACTGAATTTTGCCAATAGGGACACAACTCATAATGATTCAACATGGCGTGCTGCCTTAAAACGCTATGGATCTTCTTTGTGGTTCGTATTTGGGATAAAATGTGGTTGAAGGAGGTCATTTTCCAAACTCTGGATGTGATAATCCATCTACTGAGGCTGAAAGTTAATATTGCTCAAGAGTGTATAACACGGATATCTCTCTGTGTAGGAGGCTTTACTTTCATCTGAATTACAGGGTATAAACAGCTATTTATCCTTTGGGTGTATTTGAGAGATATGTTGACCATACACACCTTATTGTTGGTATGTTAGTCTTACTAGATGCAATTGAGCTATAAAGCTTTATAACTTGATTGTACGACTCGTACTTCACCAATGTCGTAAGTGGTACTTGAGATACATGGATTTAGATTTGTTCTCTTCTACCTCGTATTTATATTATTACTGTATATAAACTTGGGTTTGAGCTAGTGTTTATTTGTGAAAGGTGACATATGGTTTATGAATTTGCAGTTTGGTTTGCCAATGTCTTAGATCACAATCAGTTTGTCAATAAAGAACTGATTCATGCTTAGTTTGTGTATATTTAATGAAAAGATTCCAAGTTGCCATGTGTCTGTTCAGTAATAGATCACAGATGACGTCAAAGTGTGGTAAGAACAAAAAAAGTGGCACATGAGGTGCAGCCAAGTGTGTCACTTATGTTCTTACCAAATTTTGACATCCTCTGTGATCTATTACTGAACAGACACACAGCAACTTGGAACCTATTTGTTTTATATAAAAAAAAAGAATTGAAAAAATTTTTAATGATGATGTCATCTATATGTCTGTCCTCCAATCAGTCATAAGCGAGAACCAATCAGAAGGCGTGCATAACTGAGCTTATTATATAATAAGTTATGGATGTACGCAGGAATTTTGGAGAGCATGAGAGAAGTGGTAGGGTTCCTTGAGGCACAGTCAAGAACAACTCTAGCTTCTTAAGTGCTTTCCAAACTTCCCAAGTGTATCTATAACTTGATATATGTACATTTAAAAGCACGAACCAATTCTTTTATAACATAGCATACAGACACAAGTTCATTAAAACTGTGTTGGGTGTACCAGAAACTGTGTTCTACCTGAAAACTATGAGGAAAATGATGTGGCAAAAACAATCAAAAAATATTTCAAGATTAAATCTTTTCTGCACAGAAGCAAAAATTAAATAATTTTAAGTTAAAATTCATTAAGCACAACACTTACAAATTTTTTGCATTTAGGAGACCTGTGTGGTAGATTTACCATAGGTCTATCTTAATTGAGATGGAACAGAAAAAAAAATTTTGAAAGTTTTGAAACCTTGTGGCTAAACTTAACAGGAACTTTAAGCTGAAGTGAAACTGCACATGTCATGTTATGAATGCACAGCTGTGCATATATAAGGATTTTTACCATAGTAGCTCCATAGGAATTAGGTAGGACTCGTGCTCATTACAATATCTTTTGCTGTCACATTATGTGTTTGTTCCTTGCTTTAAATTACAGCCATTGATTAAAAAATATTACAGGGTAACGTTGTATAAGAAAACCACATGAAAATAATACACTTCACCCATATACTTTGCCTACAAGTTGATTACCACAAGGGAACTTAAAGTTTGATACAACTCAGTCCGTTGTAAGCCAACCATATGTTTAATGTTTACAGTACAGAGTATGACACAATTGACACAACATGACCCTCATCATTTTTTCAAAGGAAACTTGGAGTCATTTGATTGCAAAGTTCCATGCTGGAAACTTTTAAAAAACTTATAAAACTGTTGATAAAATATTTGATTATGTTTCAACATTGCTTCATGTCATTATCAAGTCAGAAAACAAAATGGCAAGTGGAAATGTATTAAGGGGTTAAAAGAATGGAAAGAATGGTTTTTTCCCTCATCCCCAAAGGTGGAATAAAAATAAATCATTTGGAATAAAAAGAATGTGTCAAGTAAAATGTTTGGCAAGAATTGAATCATTCTCTGTGTTCATTGAAGGTTTGATGTCTGGAATTTAAAGCACTTCATGGATCAAACAGTCAAACTGCTGGTAAATTTTTTTGAGAACTTTAAGTTAAAACTTGATAATAAGGCAAAAGTTAATACGAAGATATGTGATTTTGTATTTAAATGGGCTCATTCCCAGCACCAATTAAAATGAAAAAATAGATAACTTTAAAAAATTATCAAAGTGAGTTTGATTGTCTAGACTTCAAAATTATTTCAAGGGCTTGACCTCTATGAGCTGATCTTTGAGGAGACAGTACTAAATCAACTAGTATGTCAGCAAATTGACCTGAGACAATGGCAAACCAATGTATGGAATGGCCATTTGGTTGTTGGGGAAACCACTTTTAGGCATTTAAATCTCTGCAATTCATCCTTATATGTACATTATGTATGTGGTGCATAATTTGCCAAATTTCTGTTTGGAGCATTTTCTAACAGAAGTTAGTGAGGTTAGCAGAATTGTTTGTTTATTTTGAGCAAGCACTGTCTCATGAGGACAGGGTTCATTTAGAGCCATTTCTGATTCTTAGAAAATAGGGATGGATATTTCTAAATCTATTTTCAAGATGTGGAAATATTATGAGAATTGGAGATAAAGTGGTGAAAAACTGGAGCAGGACTTTTCTTAGCTTAATTGCTTAAATGCTGGTTTTCAGAACTAATAGAAAGGTAGATTAATTCACATATTTCAGTAACAAAATTTTGTAAGCACAATCAAGTACAGTTTCAGTGTTTCGGTAGAAGGATGTAACTTAAAACCTTGTGTTTAGGAATTGGAAAAAAAAGTTTATTACCAGGCTGAAAAATGCCTTGAATCTTGATGGTAAAAGGCTGTCTCCATTTTTTTGTCTGGTCTGCAGTGAATTGTTGATAAAATAGTTCAAAATTTGCACATTCGATCAAAAGCTCTTTGAACTCCCATCAAATCTTGGTCCACAATCCTTATGACTGTCTAATGTATCATGGGTTTGTTAAATTTATGATCAAGACAGAAATTCTCTAGACAATATCACTACAATATCAAACAGATAAGTGACAAAAATAAGAAAAAATATCAAATGGCAGAAACATCATAAGAATTGTATGAGTTAAAAGGTTGAAAGGTTTGATGCTGGAAATAGCACATTTTCAAGGGTATGCTGAAAGATGTTTTTAATCATACTGTGCAATTGTATAGTCTAGAGTATGGGGATTTTTTAAAATTTGTTTGGAACTTTTTTACTTGAATATCTCTGTTGGAGTGCTAGTCTTATTGCACAATAAAACGAGATTCTAACTCTAACCAAAAATAATAAAGATTCTTAATCATTGATTTATTTTAGGTTTTATGGATGTGGTTTAGTGGCCCCAGAAGCCCTTGATGGCATGAAAATCTTGGATCTTGGAAGTGGATCGGGTCAAGATTGCTTTGTACTCAGTAAACTGGTTGGTGAACATGGCCATGTTACTGGAGTGGACATGACCAAAGAACAGGTATGCTCTATAGTCTACCATGGTACCTGATAATGGTCCACACTCACTATTTTTTGGGTGCTAGCTAGGAGCACCAAAAGAAACTCAGAAAAATTTGGGTTGCATTTAGATTTATTTTACTTGAGAATTTTACGTGCCTGCCTCATCTTCATTATGTGTGATCCAACTAACTTGACTTTCAACCATGTTAAATTTAGGTTCTTATACAAACAGTATACCAGGGCGTGAAATTAACTTTTTTTTCTGATAGCCACTTGGCTCCTAAATTCTTCAAAGTGGTACCCAATTCAAAAAAAGTTGGTCGCCATTTTCAAAGACAAACAAAATCTTTCTTTACGCTGTCAGCGTTCTAGATAGACCCTCCAAAATTAAGTTAGGGAAAAGATCTTTAATGTGCTACAAAGTGGACACTAGGATGTATGATATACAACGTTCAGGCTCATCTAAATCCAAGATGGCGTCTAGTTATCGATCGAGATGCATGTGCTACATTTTGGAAACAAACTTAACGAGGAATGATTTTGCAAATTTATTTAATTCACTATATCTCTTAGTAAGGTTATGATGAAACAAGTGGCCAATTTGGTGACAAACTTTCAGGATTTGGTCGCCAAAGTGAAAAATTTAGTCGCATTGGCGCCTGTATTCATGCCCTGTATACTGTACAACCAAAACCAATGTTTCACAACAGCCTTTGAGAACAAATAAGCCACACTTGCAGATAAGCTGCATTGGCAGATAAGCTGTTCATTTAGACCTGTTCTTCAGAGTTTGAACAGAACTCCTTTCTTCATATTTTAAAGATGGAGAGTGAAACATTTTGAAAGAGTAAAAGTACATATTAAATCTTTATTCATTTAATTGTTGCATTTTGTGGGTTTTTATTATCATTATGAAAGATGATTAAAAGGAGAGGAAACAAATTCAAGTTATAAATTTGTGAGAATCATTATCTCTAGAATTAGAGCTGTTGGTAGGCTTACATGTAGTTTGCATGATGGATGTTTGAATGCACTTAAGACAGCTCTGATGGTACACGAAAACACTTACAGCTGTTTTTGAATGGAGCCCAACCTACAGGACTCATGGGTTTATAGTCTGCACACTCACCATGCACCTATTTTGCTGAATTGCTCATTTGTCTTAGGTTTCATCCTGGTTGCATCTGTGTTTTGTTTGTTCATAACACAGGCAAAACGGGGTCATGCCTGTGCAGTGATTGAAGGAAATACGGGAGGGTGTTCATGTGGTTTCAATCTGCACTGTATTGGAAAACTGCTATTGTATTTCACACATCAATATCTTTTGATTTTATGATGTATTACAAATTATATGCTGTAACATGTTTGTCTGTTGCTGAGGGGTTAGATTTGTTTACATGTATCTTGCATGCTCTTCATTACAGTATTAGCCAAGGTTTGCCATGCATATTCCAGATTGCTTCAAATTCTGGATATCAACTTACATGTTGGCTGCACCTAGTGTCAAATCTGTATGAATACATCAGTAGAATTCCATTCATGTTATCCCTTGTATTTAGGTGGATGTTGCCAACAAGTACATCAAATATCATGCTGATCAATTTGGATATTCTAAACCAAACACTGATTTTAAACTTGGTGAGATGGAGCACCTATCTGATGTAGGAATACAGGACAGCTCTCTGGATATTATTATGTAAGTAAAAAATATCTGTGACATGACATTTGAGTATTCAGTATAGAAAAATCATATACAATAATAACAACTTGTTTTTTGGATTTCTTGTCACTTACAAATGCTTGGAAGTTAAAACCTAAAAAAAGAGAATTTAAAAGAGTTTCCATAATGAAAATCACATGTAATATGAAAACATAATCTGAGTGAAGACTTGAAAAAGAACTTTGATGACTCAATAGCTACTATGCTCATCTGACATTCTCATTTTACTTTTCTCATCTGAAGTTCAAACTGTGTTGTAAACTTAACAGCAGACAAGAGTGTTGTTCTCAAAGAAGCTTACAGAGTTCTTAAGGTGAGACAATGCTCTAAACAAGTTAACTTTTCATACCCTATTATCATTATCAGTATTCTACTTACTATTCTCTATACACTTGCCATGGTGCTGACTAGAAAGAGTTGTTTAACAGTAGAGAGATTCATAATTGGGATCACTATCAGTATCTGGGCAACTGCCTACCTACCCCTCCCCTAACCCAACATTAACCCTAACTTGTTATCAATTGACTGTTGTTGAGTTAGGGGAGGGGTAGGTGGGCAGTTGCCCAGATACTGACATTGATCCCATAATTGTAAGGAGAAATTAGAGGCTGGTCAATCTTAAGGGTCAAAGGGTTGGTGTTTTTTGTATCGAAGATGTTGATGAAGATTACTGATGCTGAGGTCTCATGTGATCTGTTTAGGATGGAGGGGAGGTTTACTTCAGTGATGTTTACACTGATACAAAACTATCTGAGGAAGCCAGAAAAGACGAAGTACTTTGGGGTAAGTGGCTTATCTTTGTTTAGTCCTTTCTATTCATACTGTTGCATGAAGTTGAAATCCATTTCTTTCTTGCGGTAGAGAGGAAATTTCTCACCATCTATTCATTGCAAAAATCATGTGGGGCTTTTGGAGACAACCTTAATGTTACTTTTCTGTTTTATCTGCATATTATTATTATTGTTTTAAGTGACGACGTTGAAGAGCGGGAGGTATTAAGTGCATGGAGGTTGGGACCTTCATATTGGGTATAATGGAAAGAGGCCTTTGTATGTCTCAGGATGAGAAATAAATTGACGCACCTTTCACAAGAATATACTGTCAGTTATTTAGTTAGGGACTCTCCCATGTACCCATTCTGTAAGGGTGCCGTTGAGCAGAAAATAAGCAAGAGGTTGTGACTTTTCTTCTGAAAAAATAGTATGAAATTAATGGAGCTACTACAACTCCCAAGTACACGATTTTTAATATATTATGCTCTGTTAAAGAATTTTTTAACATGAAAATGTTGGAACATTTTTCCCTGTGAGACTGTTAATGGTTAGAAGTCTTACGTAACAATTTGCTATGTTAAGCTAGTTACTCCATCTATCTTTTTTGTGCCGTCAGGTGAATGTGTTTCAGGGGCGTTACACTGGAAAGAGCTGGTCGAACTGAGCAAAGAAGTAGGATTCTCTGGGCCACATTTGGTAACTGCGAGACCTTTTGTGGTTGAAGAACACCTCAGAAAACCACTAGGTGAGTGCCTTTTTTCAAAATTGATATCTTTACTGATATTGAGCCATCAAAAGAGCAGGGTTTCTCTGCTTAAGCAAACAATTCATTACTGTTGTCTGACTTAACTAGTAAATAAGCCGACTTACACAGAAGAGTAACTTACCTGACAGGTATTACCTGAAACATCATGGGTTTTTTTTTCTTTTTTTTCTTCCAATATAGGTGATGCTCAGTTTGTCTCAGCCACCTATCGTTTGTTCAAAGTTCCTGAAAGCTGTAAGACAGAAGCATCCAGAGTGACATACAAAGGTAAAGAGAGCATAGAGCGGGCTAGAATGTCGTAGACGTGGTTGGACAAAGGGATGAAACAAAGAAGGAAATTTCAACTAGCCTAGTGCTACAAATCAATAGTTCTTTCCATCACAATTCTTATCGTTTCAAGTCTGAGTAATATAAAATATTTGGAAGTGTTTAAAATACGTCTGAATTTTAAAATCAAAGAAACAACTGGTTTCGAAATGGTCGCGCACTGACTTTGGTCGTGGGGGATTAATCTGGCTCCAAGAATGTTTAGACTAACAACGAAGTGCTTGAGACGAGAACGAAATACTGCAATACTGCGCAGCCAAAATAAAAGGACCTAAAGGTAGTTCGAAGTTCGATGGTAAGCTGAAGTAGTTGTTTGCGAGTGAGATTGTGGTGATGGGTTCAAATTCCTGTAGGACGAAACCTGTGGTTATCGTGCAAAAGTCGTATAAATCAATATTTGTCGTATGGTGATCGCTGCACCCGCGGCGGCTTTAGATAGAAACAAATGTATGTGGAAGCTGTGAGCTATGAGGTAGTTACTACTTAAAAAAGTGCTCTACCCACATACCGGTAATGAGTTTGTTACGATTTTCTTTTTTTTCAGGCACTATTGAGGAAAGCCCAGAAGAGTTCAAGTTTAATGTTCACAACATATTGACGGTATGTTCACTTCTTTAAACTGAGTTCCCTTTTTCTCTACATTCGAACACGAAAAATGATTACCCAGGAAATGTAATATGATGTTTCCAGTCACAGACAGGCATAACCAGGAAAGAATCCCGCGTACTTTCGGCAGCGGTCCATTCTATGGCCTTTTTGATGCGTTCCACGGAAACTCTGTCTCTGAATTCAAGGGGAATCGTTGTTTTTTTGGTGGAGTACGACTTTGTATTTACAACAAGGGCACATTTTTACCAAAAATTTTCTTGCTACTCAGTTTTTGAAAAATTAATGGTTTAAACTGCGTTTTTGCAATCTAAAGTTAATGCCATGAGCTCTAAATAAAATTTCTGAGAGAGTGAAGGCTAGCAAAAAATTTTTCTTGGGCTGATTTACCTGGAAAAAAGGACACAACGTTATGTTAAAAAAACTTGGTCTACCAATGACCCATTACGACTCCTACCTTAGTGATGTTGTTGCACCTTGGCAGTTAGAGCTTCCCTCTCCCGAGAAAATGTTTTATAGTGAAAAGGTAAGAACCAGAACGGACGAGTCTCTCAAAGCTCAGGAGTATAACATCTCAAGACCTGATCCAGGGATCCGAGTCTTTGTTTTAAAACACGGAATTGGTTTCCCGAATATCCACTCGTGCCCAACTAAGAAAATTATCGTTTTCTTTAACCAAGTAAAAAGAGGCCATTATGTGATTTCCATTATTGCGGCTCATTTGATTTGCAGAAAACACCTAAGGATGTTTCCTCTGATGTGGCAAGTGTCCTTAGTGCCTCACGTTTTTCGAAGCATTTCGAATTCCAACCGCTAGAGCCTGGAACCACAGCTCCTATTGATGACGTGTACATCGAAGCGGATCCGTTTGCGTATTGTGCGTCAAACAAAGTGGCGCCAGGAGCATGTTGCCCCAAACCTGCCAAACCTGTTGAGCAGGAAAACGGCTGTTGCCCGAAACGTGCGAAAACCGATAATGAGGCTCGCTGCTGTTAAACGTGGTTTTCAGTATTTGAGGAAAACTGGAGACGGGATTCTAAATATCTTGGGGACAATAATTAAAATGAAATGCCATTATACTCTTTCTTTATAATAACTGTGACAACCGAAGTCATAATAAACGTAACCATTAAAGTTATAATTTATTTGGGTTTATTATGTAGCGCTGCAGCAGTGGTGTTTTTTCGCCCGCGAGAAAGTTTCACGGTGATTATTGGCTGGAACCGGAAGCATTGGAAACGTAGATTTGTTGCAGAGATCAAAATGAACGAGTGAACTTTACTTCGTTCTCACAGGCACGTGTCTTGGAAAGCTAGCGACCGCAGATCGTCCTCGTGAGTGGGGTCGACACAATTTTATGGCTATTAGTGATCGGATAGTTTTTTGCATTCCACATTTTTCCAACGTTTTAGTTTTTGCAAAGTCTCACAACACAGAGAGAAGGACTCGATATTCATGGTATTATGCAAAACAGGGTGGGTTACGGGACTCATGGAGTGGCCATTTTTTTCTCCTCGATGGGTCATCTTTCACAGGTAAGTTTGTGCGCTCTTTGCGCCTGCGTGTACGCAGGAGATATTGCGCAATGCTATGTTTTAGAAGGAAAATTACAGCCGTGTGAGCCTTTGAAAAATTCTCGAACCTTGACCCTTTTAACTTAGTTCGTGAGCATAACACCTTGAAGAGGTCTTTCTCTCACGTGAAAAAGTTCTGCCAGAAATGAGCTCTGAAGGTGTAGATAAGGTTAAAGAAAGTGTAAAGGTCTACTATGGCAAAACCCTCAAGTCTTCCGATGATCTTCAGTCGAATGCCTGTAAACTAGGTGGAAAACAAATGTCAGACGCCGTGGAGAACGCTTTGAAACTTGTCCATGAGGAGGTATCGAGCAAGTAAGAGAATCACAGAGTTGTGTAACTTTGTAGGTTAGTCTACTTTGAGGAATAAGAACTCTAATGGTGGTGTAGGATAAATACAATACTCAGCTTTCCGACGACATTGCTTTTTGGAATGTAGTCGAGCATCAGTTAAAGTTATGATGAAATTCGAATGTCAACTGTAATATTCTGTAGGAAGCTTTTTGTTATGTGTGAATTCCGAATGGATTTCTGAAAAATAGACTGACGTATTTCTTATATAGAACGTCATACTACCAACCACTACTCTCACATCGCTCGATTTATTTGCAGCGACTAGCTTCTTTCTTTAAGTTACCAAAACGCCCTTCGGATTATGACCGCGGCAGTGTTTTGCCAAGAGAGAGATTATCAGCCTGGGTTCCGGCTGAAATTAATCAAATACCTGATTAATTTAAGAGCATTTACAGCCTTAGTGGAAAACCACATTAAAGTTCACGTTGACCTTTCTTCACGGAATGTGCGTTTACTTGCTACAATTGCGTTAGTTCGTCGCTGATGTTAATCAGGCAGATGGTTTCCATAGATCCTGGGATTAGACAGTAGAGCATGTAGAGTTTTCCAGGTAGCCATCTACAGCCAGAGTTTTCTTGATACCTATCTACAAACCACAGTTTCTCCATTCGCTCTTTCGAAGGGCTAAGCTCAAAACGTCAGCTTTGACAGTATTTACTTTACGGTGGACAATTTGCATTATCAACGCAGTTGATAGAACCGGATTATCTTGTTATATTCCCCCACTAACGCAACACCACAGTTTCCTTAGAAACTTTCTCTCTATATTTATTTATTTATCTACGATAAAGCCTGAAATTGTGGAAAGTGGTAGCGATACAGTTTACTCTTATTTGCGTCGCCGCTGAGTTATCCAAGCGAATCTTTTAATTGCAATATGATAATCGGTACCGGCTTTGATTGACGCAAGATTTTGGGAAAATGTGGGGTACCTTGCGAGAGTATTGAGTCAGTAGGGTGAGATAAGGCGAGAAGGAGATTTAAAAATAAATCATATTGGATATCAAAGTGAATACGGATCCCGCTAGGACACTTTCCACTGAGTTTCACTCGACCCCATTGTCTTTGTGAATTATCATACTTAAAAGCTTGTGATGATAAACGAACAAGCTCAAGGGGTCAAATCAGTAACAAGTTTGAAGATAACAGATTTTTAAGAGGAAGTTTCTTTCGTCGATAGGCGAAAAGATAAAGTAGTTGATTGTATGACGAAAAATTTACAGCGAAAGTGAATTTAACAAAAGTGACGTTTCAAGATTTGAGTGTTAAGACTGCTTGGGTTGTGTTTCGCTAAATCTTTTAACACTATACACTAACATAAAGCAGATGCCTGCGATTTACAAGAAGCTAACTCTGTTTACCTAAACAAACTGCTAAATGCTAGCAAATAAAGCACTGAAGATCTTTAAACTTGAAATTAAGAGATCCTCGCAGCTAAGAACATTACTGAAACGAGTAATTGTAAATAGGACCTGAAAAAAATTCAGGCTCGTACGGGATTTGAATTTTTTTCAGGTCCTATTTACAACTACTCGTTTCAGTAGTGTTCTTAGCTGCTAGGATCTCTTAATTTCATTTCTCCACCGTAGTGCAAATATATGAATTTTCATATATCTAAAATCATCATCTTTAAACTTGTTTAATATCAGGTTTTATGGGTGCGGTTTAGTGGCCCCAGAGGCAATTGACGGCTTGTATATCCTGGATCTTGGAAGTGGATCGGGACAAGATTGTTTTGTACTCAGTAAACTGGTTGGTGAACACGGCCATGTTACTGGAGTAGACATGACCAAAGAACAGGTATTTAAGTAGTTCTTTATAGTGTGCTTTTCGACTGAGCGTTTTCCGACCAAAAACTGAGTACGTGGTTAAAACGCCACATTAGAACAATGATAACGACAGCGGTAAAAAATCATAAGCAGACAATAAGAACTCGAAGTAACACGTTATAGACAGAGCGGACGGATAGGAATTTGCAAGTCGAATTTGATGTCCGTATTTTGGTTGATTGCTCGAGAGGGGGTGGCGTAAATTATCAAAACCGGTCACTGAGCGGAGTGCAAGAACAGCACCAACAAAGGTTACTTGTGGAATAGGTTGGTATTTCGTTTGAATTCATCTATTCATCTGTTTTATCTCTTCCTTCAATTTAATAAACTTAGAATTGTTCTTAGTCTCCCATTTTCTACCACATTGCCTGCAAACCAATTGGATTAGCTGGTTCTTTATAACCCTTTAGATATGATGAAAATTTAAGGCTAGTAACTGTGAGGATCCGCCCTAAACCATCTGATCAATTTTTTTCAAAAATCATCACTTAAATCAGAGCCCACATGATATTTGAAATTATTGTTTAGTGTAATCGACAGCTATAAGGGAAGGGGGCAGGGTGATCCGTGTTTTCTTTTTCCAATGCTCCTTGTTCCCGAATTTACCAAAATTCTTAGTGAATTTTGTATGTTGCATCAGAGTCTGCATGGAATATAGTAAGGTACAGTGGCTTATCTGTACAAACACAACAGGAGATTGAACAACCATAAATCATTGCCTCACACCTAGGTGGACATTGCCAATAAGTATGTAGAATACCATGCTCACCAGTTTGGATATTCTAAGCCAAACACTGATTTTAAACTTGGTGAAATGGAGCGACTGTCTGATGTAGGAATACAGGACAGGACTATGGACATAATAATGTAAGTCAATCCAAGAAACAGTCCGAAGGAAATGGTGTATTAAATACATATAAATTTTATCATGCCCAGCGGATCCAAGTGGAGATGCGCATGCCTCTCTAGAAGTATGTAACAAATTGGCAATGAAATAAGGTAAAGTAAAAAATAAATTTTCCATGACAGCTAGACGTATCTAACTTTCTTGTTCATCGTCTCTACGCTAAGTTCAAACTGTGTTGTAAACCTGACTGCAGACAAGAGAGTTGTTCTTAAAGAAGCTTACAGAGTTCTTAAGGTGAGACAATGCTGTTTTCAAGTTAATTTGTTATGTGTTCAGTGTAGTGAATCTGTTTAGGACTATCAATATCACTAAAGTCTTATGACGTTATCTGTTGTAGGATGGAGGCGAGGTATACTTCAGTGATGTTTACACCGATACAAAACTGCCTGAGGAAGTCAGAAGAGACGAAGTGCTTTGGGGTAAGTGATTTACTTTGGTTTGGTATTTTTTGTTTGTATAACATGTGGTATTAGTCTGATATATTTATATATCAATATTCTATATATAAAAAAAAGTTTAACTTCATCATTATTGCGAGATACGGGTGCACAAACAAATGACTTCGATTTTATGTGGCTTCTCTATCTGCATACCTCATTTGGAGAACAGAACTTGGATATCAAAAATTAGGTAATAATTATGAGGTTTAACATCCTTAGGACCAAGGATCCTTAGGTGCCTCTAGGAAGAAAAGAGTCTTTTACAAGCTCTTTTTGTGAAGAGTGAATTCGATCAACTCCACAAGATAGAAGTCAGCGTTACATCTTTTTAGGATCAAACCCCTCCAATCCAGGATATTTGAAAATTGATTATTATTTTAAAAAAAAGTCTGTTTGTATACACGAAAAAAGTAGTAATGTTTATCAAATTTACTTGAAGTGACGCGAGTTCGGTTTTGAAAATAAGAACTCTTCTCGTCTACCGGTTATTTTACCATTCCTTGTTACTTGTTTGATATCTGAGACGTGTTGTATCCTAAGGTGAAGGTGTTGGAGGAGCTCTTCATTGGAAGGAGTTGATTAAGCTGTGCAAGGAAGTTGGTTTCTCAGGGCCATATTTGGTTACTGCCAGACCTTTGTGGTTGAACCACATCTTAGACAACCTCTTGGTAGGTGTTTAAATTGCGTCGTAAAACTGTTTAAATACGTAACGACTAAAAATTGTACGTTAGTGCTTTTTTTTCAATCGTAGGTAATGCACAGTTTGTGGCGGCCACTTATCGCTTGTTCAAGGTCCTTAACAGCAGTGAGACAGTTGCTTCTAGAGTAACATACAAAGGTATGTCAAACAGTCAACCTAAGAGCATCAAAACGCCTAAGGGGAGGCGCAGTAAAGGGGACGAAAAGAGCAAAAAGTAGCTTGAAAAAGTTAAACAACAAAAAATCTTTCTTCTCGCCTCAAGGTTCCTAGTCTGTTTCTTTTGGCCTAATCCCCCGTAAGGTTTGGCAAGCCCCTATTTATCGGCTCCTATTTGGTGCGTATGCACTTGTAACTCAAGTATAAGCATAACCATCTTCATAGTGATAAGAGAGGGTAAAACTAAAGATTCCAGTGACAAACACGACAACTGCTTTGACACTTCAACCAATTTTGGTTGTGGCAGAATTATTTTGCTCTTCACTTTGAAATGAAACAAATGCATTAATTAAGATATCCTCAGAAAAAGAATTATTGAACAATTTTTTTTTAAAATTTTCCTTAAATGTTCCCTACCAATGTCTGTTTCAAAAAACACATTAAAAAATATAGGTCATCCTGCTTGTTTGAACATTTTTTTGCCTGTGCTGGCAATAATCACACGCGATATTTTTTTAAAATTTTCGGTTAAAGGGTTTTTTAACAGTTAAAAAAAACTTGATGAGTAGAAAGTCTTGAGCTTTTGAAAAAATTGGATATATAATTTGTGGAAAAGTCACTCGATTTTAAACGACATCGACCTAAAACGTTCATCGAGTCGTTGCTTTCAAGGTTATAATTTGCATCATCGAGTAACGGACTTCGTGAATGCTTTTAGCTGTTTTTTCTTTTTCCCCTCAGATGAAGTTAAAGGATGATTTGTAAAACCAGAATTATGGAATATAAAATATAGGTCATCGTGCTCGTTTAAGAGCTAAAGACCGTCGTACTTCTTTACCTGGTCCATTGATTTAAAACACAATACCGTGTTCTCGAAATGCACGCGCGCTTATTCGCCTAATTGCATGATTTTTATGCGCAGTACATGATGCGCAGTGCAATATTAAGGAATCACCGTAAGGTGTTGTGAACTTAAGTAACACAAACTTAACAGCATTAGCGCCCATACACGAGCTAAATCAAGAACTTAGTTTGCTTTTGCATCAAACACTTTTTTTCCAAGGATCTATAGAGGACAACCCAAACGAACTCAAGTTGAGTGTTCATAACACCTTTACGGTATGTTAATGTTTCTTTATTGAGTCTTTTAGTGGTAAAAATACTAGCCCCTGCTGCAATTAACATTGCTACTGAAATTTTTACAGAAGAAAATTATCTGTATCTATAAACACTACCCATGATAAATGAAAAATTCCGAACTGAGCGAGATTGTAACTCATTGAATTGTAACACACGTTTAGTACCCCGATAGATTGAGCTTTCAAGCCAACAAGGAGCTAATCATTGTGAGATTTCGTAATGTTCCCGTGATGGATAAATGCATGAAAGAAAGTTGCGCCTAAAACAGTCAGTGTGTTAACAACTGGCGTAATATATAATTGGATCGTTGCCTTTCTATGTACAACTTAATAGTTGTTAAAGTAAGACGATCACCACGTACATAACTCGGTCCATTACAAAGCGGGAATCTTATCTCAAGGGGCATGGAATTTAATCCAGTACCTACCTATTAACAAATTAGAGAGTTTTTCGGGCTTTGATTCATAGCTTTGACGATCTTTCCCCTTTTATATCCTCAATCCACGATTTAAATGGAAAACGAAATACATTTTCTTTGATCTGTAAGTCATTTATGTTGTAGAGAACAACCAAGGCTGTTTCTACTGAAGTAGCAGGTGTCCTCAGGGCATCCCGTTTCTCGAAGCATTTCGAATTCCAACCGCTAGAGCCTGGAACCACAGCTCCCATTGATGACGTGTACATTGACGCGGATCCTTTTGCCTACTGTGTGTCAAACAAAGTGGCGCCAGGAGCATCTTGCCCCAAACTGGCTAAACTGGAAAGTTGAACAGAGAAACGGCTTGTTACCCGAAATGTAGGAAGAAGGTTTCAAGGCGCCATTTTGAGCATACTGTAAAACCATTTTGAGACAGACTTAGTCTAGCTAGTTTGAACCTTCGTTGTCATAGTGAACAGGGATGCTATAATGTTAATTAATTATCACCAAGTCAGTTACTTTGGAAATCATATTCACTGTTTTGAACTTGAAGTTGAGCTTTTATACCGTTGACTGAGCTCTTACTTGAAATGCTTTCAAATTATCTTTTTCTTTTTGCAATATTTTAATAAGGTTTTTGATCTCTCACTTAGAGTTGTAACGATACGTGTCGATAAATACAGGACTAAGAGAAGCCATGCAGAACAATTAATAAACACCCTTATAAGTGTAAATTTGAAGTGTGTAAATTTTTGTGTGCTTATTAATTGTGTTACCAGGCTTTGACGTCAACAGGATCTCTCTCTCTCTGTTCCCGTTTTGTTGTTTAAATATACCGTAAACAAACATTGTCGAGGAGTGGCGTGAGTTAAACCCCAATCTCTCTTTCTCTCTCGCGGCTATCAAAGTCGAAGGAGTCCTGAGGTCGAAAAAAATGAGAAAAGAAAGGGGCCGAGAGTAAATTCTTTTCAAGTGCTTCTTTAAACTACTGAAGAGGCCTGACGGCTGAAGCTCACTATTATCAATATTAAAAGTAAATACGTGTCTTCATCCAGTTGATAGCTGGGTGGCAGAATATAACATGTATGTGTAGTTTTTCGACAACACTTCTGCAGACCGCAGAACAGAAGAAACCTGGCGACAGGAATTAATGCGAATTACAATGGAAACGAAAAAAAAGAAAGGTCCAGACACCGGAGAGATCCATTATGCCCATAGTAAATGAATGAAAACTTATCTTCCAGAAAAATGTCTTTAATTTCAAAATCGTTCAGGTCCGAGTTGACATTTTTAAAACTACAAGAATAGTTGCATTTTGTTAAAAGCCTTCAGCTTGTCCGGAGAGCTCGGCGTTTATTATTTTGTATGCGCCTTTTAAAGTGAGAAAACTCATTTGAATAACAAATAATTTTCAAAATTAATATTCATATTTGCACTCGGTCTTGCACGTGGAAAGATTTCACGAACTACAAGAAATTTCAGCGCCTTTTCCAGCTTCTACAGATGCAAGAAACACATTATTTGACCTTAATACCTTGGATATCGTCAGTCCTTTCAAGGTCGAGGGGTGTTTTTTTCTGCTGGGTCGAGTGGTTACCGGTTTGGAAGTCGAGGATTCATGTCTTTACTTTTGTCACGATTTTTCTTCAGGTAATTGACCTACGTTTAATATATTTAGGATAGGAATGCAGTGTTGCTATAACAAAATCAATTTATACAGCCTAATATTAGAAGAGAGAGCAAGATCGCATAGCAGTCTAAGAAAATCTTTAGTGGCAGCCGCCATGACAGTTTCTTGGTCGTGTCTCGAATGGAAACGCCGAGAATATCTTTAACCTCTTTACTGTTATAGTACATATAGCTTATCGTTTATTCGCTTTTCTGTATTGATTTTTCATACTATGTATAATTGTTGCAGCATTAAGTTTGACTTAAGCACCTTGTTATTTCCCCTCTGTGCAACCGCACTAAAGAACGAGAGGGTAATCTCAGTTTCTAATCTTATCGATCTCTGCATGTGTGACAGAGGTGACTCTCAGGGGTTCATAACACTGTTGCTTTTATGAATCAATTTTACTGTCTTGCATCTGTTGGTGGTAAAAGAAAGAGTTTCAAAGAAATACTCCGCCATTAAGAGCGGGAAGTGTTTTGATTTTCTTTCTGTCCTCCCAAACTACCAAAGCGTAAAATAAAGGGGGTACGTTTCTAACGAAACAGTGGTGTTGCGTCAGTGAGAGAGTATAACGGGGCAATACAGTATTTATACTGAGTTGATAACGTAAATTAGCCACCGTAAAGAGTTTCAAAGCTGAGGTTTCGAGCGTTGGCCCTTAGCCAGAGCGAAACAGAACGGCTAACGCTCGAAACGTCAGCTTTGAAACTATTTCGGTGGCCAATTTACGTTATCAACTCAATTGATAATACTATATTACCCTACCAAAGCGTTGGCTAAGCTTTCCAAATGCCTTTGTAGTTTTAAGGTTAACTGTAAATTGTCAAAGTTAGATAAGTGATCCCTGGTTTTGTCTCAAAGTTTTTAGGAAGTCTTTTAATTTAAGAATTAAGTATGAATTAATTTCATTAAGCACCTAGAATAATTGTCTGTATCAGCAAAACGTGCCTGGTCTTTCCATCCTGACCTGAAGTCCCATTAGTTTCTCTTTATCCTGACATCATTCCCATTAAAAAGATATTTTCTTTTTCAAAAACAGCATGAAGCAAAAAGCAAGAAAGCCTGGCAAACAAGAAGTGAGAGGGTCGAGGAAGGAACAAAGAATATCATCCGATAAGGTTAGTTTTTCAAATTTGAAAATCCAAAAAATTAGACAAAAAACCTAAATTTAAAATGAAGGAAAATTCAAATAGAAATTAAAAATGATTCTTTCAATCTACGATTTCTTCGACCTCTATCCCATTAAGACGACTTGAAGTGGTTCACTACGCTGTTGTTTTTATTAAAGAATTCTTTCGCGCTCCATATATTGGAAGTAAACACCTGGTATCAAATTACCATTGAAACGGTTAGCTTATCTAATACTAAAGTAGATCTGAGGTAAAATGCCAATCGTTAAAGTTAGCTTGGTTACTCTCGATTAATTTAACGATTTCTGTTTCTAAATTCTTACGAATCAATTTGATATGGGAAAGATAAAAACCATTCGCATCACAGCAATTACATATTGCTTTCCAGCCAATTGTTGATCAAGATTTTTTTCGTTGGTTGTACCATTTCACTAAAGCACAGATCAGCTTTAGGTCTCCCATCTCCATTTTGCCTTTCTTTTTCAGGAAGTAATGTGCCAACTGTGGACTTAAGTTTCACGTCTATTGATGATTCCCTCGGTGTGAAATGCACTTGTTGGCTGACGCAGGTAGACAAAATCCTAGTATTATTATTATACAAAGTTTTGCACAGGTTGTAGTTTATCTCAGATGCTTAGCGCATCGGAAGATTAAAAGTTTTTTCTCTTACCCTTATTCTTGTGCTTGTGTGCATAGAATATATATTTAGAAACAGTCTTAACTACCCCTCCCCGTCCTTGCTGAAACAAAATCTTAACATACAGTGTATTTGCGCATATTATAAAAGGTAATCGATACTGTTTTTTGAAATTATTTAGCGAAGCATGTAAGTAGCGAAGTATTTCAAAATGTTTCATCAAAGATTGTTTAGATGTAGTTTCTAAAGATTATTGAAATATGGCATAAATCGATCCAGGATTTCGGCATTTTGTTATACATCATATTATTAATAATTTTATAATCGATATTCGGCTTTTTAAAGTATTTATATTGGTTTTAAAATGGCAAGTATTAGATAAGATTGTTTTGAGATAATAATTTCGATGATGGCGAGATCTGTAGATACAAATTTATGTTCAATTTTTAAATGTTAGGTTTACTCATTTTATTTCAGTTGTTTAAAGTATTAGATCATATCCATAAGTATATTGCGCCATATAAGTATTAAAATTATTATTAAATTATTAAGAGTAATTGATGATTTCTTTGTTTCCTTTCCAAGGCAAAAAGATATTCTCCCGCGGCATTTGGTAGTGCGGCTGATTTCATGAGATAAGTATTGACCTATGTAAAATAAAATACAAATGTTGTTTAGTCCAAGAAAGAAACCTAAAAATTTTCACAATGACTTGATCCTACACAAAAAAGGAATGGAAACCTGTTTGGGACACTGGAGTTTCTTAGTGCAAGAGATGGGAGACTTAAGGCTGACCCGCTATGGGGCATTGTCACCAAAACAATCTCTTCCTTAGTCTTGATCTGTGATGCATAGACTAATTGGTCCCCCCAAAAAAGAGAATATAACTGTTTCGGACCCTGGACTGTCTTTATGCGCTGATCGGGTGTTTGACTTTGTACAAGAGATGGGAGACTTAAAGCTGGCCCTTTAAGGGGTTGGTGTCACCCAAACAATCTCTTCCTTAGTCTTGATCTGTGATGCAAAGACTTGGTCCCCAAAAGAAAAAGAATAAAACTCTTTCGGACCCTGGACTGTCTTTATGCGCTGATCGGGTGTTTGACTTTGTACAAGAGATGGTAGACTTAAAGCTGGCCCTTTAAGGGGTTGGTGTCACCCAAACAATCTCTTCCTTAGTCTTGATCTGTGATGCAAAGACTTGGTCCCCAAAAGAAAAAGAATATGACTGTTTCGGACATTGGACTGTCTTAATGTGCTGATCGGGTGTTTGACTTTGTACAAGAGATGGGAGACATAAAGCTGGCCCTTTAAGGGGTTGGTGTCACCCAAACAATCTCTTCCTTAGTCTGGATCTGTGATGCAAAGACTTGGTCCCCAAAAAAGAGGGTAAAACTGTTTCGGACACTGGACTGTCTTTATGTGCTGATCGGGTGTTTGACTTTGTACAAGAGATAAGAGACTTGAAGCTGGCCCTTTAAGGGGTTGGTGTCACCCAGAAAATTTCTTCCTTAGTCTGGATCTGTGATGCAAAGACTTGGTCCCCAAAAAAGAGTACAAAACTGTTTCGGACACGGGACTGTCTTAATGTGCTGATCGGGTGTTTAACTTTGTACAAGAGATGGGTGCTTAAGGATTGACCCACTAAGAAGTCGGAATCGCTCAAAAAAATCTAAGAAAAGATTAAAAGGCAACTCATTTTAGATAATATTTCATACATTTAAACTTAAAAAATCAATAGAAAAAAACTATATTGTTTTTGTATTTTTTTTATTTTAAATACAGGATTACAAGGACGAATGGGAAATTCGATGTATCGATTAGACTTCATAATCAGTGGATTGTGTCGCCTCCATGTGGTGTCCAGGGCAAGTGGTTTGTTATCATTAAGAGCTGCAAGTTATCAATTGAGACAGAAGCATATAACATAGAAGCATCATTGATGCATCATTGAAGCATCTTAGAATTGATTTTCTTGTCAGGGTAGAATGTTAAAACAATCGCATTTTCTTAAAGTACTGTCCTAGCGTTACGAGTTCAGTTTACGGCTCACACGTAGCTCTTCAACAAAATCTCACAACGGATACGTAAATCCACAACTAGCATTCAGCGAGGCAAAACACCTTACCTACAGCCAACAAATGAAATGTAAAATTTTAGAGCTTTTCCGGAGCAAGAAGGGCTTGAACAAATTAGTTCGCCATAATGGAATATAACTCGAGGTCACTTTATCAGAAGAATGTAGAGAAATAGAGAGAAAAAAAGAAAAATTATACATCGACGCA